AGATGACCCCAAGACGGCCCAAAAGGCCCCCAAGACAGCCCAAGAGGCCTCCAAGACGCCCCAAGAGCCTTCCAAGAGGCCTCCGAAGAGAGCCCCAAGAGGCCAAAATCGTTGATTTTCATTGTTTTTTCTATGTTTTTTGTGTTCTGGCTTTTTCGGCTTCCGGACGCTCCAAGACGGCCCAAGAGGCCCCCAAGACCGCTCCAAGACGGCCCACGAAGCTCCCAAGACGGCGCCGAAACGACCCAAGAGAGCCCTCAAGACGGCCCAAGTGCCGCCCAAGACGGACCAAGAGGCCCCAAGACGGGCCCAAGAGGGACTCAGGAGGGATACCGAGAACTCAAAAATGGAGCCCTCCGTCCCAGAAGGCGCCCAGGAGGTCCCAAAGAGGCCCCAAGAGGCCTCCAAGAGGCCCCAAGATGTCGCCAAGAGGCCCCAGGAGACTCCCAGGAGGCCCAAAAGAAGCCCCAGAAGGCTTCAAACATGTCTCCCAGGCGCCCCCGAACGGCCTCTCAACAGACCCCAAGAGGCCCCCCAAAGAAGCATCTTGACGACGACTCTATTTCGCCCCATCGAGAGACGACCCCCAGGGAACTGCTTCACCATCAAAACTCCCCACACAACGCGTCCGAACGACACCCGCCCCCAAGAGCGCAACATGGGCAACGAACACACAGACAAAAACCAGCGATGCCATATCACGGGCCGGCGGAATGAGCGAAGCGATTCAATAATAGTTGTAATAGTAGTAGTAATAATAGTCGCCGTAATGTTATCTGAAGTAGTAGTAGCAGCAGCAGTAGTAGTAATAGTGGTGGTGGTGGTAGCAGCAGCAGCAGGCGCAGAACACGACCAATGGCACTTGCACTAGCAATGCTTGCAGAAATGATTTGATATCACACTCTTCAGTTTGAAGGTTGGTGGCGATCTCGCCTTTTCTGGTTTTCCCGCCCATGCCCGTCGTGCATTCCTCGCTTTCTTCGTGTGTCATTTCTTTTTCCTCTTTCTATGCTTGGCCCTTGAAGCGGCAACAGTTGCAGTGCCTGAATTCGCATCATGGTTTCATTGCTTCGTGCTCGTGCGGGACCTTGACCTTGATCCCCCCGCGGTGTTGTGTTATTTTCTTCGCCGTCGCCCCGGCTGCTGCCCACGAGTGGCACCCTGAACCCCTTCGAACAGAGCCAAACATTTGCGGAGGGGCTCTTTTTGTCGTTCTCTCGGCCTGTGGGCTCCGTGTGTCAAAACCTTTGGGCCGTCAAAAATTGCCCTCGGTACAGTCAACATTCATAGTAAGGACGCACGGGTGTCCTTGCGGTACTCTTGCGTCCTTGCTTCTGCGGCCCGTCATTCGCGGTTTTTGATTGGCCAGCCTTCAGGGTGTTGGCAGTCCGCCGCCCAAAAAGTGCCAACTTCGGCGTCCAAGGACATTGCATCCTTATCGACCGTCCTTATTGTAGACTTCCATTGTACGGTCGAAATCGGTACGGCAAGGATGGGGACGAAAGCCGACAGCAGTTCCTGCCAACTTTGAGCAGGACTCGTTGCGGGCGTCGCCGCGGACGTCATCCATATGAGGCAAAAGGCCGCTTGCCCAGCAGCGCCCCCTGCAGGTTTGGGACAACGTCTGCTGTTGAGATCGTGCCCATTTGTCCGTACCCATCTCGGGCGCGCAAGTACATTCAAGGTGCTGAAATAAGGACCACATTGAGCTCAGGAAGGGCTGTGATTGTCAGCCCGTTCCTAAGGTCGGGGAAACTGTTGGTGGCCTAGGCCCTAGGCTCACCGTGGCCAGTGAAGCCTTTTGGTTCCTTATTCAGCATTCCTTCTGGTAGCACGATGATTGCAGCCGTAGGTCAAAAAAGTGGTCCCCCAGAAGGTCTCGATCGGTCCAGGGGCCGTGCATTCAAGACCCCGCACTACTTCCATCCTGTCCACCTCCGCGCGACTTAGGAGGCCTTTGCCTCCGAAGGTATCCGAGAACCTTGTGTGTCAAGCCGCCGAAGAGCTTCTGCAAACAGTATAAATCGACGACGGCGACGACGACGACGACGTAGACGACGACGACGACAACGTCGACGACCACCGTCGGGCGCACGCTGCGGCCAACCTCCAGGAATCTGCAGAAACTACCGGAGGCCCCCAGAGGCCTTTGCATACCATGAGATCCACAGCGCCTCCGAAGTCCTCCGAGAGCGACGACGACAACGACGCCGGCGACGAGCACCACGGCCACGGCCACGGCAAGGCCGACGTCGACGGCGGCGCCAGCGCCAGCGCCGTAGTCGTCGTCGTCGTCGTCGTCGTCGTCGTCGTCGTCGTCGTCGTCGTCGTCGCCGTCGTCATCGTTGTCGTCGTCGTCGTTGCCGTCGTCATCGTCGTCGTCGGCGTCGGCGTCCACGTCCGCGTCCGAGTCGTCGTCGGCGTCGTCGTCGTCGGCGTTGACGTCGTCATCATCGTAGTTTTTGGAGGTTTGCGCCAGCGGCGGCGCCGCGGCGACTAGGCCCCTGCCGTGCCGCTGCCCGCGGTCTCCGCCTCGGAGCACCAGAGCTCTGGCTCGGGCGCGCCCAGCCTTCCTCTCGGGGAAACGTAAGGCTCGAGTTCGCCGGAACTCGGGTTTGCCGACGCTTTTTGACGAGCGCGTCTTGGGTTTTGACGATCCAGTTTGCGTGGGATGTTCGCAGTGGGAGCTCACGTCAAATTTCAGATCGGGTATCGTCAATTTCTTGACGACCTGGCCAGGCTACCCGAGTCCCCCGAACCCAAGCCTCACGTCTCCCCGATTCTCTCGGGGGCAACGATTCGGTACGATCGAAATTAGTCGGGAAAGAGTGGGCACGACGACCAACAAAAGTTCTTGCCCGTTTTGAACAGGGATCGCTATTATTGTCGCCGCCGACGGTGTCTATTTGAGACGACAGGGCGCCTGCCCAGCAGCGGTCGCTGTCGGTTTTGGAGAACTTTCGCAGTTGGGCATCGCACCCATTTGTAAGTACCAATTTCGGGTGTCCAAACGATAGTTGGTTACTCGGAGGAAGAGGCACCGATGCCACTACCCTTCCATGAGAATTTCGCCTTGTTCGGCCTCATGGGAGGCCCCCGTCTCGTCGCCACAGCTGGACTCGCCTCGAGATTCTGGTCAGAACGCAACCCAGGAGAGGTCCCTCCTTGCCTTCAGGAGCAACGAGCCCAGAGATCTTGGCGTCGCATTTCTTTCACAGAGGGCGGTTCTGCCTTGTTTCGTGTCCCAGGGCCCTCACGGATCGATCCAGCTCGAAACATGCAGCATGATGATAGGGTCCAGCAATTTGGTCGCATTTTTACGATGTTGCCTATTTCGAGCAGGTGGAGTCTCCCCTGATTGGACGCACTGCTGCAAACAGTCGCACTAAGCAGAGGTCCGGAGCCAGACCCCCCCACTCCCCCCCTTCCGCCCAATGTCGAAAACGCCGAATAAAAAACGGAGCGATGGGGTCCAGCAATTTGGTCCCTGACGTCGGATCCCCATGATAATCGGGGGATCGGCTCAGGGGGGAACGCATCGACCCCAGAGTTTTCGGATGTGTCGACTCGTTTTCGGAACGGGGCTTGCGCCTCGTCGAGGGCGTTCGGGGGGTATTCGAATCGTCCCGAACGTCCGCCAGGGAGCAGAGCGACGATCCGAAAACCAATGGGCAACGCACGGGGAGGATGGGCTCAACACATCAAATCCCAAACGCCCATGCATCGCCGACAGGGGCCACATAGCCCACCCAACCCTGGAAAGTGCGGTCTCGGCATCGGGGGACAGTCGCCGATCCATCGACGATGTATTGCCGATTCAAGCTCGACCTTCCCTCTACGAGCTGGACCCCCCGATCGCTCCCCCTCATCCTTGGCGGAGGGCGCCAGCTATACACCAGCAGCGATCCTGGCCAGGGCAAGCCTGAGCCCAGGGGCGGTGTACCCAGACTTCCTCGCGACGTGGACAAGACAACGGATTGGTGTGCACGCCGCTTTCGGCTTCAGTGATCCTCACCCGGCCACGGGACCGTCGCGAAAAAAATCAGGCGGGAAGCCCGGCCCGCGGGAACCTCAAGCGATCCACGTTGTTCGGCTACACGCAAGAGTGACCCTTCGCCCGAGTGACCTTTGGTGCGGGCCTGCGGGGGGCCCCCAGCACTGGCCGGCGCGCTTCGATTGGGCCCCCCCGCGGCCCCCGAGAGCCGCGCATCAAAGGCCCCGGGCCACTCTTGCGTGTAGCCGAGTTAGGATGCGGGAAAAAGTTTGGCCGAGTGGATGACTGAGTTTCCAGATTCCTCCAACCACCTCTGCCGTCGGTGGCATTTTCCCGGACTTCCCCTTCGAGCCGCCGCGTTTCCGCCAGAAGCAGAATTCATCGGGGAGGACCACGTGCCGTTGGACGGTACTGCGAGTGGAGTTGTGATGGGTGATGTCTGAGCGTATAGGGCGATAGCCAGGCAGTCGAGGGCTTGGTGACGGGCCACTGATCGCTGTCGGATCTGGATAGTTGGCCTTTCTTTGTTCGCACTTGCCGGCTGATCGCCTGCATGTTCAACATTGAGTTGAAGCCCAGGGTATTTTCCAGCGATCTTGTGGAGTGGTGCCCATGACGGTACAATTCAATGGACGACCAAATGGCCAGCCAGTGCATCAGGCACCGCGGTCCCATCAATTGGATTTTCAGGGTGCGATGTAGGCCCTCTGAGTGGAACCGCTCAAATTGGTTGGCGTTCGTGGACGGCGGTTTCGTCCGAGGAGTCGGAGGAGCAACAGGCATGGTTTCGTTAAGGATCTTGCCAGACGGGGACAAATAGAGAGTGGCAGGTTTGGGTATTTTTCTTCCCAAGGTGTCGGTACGCATTTGAGGCCGAGGCTATAGCATTAGAGGCTGCATTGAGTCAGCTGCATCACGCAGTTCTCTCACGGCAGTAATATGTACCAGCAACCTAGGGGCGTATACCATAGAAGAAGACGAAGAAGAAGAAACGCTGCAACGGCGCATGTCTTGGCATACAGCCAAGGCGTTGAGATAAAGACCCCCTCGGGCTCAAGAGAGGCTAGGTTTTCGGGCCGTTGTTCATATGAACAACAAGGAGGAAAAGGAGGAAGACGAGGACCAGTGCAAACCCAAGACTCACCAACGATGTTGGAATCAACCCACCCTCCAAGCTACCTCGTCATAGGCCTCTACAAGGGTTTGTTTTTGCGGAGGGAACTGCTTTGTTGGGAGGCATCCATTAGAAGACCCTGAAGCGTGCTAAAACACCATTTTCGGGATTTTAAGCCACGAGTCAACATGACTGCTGCGTCTTGATGAACCAGAATCGCGCAATAACACCATTCGTGTGATTCCATCACCGCAAGTCAACGCAACTGTTGCGACCTCACAACCTGAGTCCATCCAAAGCATTTTGATGGCACGTTGACCATGGGAATCCGAGAAACTCTTTCACATGTTTAAGACGAATGTGCGCGGCGCTGAGGCGAGAGCCACATTTTGAAAACGACCCGCCCTCAATCCGAGAAGCTCTTGCAAATGTTTAAACGAATGTGCGCGGCGCTAAGGCGAGGTCCACAGTCTGAAATCCACCCGGACTCAATCCGCGAAGCTCTTGCCAGCTTTTACGCTTCAGGGTCATAAATGGTGAGGAAGTCTCAGGCGAAACGCCCCGCCTTTTCGACCGGCCTCGGGGTGCGACAGGGGGGAGTTATTCATAAGGAAGAAGGAATGGAGGGACGAGGAGGAGAAGGGACGGAGGAGAACCCCACTGCCCCGCGGCGCAGAGGCGCGGCCGCCGCGGTCGAACTGGGCCCCGCGGAGGAGCGGCAGCCGCTGGTTTCGCCCGGGGCTGGTTTCGCCAGGCTGCTTTCGCCCGGCGCTGGTTTCGCCCGGGCTGGTTTCGCCCGACGCTGGTTTTTTTTTTTGTTTTTTGTTTGTTTTTTTTCCGCCCCGCTAGTTTCGGCCGGCTGCTTTCCGCCCGTCTGCTTTCAATTCGGCCCTGCTGCTTCGCCGGATGCTGTAGGAGGTGCAGGAGGAGGAGGGAAAGGAGGAGGAGGAGGGGAGGAGGAGGCGGGATGTCGCGGAGGAGAATAGACGAGGGGAATGGGAGGGGCAGTAGAGGAGGAGTAGGGAGGCGATGATGAGAGGACGAGGACGACGGCGATGCGGCGAGGAGAGAAGAGGAAGAGGATGAGGAAGAGAGGAAGAGGCGGAAGAAGACGAAGAAGAAGCGGAGTGAGGAAGAGAGGGAGGCGGCGGATGAGGAGGGATGGGGCCTGACGAGGCAGTAAGGCACAGCGGATGATCGGTTGTGCGGGGGGGGGAGGGAGGAATGGAGGTGGAGGTGTCGAGGAGTTTGCTGAGGATGCCTGACGGAGGGAGGAGGGAAGAGGGTTAGGGCCGCTGGACCCGACCCGACCCCGCCCGCCCGTTAGGGACCGCCCGTCCCGACCCGACCCGACCCGCCCGTTAGGGTTCGCCCGATTCGACCCGACCCGACCGTTAGGGTTCTCGCGTGCTCTCTCGATTATGCATCAAATTTTTATGTCCCGCCCGCACGACCCGCCCCGCCCGTCAGGGTCCGCCCGACCCGACCCGACCCGAGCGCCCGTTTGGGTCCGCCCGACCCGACCCGACCCGACCCGACCCGGCCGTAAGGAGTCCGCCTACCGCCCGACCCGACCGTTAGGGCTCTCGCGTGCCCTCTCGATTATGCAACACACTTTAATGTCCCGCCCGCCCGATCCGACCCGCCCGTTAGGGTCCGCCCGACCCGACCCGACCCGACCCGCCGGTTAGGGTCCGCCCGACCAGACCCGACCCAACTGAATCCGACTTTGGTCCAGAATAAGACTTTGGCCCGGAAATGCGGGATTTCGGACCCAAGCTCCGGTAATCGCATTTCCCTGACGGAAGCCGCTCAGACTGGTCAGGAGGAGGAGGAAGAGGAGGAGGAGGAGGGAGACGACGACGGCGCCCTCCCAGTGCCCGATTCGGGCACCCGGTGCGCTTGGACGCGGGGCGTCGGCTGAGGGGTGCGCAGCCAGAGGCCTTCTGCGAGAAAACGTGAGCAAGGGGCCCCTGGAAGGACGAGGAGGAGAAGGACGAGGAGGAGGAGGCGGAGGACGACGACGAGGACGAGGGGGAGGGGACGGACGAGGAGGAGGAGGAGCACGAGGAGGAGGAGGAGAACGACGACGAGGGGGAGGAGGACGAGGAGGAGGAGGAGGAGAAGGAGGAGGAGGAGGGCCAGGAGGAAGAGGCGGGGAGGAGCAGGACGAGGAGGAGGAGGAGGAGGACGACGACGGCGGTGGCGACGGCGACGACGACAACGACGGCGGGAGAGAGGGAGGGAGAGAAGGAGGGAGGGAGGGAGGGGGGTAGTGAGGGAGGCAGGGAGGAGGAGGAGGAGGAGGAGGAGAAGGAGGAGGAGGAGGAGGAGGACGGCGACGTCGACGACGACAATAACGGCGGCGGAATCGGCGAGACCAGCCGCTGCGAAACCAGCGGGGCGGAACCAGAGGGGCGAAACCAGCGCCGGCGAAACCAGCGTCGGGCGAAACCAGCGCCGGCGAAACCAGCGTCGGGCGAAACCAGCCCCGGCGAAACCAGCCCCGGCGAAGCCAGCCCGTGCCCTCCTCCTCCTCCTCCTCCTCCTCCGCCTCCTCTTTCTTCCTCTTCGAAGAGTTCTCCACAACGGCTGGGGGAGCACATAGCCCAATAACTTGGCCAGACTTCGGCCCAACGTTCGGCCGCATGGGCGTTTCCAAAAGGCAAGGGAGCGGCAATGATTCGCCGCAGGCGTCTTCGATAGCAGCAACGGGTGAAGCGGCGGATCTAGGAACAGAAGGTCGGCTAACAGAACGCATGCAACCCTTGGTATTCTTATGGATTAATTCACAGAAGCTCTGATAAAGAATAGATGCAGCCGGGACAAGGATGAGAGTATTTTCATGTGCACCGTCGTATAGCTGTCATCTGGTAGCGTGGCCGTCCAGACCACACGTGTAGCCGGCATTATCGCGAGAGCGCGATTCGTGCACCAATAGCGAGGAAGTCCCATGCGCACTGGCTGCCGGAACACACGTCCTAAGGCTCCCCTCCCCCCCTGTCGGACTCTTGCGGGGGCCGTTCTTTTACCGCTATATGGGAAGCCTCGTTGCGTAACGCTGTAGGGGAATAACATCAAAAACACGGCGCTAGAATGCATGGGCACCCAGGGCGGCCGAGAGACGGGCCCAGGGAAGCGCCTGCGGAAACCCAAGCTCGGCAAACAACCTTCTGTCGGTACTATTAGACTTGGGGGAGGAGGAGGAGGAGGAGGAGGAGGAGGAGGAGGAGGAGGAAGAGGAGGAGGAGGAGGACCTTTCGCACCTTTCCTTAGATGGGACCCCTGAGTGCAAGCTCAACCCCACCATCCACATCACTTGCGAGGGAGCTCCATCCATACTTAAGCGGGAGTCCCCTGCTCATTCTACTCAAGTTCTGCCTCCAAGCGGCAGTCATCTCGGGAGGGCAGGGTTTGGCAAGGTTCACAGGATGCTGTACACAAAAATCCCCCAAAAGCTTGCAAAACGAAATTCCCCGAAACATCCGAAGGCAATGAGTGGGGTGCATCTTGACCAAGAGGGGATGTTCAGTCACGGCCTCCCCAGGAAGACTCCCATCGGAGCAGTCCGCGGCGACGGGCAAAACATGCACATCGGTACCCAGCACAGCGGACCCGGGACACTGGAGAGGCCTAACATGCTCCAACTTGCCCTTGAGGGCAGGGAACTTACTAAAACACCTCTGGCACTTCAACTGAGCTCCTACTTTCAAGATGCCTGTCCCTGTGCCAGCAGTTTGACTAGGCGATCGTCTCTAGCCCGCACACACACGTCAACACAACATGACGACTGATCGCTAAGAGCCTTCGGAGCACTAACAACCTGGCGGAGGAGAAGGAGGGGGAGGAGGAACAGGAGGAGGAGGACGAGGCAGATGAGGAGGAGGAGGAGGAGGAGAAGGAGGAGGAGGAGGAGGAGGAGGAGGGGGAGGAGGAGGAGGGAGGGAGAGGGAGCGGGAGAGAGGGAGGGAGGGAGGTATGGTGGGAGTGAGGGAGGCAGGGAGGAGGAGGAGGAGGAGGAAGAGGAGGAGGAAGAGAAGGAGGAGGGGGAGGGAGGGAGAGGGAGCGAGAGGGAGGGAGGGAGGGAGTGAAGGAGGCATGGAGAAGGAGGAGGAGGAAGAGGGACAGGAGGAGGAGGAGGCGAAGCTGCGAACCGATTTCTACCGCGGCGCGAGTGGCCCAACTCTCGGGCCATAACTTGGGCCACCGGCGGTGGTTGGGAGCAATCCGTGCACCACCGGAACGCCATCGGCGAGGCGCAGCTGCTGGAGGGCATCCCGAGGCTGAATAGCTCATGGGAACCCGCGGGGACGCGAGAAGCCAAACACATCGGAGGGCCCCAGCTATACACCTACACCGATCCTGGCCAGGCCGATACTAGGCCCAGGACAGGTGTATTTGCATTATTCCCCAGGCATGAGGGCGAATACACCGATCCATGGCCTAGTGAGATCATGGCCAGGATCGGTGCTGGTGTATCGTTGGTGCCCTCCTACAAAAACACACACACAAAGCCTCGTCGGGATTCCTCCAAGAGATCCGATGTCTTGATGTTTTCGATACGGGACCCTTGAAGTCTGGACCCACTCCCCGGGACCAGCTCCTGATCATCCCGAGTCGTGTCTGGACGGTCCCGTGGCCCGGCGAGGGCCTCCCGAGGCCAAGAGCTGAGAAAAGACACCGCCTTCATCCTTTCGATACGTTGGTCATCTGGGCTTGCCTCTCGACGCGGGGATGTCTGGGAGGGGGCGCCCGCGAGAGGCGGCCGCAGGAGGGCCTCCCAGTCCGCCTCGCCGTCGGAGCGGAGGAGCGCCGAGGCGGCGGAGGGGCACTGGCCAGCCACCTTGGGCGGGACGCTACGCCTCGTCGTCCTCGTCGTCGTCGTACTCGTCGTCGTCGTCCTCCTCCTCCTCCTCCACCTCGTTATCGTCGTCGTCCTCCTCCTCCTCCTCCTCCTCCTCACCTCCTCCTGCTCCTCCTCCTCCTCCTCTTCCTCCTAATCCTCCTCCTCCTCCTTCTCATCCTTCTCATCATACTCCTCCTTCCGTCCCTCCTCTTCCTCCTCCTCCTCCTCTTCTTCCTCCTCCTCCTCCCCACCTCCTCCTCCTCCTCATCCTCGTCCCTCCTCCTCCTCCTCCTCCCCCTCCTCTCCTCCTCGTCCTGCCCCCTCCTCCTCCTTCTACCTCCTCCTCCTCCTTCTCTCCTCCTCCTCCTCCTCCCTCCTCCTCCTCCTCCTCCTCCTCCTCCTCCTCCTCCTCCTCCTCCTCCTGCCTCCCTCACTCCCACCATACCCTCCCTCCTCCTCCTCCTCTTCTTCCCCCTTCCCCCGTCTCTCCTCCTCCTCCTCCTGCTCAACCTCCACCTCCACCTCCTCCTCCTCCTCCTCATCATCATCATCATCATCATCATCAGCATCAGCAGCAGCATCATCATGAACAGCAGCATCAGCATCATCATCACCATCATAATCATCATCAGCATCAGCATAAGTATCATCATCAACATCATCAGCAACAACAGCATCATCACCATCAGTATCAGCAGCATCATCATCATCACCATCAGTATCAGCATCAGCATCAGCATCAGCATCATCATCATCATCATCAGCATCATCACCATCATCATCATCATCATCATCATCATCATCATCATCATCATCATCATCATTATCATCATCTGTCTCAACCTCCTCTTCATCCTCCACCTCTTCATCCTCGTACTCCTCCTCCTCTTCCTCCTCTTTCTCATTATATCCTCCCTCCTCCTCCTCTTCCTCCTCCTCATCATTGTCGTCAGCATCATCAGCATCATCATCAGCATCATCTTCAACAGCAGCATCAGCATCAACATCATCATCATCATCATCATCATCATCAGCAGCAGCATCATCATCATCATCATCATCATCATCATCATCATCATCATCATCAGCATCATCAACATCAACATCATTATCATCATCAGCATCAACGGAAGGTGATCTGCAACAAGAAGGTCGTGGCGGGCTTCAAGGAGGAGGGCGGGACCTTGTTCATTGAGGCTGAGGCTTTCCCCGGCCAGCTGGAAGCGGCGAACGTGACCCTAGAGACTTTGCAGGCGGCGTACGGTGCGGCCATAGCTGCTGCGAAGGAGCGCTTTCAGGCCTAAAGAAACCAGGCGGCCCACGGGGGGCAAAGGGAAGAGCATTGCGGGATATCAATGTGATCAGTTTCAATGTGCACGGAATCTCTCGTGACTCGATCGGGGATTTCCTACAGAATTTAGAACCTGCATGGGACTGTCTATTGATGCAGGAGTTCAATGGCTTGCCAGAGGGCTCCTGCGATTTTGTTGACGGTCATTGGGTCTTGTCCGGGCCACCCGTGCAACACATAAGAGGTTGCGCAATCATTATACACAAAAGACATTTCCTTGGTATTGAAAAGCCTACTATTCCAGATACTGCTCGTATTTCCCATTGTCATTGTTCCCTTAATGGTAACCGTCTTCTTTTAGTCAGCGCGTACTTACCTCAGCGAGCTTCGCATGAAGACTATCCTTACTGGGTTGACAGAACGTTTGATTTGATACAGGCCGAGCTTCGGCCTGGAGAGGTGTTGATAGCAGGTGCCGATCTCAACGCAGAAGTTGGTGGGGCCGAAGAATCAGCCGAAGAGGCTGCTCTTGGACCACACGGGCGTGGTGTTCGCAATGACCGTGGAGCTAATGTCGTTGAGCGTCTTGCGCAACACGATCCCTGTTCGGTCACCTCATTCTACGCGGAGGCTGCTGTTTCCACATGTCCTGGATTTGGCGATGCGGATCGCCAGTCTTACATCGATGCTGTCTTCATGCAGGCCCATCAAATCAAAAGAACATGCAAATATCGAGTCGTCAACTCTTGTGCTACATCCACAGGTTACCGTCTGATACAGCTGCGCCTGCGCCTTCATGGGCAGCACCGTTGGCAAGAGCGAAAACCCATTGGATGACAGGTGGATCGGCCCGCAGATTTCGTACAACAGGTGGCTGCTGGCTTGGACCCCGACCAGACCGTGCAAGAGATGTCTTCTGTCATTGCCAGAGCGGCGTCCAGCACGGGCAAGCCCGTTTCCAGACGATCGCAACGTAAAATTGACCGCGTGTACCTTCACGAATTGGAAAGGCGTTGGCGGCAGGCTGGTACTCGGGGGGAGAAGGCGAGCTGTGCTCGGGAGGTCTGGCGCGAGAGGGCTCGTTTCAAACATATTTCGCACGAGTGTCGGTGCCAGGGCATCTTGGAAGATCTGTCTAAGGGAGGTTGGGGAAAAGAATGTCGACTGCAGAAATCTTCCAGATTGCATCTTGTTCATCCAGAGACGCAGCACCCGATAATCGACGACGACGAGATCGAGAAAGAAATGCGGAAGCATTACGATGGCATGTTCCAGGATACCTCGACGGATATTGTCCCACCTTGGATTCATAACGTGTTTCCTCTTGCACGCGCAATTCCCATGGGTCATCTTTCTACGAACTTTCTGACAACCCGTGTTCGGGCTAGTTGCGTTTCAGACGGGGTCGTTGGCGAGATGTTGTACGCGTTGGCGTCATACGGTCATTCTGCTCCTGCTGTTCGGCCGTCTTCCCCTTCCACTCCTGCTATTGGTCCCGGGGCATATCGACACCGCCACCTGGTCCATATCCACCGACGTTTTTTCGTCATCCTCCTCCTCCTACTCCTCCTCCTCCTCATCCTCCTCCCCCTCCTCCTCCTCATCCTCCGCCTCATCCTCCTCTTCCTCCTCGTCCTCCTCCTCCTCCTCCCTCCTCCTCCTCCTCCTCCCTCCCTCCTCCTCCTCCTCCTCCTCATCCTCCTCCTCCTCCTCCTCCTCCTCCACCTCCACCTCATCATCCTCATCATCCTCCTCGACCTGCTCCTCCTCCTCCCCATCCTCCTCCTCATCCTCCCCATCCTTGCCTCCAATCGAGATCCTCCTCCTCCCTCCTCCTTCTCCCCTCCTCCTCATCTTCCTCCTCCTCGCTCATCCATGCTGCTTCTCCTCCTCCTCCTCCTCCCCTCTTCCAGCGACAACTCTTGGCCCTCATCCTCCTCCTCCTCCTCCTCATCGTCCTCCCCCTCCTCCTCCTCCTCCTCCTCCTCCTCCTCCTCCTTCCCTCCTCCTCCTCCACCTCCTCCTCCTCTCCTACTCCTCCCCCCCTCCTCCTCCTCGCTTCCCCTGCTCCTCCTCCTCATCCTCCTCCGTCTCCTCCTCCACTTCCTCCTCCTCTTCCTCTTTCTCCTCCTCCTCCTCCCTCTCCTCCTCCTTCTCCTCCTCCTCCTCTTCTCCTCCTCCTCCTCCTCCTCCTCCTCCGCCTCCTCCTCAGTCATCCCCCTGCTAGTCCCTTCCTCCGCCTCGTCCTCCTCCTCCGCCTCCTCCCTCTTCTGCTCTTCTCCTCCTCCACATCCTTACCCTCATCTGCCCTTTCTCTGCTTTCCTCTCCCCTCCGGACTCCTCTTCCTCATGCCGCCCCCTCCCCTCCTCCTCCTCCTCCGCCTCATCCCTCTCCTTCCAATCCTCCTCCTCATTCTCCTCATTCTCCTCTCCTCCTCCTCCTCCTCCTCCTCCTCCTCCTCCTCCTCCTCCCCCTTTTCCTCCCCCCTCCTTCCTCCTCCCTCCTCCTCCTCCTCCTCCTCCTCCTCCTCATCCTCCTCTCCTCCGTCTCCTTTCCTCCTCATCCTCCTCTCCTCCTCCCCTCCTGATCATTTCCTCCTCTAGTCCTCCTCCTCCCCTCTCCTCTTCCTCCTCCCCCTTCTCCCGTCTCCTCCTCCTCCTCCTGCTCATCCTCTTCCTCCTAGTCCTCCTCCTCCTCCTCCTCTTCCTCCTCATCCTCCTCATCATCAGCATCAGAATGAGCATCAGCATCAGCATCAGCATCATCATCAGCGTCATCATCATGATCATCATCAGCAGCAGCATCATCATCATATGTATCATCAGCATCATCATCATCATCATCATCATCATCATCATCATCATCATCATCATCATCATCATCATCATCATCATCATCATCATCATCATCATCATCATTATCAGCATCAGCATCAGCATCATCATCATCAGCATCATCATCATCATTCTTGCCTTTCCTCCTCCTCATCCTCCTCCTCCGCTTACTCCTCCGCTTTCTCCTCCTCCATTTCCCTATCCTCCTCCGGTTCCTCCTCCTCTTCCTCCTCCTCCTCTTTCTCCGCCTCCTCATCCTCCTCCTCCTTCTCCTCCTCCTCCTCCTGCCCCACCTCCTCCAGCCCATTCTCCTCCTCCTCCTCCTTCCCATCCTCATTTTCCTCCCCCTCCTCCTTCTCCTTCTCCTTCTCCACCTCCTCCTCCTCCTCTCCCTCGTTCTCCTCCTCCTCCTCGTCCTCCTCCTTCTCCCCCCTTCTCCGCCTCCTTCTCATCCTTCTCCTCTTCCTCCTCCTCCTCATCCACCTCCTCCGCCTCCTCCTCCTTCTCGTCCTCCTCCTCCTCCTTCTCCTCCTCCTCGCCTTCCATTTCCTCCTCATCCTTTCCCCCCCTCATCAGCATCATCATCCTCGGCCTCTTCCTCCTATGCCGCGTCATCCGTCTTATCCGCCTCCTCCTGTTCCTCATCCTCCTTCTCATCCTCCTCTTCATCCGCCTCCTCCGCATCACCATGAATATAAGCATCATCATCAGCAGCATCATCATCAACATCATCATCAACAACATCGGCATCCTCATCATCATTATCAGCATCATCACCGTCATCGCCATTAGCTTCATCATCAGCAGCATCAGCAACATCAGCATCATCTGATCATCCCCATCAGCAGCATCATCGTCAACAGCATCGTCAGCATCATCACCATCATCATCATCATCATCATCATCATCATCAACATCATCATAGTCATCATCATCATCGCCAGCATCACTAGATCACCAGCATCAACAATATCGTTATCTTCATCACCTCATCAGCATCATAATCATCGTCAGCATCATCATCATCATCATCATCATCATCAGCATCATCATCATCATCATCATCAACAGTTACATCATCCTCATCGGCAGCAGTATCATCATTATCAGCATCATCGTCAGCAACATGTTCACCATCAGCGTCAGCACCATCGTCGACATCATCGCCATCAGCAGCACCAGCATCATGATCATCGTCATCAGCATCACCATCAGCCAAATTATCATCATCATCATCACCATCGTCAGCGACAGCAGCATCAGCATTAGCAGTAGCATCATCAACATCATCATCATCATCATCACCATCACCATCGTCAGCAGCATCGGCACCATAGCCAGCGTCATCAGCATCAGCATCAACATCAGCATCATCATCAGCAGCATCAGCATCGGCATCAGTATCAGCATCAGCAGCATCATCATCAGCACCTTCATCATCCTCAGCGGCATCATCATCATCATCATCAGCATCAGCATCACCATCATCACCATCATCAGCATCACCGGCATCGTCAACATCATCAGCAACATCATCAGCATCATCGTCACCATCATCAACCAAATCAGTATCAGCATCATCAGCGGCATCATGAGCATCAGCATCAACACCTGCATCAGCATCAGCAGCATCATCATTCGCAGCGTCGGCATCATCATCGGCATGAGCATCATCATAAGCACCATCATAATCAGCAGCATCATCAGCATCGTCGTCCTCAGCCGCATCATCATCAACATCAGCATCAGCACCGTCATCATCATCAACCTCATCATCACCAACATCAGCACCAGCCCCAGCAGCATTAGCGTCATCATTACCATCATCATCAGCATCATCATCGTCAGCATCATCAGCATCATCCTCGTGATCAGCATCATTGTCATCAGCAGGAACAGCATCAGCATCATCAGCATCATCATCAGCATCAGCTTCAGTTCAGCAGCATCAGCATCATCAGCATAATCAAAATCAAGATCAGCATCAGCAGCATAATCAGCATCAGCATCAGCAGCATCATCAGCATCCTTATCAGCATCATCTTCAGCACCAGCAGCATCACCATCATCAGCAGCATTATCACACAATCGTCATCACCAGCAGCATCCTCATCACCATCATCCTCATCATCTCAATCATCATCAATCAATATCAGCATCATCTTCAACATTTGCATAACCATCATTCCCATCATCATGATCATGATGATGATAACCATCAGCATCGTCATCATCATCATCATCAACAGCGTCATCAGCAGCAGCATTCTCTTCTGTCTCATCATTCATCATCCTCTTCCTCCTCCTCATCCTCTTCCTGCTCCTGCTCCTCCTCATCATCAACATCATCTGCCTGCTCATCTGCCTCCGCATCCTCCTCCGTCTGCCTCCTCGATCATTCGATAAATCGGACAACCACTTATTATACAAGCAAGTCTACCTTCTCCGCCTCCTCAGAGTCGTCCCTCTCCTCCTTTGCCTTCTCCAGCTGCACCTGCTCATCCTGCCACTTATTGAAACAGTGTGCTCTCAATTTGTTTGCTTCTGTCCCACAGTGTGGCGATAAGCGTTTATCAGAGAGAGTTCAGATCCGATTCCCTTACTCCTCCTCTTCCTCCTCCTCCTCCTCCTACTCCGCCCCCTCCCCCTCCTCCTGAGAGGCGCGGGAAGGGAGAGATCTAAGAGGCGAGCGAAAGTTTCAGGAGGCTTGGGTCCAGAGGGGGTCCTGGGCAAATCTGGAAGCGACGATGCCATTACTCGATGTTCTTCCGCGCAGCCTTAGGAGCCGTGGGCCACGCCACCATCCCCGAGTCAGGACCCGCGGCCCCGGCGACGCCTCGGGCATCTTTGCTCGGGCCGCAAACCAAGACACGCTGGCCTGCCACAGCCGACCGCTTCGGGGAGGGGGGGTTCTTCCACCAACGCCCCCTGCGCAGCCTCAGAGCTGGCGCTGCCGCTGGGCCAAGAGGCTCGACGGGCAGAAGAATGGGGTGAGATAAACTGTCATGCCATACTCCTTCCCACCTCTCCTTCTCTTCCTCCCCCACCCTCACGGATGTGAAACTAATACCCAGCCACTTCAGCTCCATCATCGCCTACCGAACGCCATGGAGGTCTCTATCCCGCTGGAGTTCGGCAGAATGGCGTAATTAAGCCACTTGGACAAACTGTCACGCCATCGGGAACGCCTGCCCCAGGGCGGCTGGAAAGTTTGTGCCCAGGCATGTCAACGCAGGGGTGTGAATTTCCCAGCCGCCCTGTGACAGACATCCCGGATGGCGGCAGAAAGGCCTGTCATTACTTAAACCACGAAGCTGGAAGCACACATGGCCAGGGCCACGGGTGGAGCACCTAGAGGCGACGCACATGCGGAAGCCCAGCGTGCCCGGCCATGGAAGGGCCAACCGCTGGAGAGACAGCCGGCCACGCGTGTGCACCCAGCCTCCGCCCAGGCAGGCCGCGTCACGTGTGCCCGGCACGGGCCCGAGGCCTCGCGGCCCCGCTGAGCCCCCAAGCCCCCCCCCCGACAACGCAGCAGCCCTCCCAGGCCGGGGCCCCCACACCCCACCACCCCTGCGGGCGATCTGCCATGCGGCACCTGTGCCACCGAGCCCGGCCCCCCGGCCCCCCCCCCTCACGGCCAGGAAGGAGGGGAAGGAAGGAAAAGGAGGGAAAGAGCGAGCGACGCCCGCGGACCCTGGAGCAAGACGCACGCGTGCGGACTTGAGTTGGGCTCGCCAGAGCAGAGGCCCAAGGGTCTGGTGTAGGGAAGATATGACGTAAGTGTACGTTGGTCAGAGCGAGAGAGGAGAGATAGGTATAAAGATACGAGAGACAAGGGGAGAGACACACCGAGATATCGAATCATATGTACAAACATAGTTACACAACACATCAGCACAAGCGAACATAGAGAGCGATCTACTAAGAAGAGGAAGGGATATAGAGCGAAGGGTCAATATACCGAATGTATGTGTCTATATCGAAAGGGAGAAAGGCAAAGAGAGAGAAAGAGAGACAACGAACAAACCATAAGAAACAGGAAGAGAAAGAGAGAGAGAGAGAGAGAAAGAGACTGGGAGAGAGAGAGAGACATAAATAACACATGTACATATCTATGTATATATATATACACAGAGAGAGAGAGACAGAGATAACAAGAGAGAACTAAACATGAATATAATCACAAACAAGAGAACGCGAGAGGGGGAGATGGAAGAGGAAACGGTGAGCCTTGACAAAGTCCTCCGCCCTTTTGAGCTTGTCGGTGTGCTGCGTGAACAAATGCAGGCGGCTGGGCGGGAACATGCAGTGCTCGACAGCCAAGTCCAGGGGCGTCCGGCCGTTATTGTTCCTGCGAGCGGCGCAACGCTTCCAGACGAGGTCCGCGGAGATCTTCGGAGATGAGGTCCACCCAAGTCCCATGCACGAGAGACGTAGGGAGAGGACGAGCAAGAGGAGGGAACGGACGAGGAGGAACCAGAGGAAGAGGACCACGACGACGATGACGGGCAAGACGACGACAATGACAGGGAGGACGATGACGGGGACGACGATGCGCGGCATCCCGCCCGAGGTGGCCGGCCAGTACCCCTCCACGGCGCGGTAATACGAGGAGGAGGAGGAGGAGGTTCAGGAGGAGGAGGCGGAGGAGGAGAAAGAGGACGAGGAGGTGGAGGACGAGGGCGATGAGGAATAGCAGCTGGAGGAGAAGGACAACAGGAGGAGAAGGAGGAGAAAGGAAACGGGGCAAATCAGGCGCGCCTGGCATCCTACCACCTCTATAAATCCTCCCCTACTGTGCGGAATTATTTCCTTTCCGCCAGTTGCACTTGTTGTCCTTGCATTTTATCTGTGAACAGCATGTCACTGTTCATTCAAGTGGCCACGTCGTGCGACGCGCAATCAAGGAGGAAGAGCGGCGCGCATTAAACGAAGAAAGGAAAGAGGCGGCGGAACAACATGAAAACGAGTTGGAGGAATCTGAGAAGGGTACGGGAGCATCAACAGCATAATGAGCGAAACTACTTGGACGCCCAAAAGAAAGCGGAAGACAGAAAACGAGGTGGCGGCAACAACGGGGAACGAACTGGATGTAGAAATGTGACCAACGCGGGGGCGAGAGCGCACCTTTGTGAAGGGGGCCAAGGACACAGGATGCCTCATATTTCCCCATATGTTCTGGATGTTCGTTTTCCCCCCTTCCCATATTTCCCCGCATTTCCGGGGAGTCGACAATGAATTGTGCTTGTGGTTTTCCCCTCCTGAATCTGAGAGACGGGACAGAGCGCGTACAACGCGGCCGGCGCTGCAACAGGAACGCGAGGAGAACAACCAGGCGGGCACACAGAACACGGCTGGCGTCCTGCGCGCGCAGGAAAAACTCGCTGGGGCACGGGGGCACCCCCGCGCAAGACAGCACCAGGAGAGGGGGGGAGCGAGAGAGAGAGAGAGAGGGGGGGGGATGGGGGGGGAGAGGGGGAATGCGCGGGCAGCGTTGCGGCACCCCCGTACGCAGTGTGGAAGGGCACGGGTGGCCGCGGGCGGCCTCGCCGGCGGACGCTGCGCGAGGCGCCTCGGGCGCTGCCCACCAGCTCCCCCGTCCTGGCCCGGCAGCGCGGCCGCCCCCCCCACCCGCGCAGGGGGCATAGGGGCCGGGTTCCGGCGCGGCCGGGGGCGCGCCCGAGAGGGCCACGGCCGACCGAGCCGCCGATCGGCAGGCCCCGCCGAAGCGGGCCGGCGGCGCCCAAGGCCCGCCAGAAAGTGGTGACCAAGGCTGGGAGGCGCGAGGTGTTCGGCAAACTTGTCGCGGTGAGAGCTGAGCCGGCCAATGCTATCGCGAAGGCCTTCCCGACCGAGGCCCTCGAGCTCCGAGGGCCGCGGCGCTCCCATGCGGCGGGAGGCACGCCCGCACGGGTGGCCCCCGCCGACCGAAACACAACGCGGCAACTCGCCCCAGCCCTCCCTGGAGGACACCCCCGACGAACCTCCCAACGAACCCCCCCCCCCGACGACCTACAACGAACCCCCCCGCCGACGACCCCCAACGAAGATACCCCCACAACGAGCCCGACGTCCACCGCCCACTCCACCACTCCGCCTGCGCTGCCTGGCCGGCGTCGCTGCTGCAATGTCCGTAGCCTCGTCGTCAAGGGTGTCTCGTTTCTCCCGGCCCGAGGCCCTGCCCCTCTGCTTCCGGCTGCTTCCCTTCACCTCCGCCCCGTCCTCCTCCCTACCCTCTTGTTCCCTGCCTGCTGTCGTCGCCCGGCCCCCACCACTCCCGCCTGCCCACCTGCCTGCCCGCCTGCCCGCCCGCCCGCTGCCTCTTCGGGGCCTTCGGTGGAGCTCACCATGGGGTCGCAAAGCGCCGTGCTGGGTGGCGCGGGACGCATACGGCAACGACCCGAGCCTGCGCGGCGGCGCGCTTCGGCTGCCCGTGGCCCGACACGCGCCGCCCACCTGCGCCGCAGTCGTATTTGAGGGAGGGGCTGAGGGGGGGTGGGAGTGGAGCGAGGGGTGCAACAAGGATGGTGAGAAGGACGAGGAAGGGGAGATAGAGGACGGAGAGAAGAGAAGTGGAAAACGCGTCGGTGGATGGAGGCCTCGTCTCTGGACGGCTTTGAGGACTTCAATTCACGGGCCTGTCTGCACGAAAATTGCTGCACAACGCCAGTGTCGTCCTCCTCGTCCTCGCCCTCCGGTTCCCTCTTCTTCTCATCCTACACCTCATGTTGACTCTGCTGCTGCTGCTGCCGACGCTGCTATTCCTCCTCCTCCTCCTCCTCCTCCTCCTCCTCCTCCTCCTCCTCATCATCATCATCATCATCATCATCATCATCATCATCATCATCATCATCATCATCATCGTCGTCATCATCATCATTAGCAGCAGCAGCATCACCAACATCATCCATCATCATCATCGTCAGCATCAGCATCATCATCAACAACATCATTAACATCATCATAACCATCACCAGCAGTACCATCATCATCATCATCATCATCATCATCATCATCATCATCATCATCATCGTCATCATCGTCATCATCGTCATCATCATCAGCATCGTCATCATCATCATCCTCATCCTCATCCTAATCCTCATCCTCGCCATCATCATCAGCATCAGCATCAGCATCATCATCAGCATCATCATCATCATCGCCATCATCATTATCATCATCATCATAATCAGCAGCAGCATAATCATCATCAGCAGCATCAGCTGCATCAACATCAGCAGCATCAGCAGCACCATCATAATCCTCTTCATCATCTGCATAATCATCCTCCTCCTCTTCCTCCTCCTCCTCGTCATCACCATCATCATCAACATCATCATCAGCAGCATCATCATCGCCTCCATCATCCTCACCATCACCATCACCACCGCCATCACCAGCATTATAATCATCAGCACCATCATTATCTGCAGCAGAATCCTCATCAGCACCAGCATCATCATCATAATCAACATCGTCATCATCATCCCATCATCAACATCATCATCATAATCATCCGCATTGCTATCCTCATCACGAGCACCACCACCATCATCGTAATCATCATCATCATCAGCAGCATCATCATCCTCTCCTCTCCTCCTCCTCTTCCTCCTCGATCTCCTCCTCGCCCCCTCACCCCCCCTCCTTTCCTCATCTCCGTCCTCCTCCTCCTCATCCTCCTCTTCCTCCTCACCCCGCTTCGCCTCATCTCCTGTAACGTCACCGCTTCCACTCCCGCCGATCACCGTCCTCTGCTGCGTCAGCTCGCGCATCTGCTGAGGAAGCACGAGGGGCGTCTCGCTGCACCCGTCGACTGGTTCTGCGGGAATGATGGCCGACGACGGCGACGCATCGACCACAACGGCATATAGAACAGTAGGCCGTTACGAACAGTCATCATGCTACCATGAAGAACCCCGAATGCGGAACGAAGGGGCGCTTCTTGTCACGACTGGCTTCGACCACCGACAGGCTCTATGAACTAAATCTAATCAACGGCCCAAAGACAATAATCCCTCCTGAGCCAACAACGTTCCGTACTTCGACGCCTTCAACAACAAAAACCTTGCTGCGAAGAGTGCAGGCACAAGCTCGTCGACTGAAACCTTGGCAGGGGGCAGCGGCTGCGGGGGGCTGGCTGGCTGAACTGGAACGCCCATGGAAGCTCGAGCAACGTGCAGCCCTGCGGCAAAATGCTAAGGATTCTGTGTTACGCGCGGTGGCGGCCAGGCGTGGTCAGCGATGGGCCGTCGCCAGTGGGGCGCCAAGCCCAAGCCGCGCCGACGGCGTGTGCGCGCCAGCTGTGCTGCTCCGCCGAAGAACGTCGAATACCAAGCCAGGGGTGGGGTGGGCCCGGGGGGCGGCCGAGGCTGCGAAGGCTGAACCACTCGGAGCTGGCTGTGCCTCCGAAGGCCGTCAAGCCGCGCAACATGAGTAGCCACCGATACTGTGGGGGGCCATCCACGTACGGCTGTGCAAGGGCTGGCGGAAGCGCTGCGTGAGGCCAAGGTGGTGGGGAAAAACATTGCCAGCAAGGGCTGGTGGGGATATTTTTTTTGGTTCGCGGCTCCAAGGCGAGGGACAGGGAGCGGGTCAAACGTCCGGGGCGCGGTACGCTTAAATTGGCCGCAGAAGCGTATGCACATGCCAGGGACAAAATGCCCCTCATTGAGACGCAGGACAACGTCGGCAGGTGACCGGCCCAGACATCCCGGCAGGTGGGGAAGCAAAGGCGCGGCGACCAGCGGCGGAACGGGGGGGAGAAGTTGCCCTTGCGGCGCCAAGCTCCTGCCGAACCACAATCGGAGGCGAGGCCAAAATGGGCGGCGGGGCACTGTAAGCCGCATGCGCGGAACCGAAAGGCCAATGACCCAACGAAGCCCACGTGCATGCACCCAGTGACAGGCCTAGACCTCGGAAAAGGGGAGGGGGGAGAGTGCGAGCGCGAGCGAATAACTCAGACTCACTGCGGCACCCCGGGTGAACGATGGTGCGGCGAAAGAGGCCTGACTCATCAAGGCTCACTGGAGCTAATGTGTGGCTGATCCGCGTCAGATCGCCACCCAGTAGAGAAAGACCACTGGTGTGCGTCCACGAGGCAGAGCCACCTCCAGCCGATAGCCAGCGCGTGCACATCGTATCCGACTCACGCAGTTCGGGGGCACAACGATGCAAAGTACTGACGAGGGCTGGTAGCCGGGGCTGCTCTGAAGAGAACGACCACGAACTGCAGAAGGCTGAACCACTCAATGCAGGGCCGCTCACTTGACGAAACCAAACACCGGGGTCACCGAGTGTATGGCTGACAGCTGCACCCAGCCACACCTGCCACGCAGCCCGTGCGGAAGCCGAATACCCCGACGCCGGTGGCGAGACGATGGCTGGCGGCTACCGAGCTGCTGACCGTACCGCTCGTAGGCGGCGTGCTGGCGGCGGGCCAGGACGTCCTTGCGGTAGAACCATGGCCGGGTCGGCGACGGACCAGGGCGGGCCACAGGCAGGAGGGGGGCGCAGCCAAAAGCCGCTGTGCACTGGTGTCACTGAGGGGTGTCGGGGCACCATTCAATAGAGACCACTGGCGTGCGTGCACGAGGCTGACAACCACCAGCAGGTAGCCAGTCCACTTACATCGTATCCGACTCACGCAGTTCGGGGGCACAACGATGCAAAGTCCGGCGAGGGCTGGTGCTGCGGCTGCGCCGAGAAGAACGACACGAACTTGGACCGCGGATGGCTGTACCACTCGACGCGGGGCCGCTCACTGACGAGGCCAAGCACCATGTGTAATAAGAGACCACTGGTGTGCGTGCACGAGGCTGACAACCACCAGCAGGTAGCCGGTCCACTTACATCGTATCCGACTCACGCAGTTCGGGGGCACAACGATGCAATGTCCCGGCGAGGGCTGTGGCTGTGGCTGCGCCGAGAAGAGCGAAACGACCTGGACCGCGGAAGGCTGTACCGCTCGATGCGGGGCCGCTCACTGACACCATGTGTCTGGAGGACAGCCACACCCACTCACACCTGCCACGCTGCCCATGCAGAAACCGGATGCCTCCGACGCCAGGGCATACGGGTGGCTGTCATCTGCAGAGCTGCTGGGCTGTACCGTTCGCTGGCTGTGCTGACGTGCCAAGGCGTACTTAATAGAACCATGGTTGGGTTCGGCGACGAGGGACCGATACTCCCTGGGCAGGTCTCATGGCGGACGCTCTTCTGCGTCCGATGCAATCTACGCTGTTGATCGGGGGGGGCGCAGCCAAAAGCCGCAGAGACGTTGTGAATGAGAGGAGGAGAACGGGAAGAATCGGTGGCACAGCCAAAAGCCGCTGAACACAGATCCTGGGCACGAGGAGGAGGAGGGACCAGGGGGGCGCAGCCAAAAGCCGCAGTCACCGATGTATTGAAGGAGGAGGAGGGTTGGACGGCCCTCTGGAGCAGTGCTGTCTGCTCGGAGTCCGCTCGTCCATCGACGCCTGGCGGTCTCTGAGGTGAGGCACCCGTCGCTGCAAGGGGGGGTCTGGTTGCCTGCCCCCTTGGTGGGTGGCCAACGCCGTCCAATCCATGGACACGTGTTGATTCTCTCCAGATACCTCCTCCACGGACGCCTCTTGGTTCCCTACGGGAGCCTCGTTCTCGGCCGCTGGGGGCTGGGTGGAACCTGCAGCTCGGCCTCCGTGCCTCACACAGGGCACCCTTCACTGTACCTCAGGTCCAACGGTCCATTGTAGTTCCTCTACGGCCTCCTGCAAGGGGGGGGCGCAGCCAAAAGCCGCTGAACACAGGTACGCGGTGGGGGGTGGAAAGCTGCAGGGACATCCCGGCAGTGCGTCGGCACATGTGGACCACGCTGGAGAGGGTGGTGCCACCGCCACCACTGACCGACAGAAACGGGATGCAAGGGTACCAGAACCACAGAGGGCGGCCCCGGGACCAGCGGCGGCCCCCCAGGGAGCCCGGCGCCAGGATGCAAACGCTGGCGGAAGCGCTGCGTGAGGCCGAGCTGGTGGGGAAGAACATCGCCAGCAAGGGCTGGTGGGGACACGTTTTTACCTAACAGCTCTTGCTGATAGGTTTCTAGTGGTCTCAAAAGAGAGCATCATGACTCCTCAGGGGGGTCTGGGCGGGACCCGGACAGGCTGCCGCCGCGGCTGCCGCCGCACTCGTTTTCGCAAACAGTCACACACTTCGTGCTCTTCGACCTCCCAAAACTCCATTCCCGGGCCACATTCTGAATGCCCGGAGCCAACTACCTGTAGGCCACTTCGTGCTCTTCGACTTCCCAGAACTCCATTCCCGGGCCACATTTTGAATGCCCGGAGCCAACTGTAAGCCATTTCGTGCTCTTCGACTTCCCAGAACTCCATCCCCGGGCCACATTTTGGATGCCCGGAGCCAACTGTAGGCCACTTCGTGCTCTTCAAGTTCCCAGAACTCCATTCCCGGGCCACATTTTGAATGCCCGGAGCCAACTGTAGGCCACTTCGTGTTCTTCTAGTTCCCAGAACTTCGCTCCTGGGCCATATTTTGAATGCTGAGGCAGGCTGATGCTGCGGCCGAGGCAGGCTGAGGCTGAGGCAGGCTGAGGCTGAGGCCGAGGCTGAAGGCAGACTGAGGCTGAGGCTGAAGCAGACTGAGGCTGAGGCTGAGGCAGGCTGAGGCTGAGGCTGATGAGGCTGAGGCTGAGGCTGATGCAGGCTGAGGCTGAGGCAGGCTGAGGCTGAGGCCGAGGCTGAAGGCAGACTGAGGCTGAGGCTGAAGCAGGCTGAGGCTGAGGCTGAGGCAGGCTGAGGCTGAGGCTGAGGCTGAGGCAGAGGCAGGCTGAGGCTGAGGCTGTGACTGCGACTGCCGTTGCCGCTGCGACTGTCATCGCGAATGCGACTACGACTGCGAGAACAGCAGAATTCTACAACTGGATTTTCATTTGAATCTTAAGGGGAATGCTTTCAGGTATGGTTCTACACATCGCTGTTAGGTTGCTTTGCCGGGATATATGTTTTTTTATTCGCGGCCCGCAAGGAAAAGTCCAGAGGGCGGTGTGACTGGCGGGGATACGCGAAGCGTCAAGAATTCTCACTGCTCTTCTCGGGTATCTTTCTCCCCCCTCCACCGATGAGGACTTTCATGGACATTACCAGTGAGGACCGCCATGAGGCCTCACACCCTGCGCAGCTTCCATCTCAGGGGCCGTGGGAGCAAATCCCCACGAACCTGGCACCGCACGTGCAGTGCCTGGGGTGGCAGCCCGTCTTCCCATCCAACCATCACAGGGGGATGCGAAGTTCCTGAAGACTCAAGACGGAAGGGGGTGGGCACGAGTGGGCATCACAGCCAGCTCGAAACCACAGGAGGCATCGTAGCCTCCTCATCGACCGTGCTCATTGGCATGTATTTCATGCGTAACAGCGGTCAGTCTCTCCCTGCCTGACTAGCTACCAGACCACCCCAACCCAACCAGAAGACCCGAATTCCGGGTTGGGGAGGGTTACGAAATCCACATGTCCTTTTTCAATGTTCCCCGACGCCCCCCTCCCCGGGAATCGGGGACAAATTGACGGTTCGGGTGGTTTGGTGGGTGGTGACTCCCGGGTTCCATCTGGTGCATTTTTTCGCCCTGGATCCGCCTTTGACGGCCCCCATGGGCCCGCCAACAGCCCCCAGGGACCGAAAGAGGCAGAAAAAACTCCTCGAACCCAGAACCTCGAGCATGCCCCCTCTCCGGAACCCTCGAACCCAGAAACCTCGAACCCACAACCTCGAACCCAGAGTCTCGAGCATGCCCCCCTCGAGCATGCCTCGAGCGAACCCAGAGAGTCGAAACTAGAACCTCGAACCCTGAACCTCGAGCATGCGAACCAGAAGGTCGCCCCCCTCCTCCTCCTGGCCGGAGCCAGTGCTGGGCCACCTCAGAACCCCACTGGCCGGCTTTACCTCTCGGCGCCCTCCTCGACACCCCCTGCCCAAGAGCCCACGAGGAAGCCGACGACGCTCACAGAAGAAGAAGAATAATAATACGAAGAAAAGAAGAGAAAAAAAAAAAAGAAGAACAAAGAAGAACACACAACAACAAAAGAAACAACGGCGTAAACATAAACTTGTGGCGCTCCGCGCGGATTCCTGGGATCTGCGCTGGGCATGCCCTCCCTGGCGCGCGGGCAGGCGTCTTGGAAATGCGCTGGGCCCTCCCTCCCTGGCACGCGGAGGCGCCGCCAGCGGGGCCCAGCGGCGCGGAGCGCCAACAGTTTCTGTCTACGCCGTTTGTTTTTCTTCGACTCTCGGCGCTCTCCTCGACACCCCCTTCCCACGAGCCCACGAGGAAGCCGACGGTGCTCCCGTGCCCAGAGCGGGGCAACCCCTGCCGGGGGTGGGGAGGGGCAGGAAAGGAGAGGAGGGAAGACTCCCTCGCGCACCCTCTCGGCCCTGCAGTAGGAGCGTGACCACGCGAAACCTTCCACAGGAAACCCAACGCTGCAGCCCACGAGCCCACGAGGAAGTCGACGGTGCTCCCGTGCCCAGGGCGGGGCAGCCCCTGCCGGTGGTGGGGAGGGGCAGGGGAGCAGAGGGGCAGACTCCCGTCGCGCGCTTCTGCGGCCTTGAAGGATGCCAGAAGCCGCACGCTTTCTTTTTCGGCATTTCGACATTGGGCAGAAGAGGGTGGGGGGTCTGGCTCGGGGCCTGTGCGTCCTGTGGGGGAGGCCCGACCTGCTCGAAACAGGCGCCAAGAACAGCCAGGATCTACTCCAGGGAGGGGGGGGAGGGGGCGCGAGGGCCCGCGACGATCGGCAAAACAATGAATAAGAACACGATCTCAGACCGCTGGGGGCGTTTTCTCCTCAAGTTCCAAGATCGACGTCGAAGCTCCGCTCCGGGGACAAAGACATTGTCACGTTTTGGGATCCTCGTGGCTCGCCATCGCTTGGACGTCCATTCCCCGTGCACTTTTCGGCTTCGCGCGTGTGTTTGTATTTTTTCCGCTAGGTGACCTCAAATGCTCCTGGATGGTCCTTGCCGGGGGAAGAGTGCTCACGTCCGAGCGCTGCCAAGGTGGGGCAGCAGGGGCGAAGACGCCCTCTCATCCTCCTCCCCCTCCGCCTCCTCCGCCTCCTCCTCCTCCTCCTCCTCCTCCTCCTCCTCCTCCTCCTCCTCCTCCTCCTCCCCCTCCCCCGCCCCGTGGGCGCCCTCCTGCCACCCTGCCCACGAGGAAGTCGACGATGTTCACGTGGCCCTGCTGCGCGGCCATGTGCAGCACGTTGCCCTTGACCTCTCCAGCTGGGGGACCGGCCGCGGCACCGCCCCAACAGGAGGAGGAGGAGGAGGAGGAGGAGGAGGAGGAGGAGGAGGAGGAGGAGGTGCTCTCTTCTTGTCGATCCTCCTCCCACTCCTCCACGGTCATATGCTCGATCCTCCTCCCCCTCCTCCTCCTCCTCCTCCTCCTCCTCGATCCTCGCGGTCCTCCTCCACGTCCTCCTCCTTCTCGCTTTCTCTCTCTCTCTCTCTCTCTCTATTTTGCTCTCTCTCCCTTTCTCTCTCCCTCTCTCTTTCTATCTCTCTCTCTCTCTGTCTCCTTCTCGCGTTACCCATCCGCCGTTCGGTCGTTCCTTCTTCTCTCTGTCTTTTTCTCTCCCTCTCTCTCTCTCTTTCTAATCTGGACCTGTGTGGTGTTTTTGTTCCCGACATGTGCCTTTTTATGGCCAGGCTGGAAGTTTGCTAGAGAGGGCGACAAGGCTGAACCAAGCACCGTCCACAGCGTCGGCGTCAGACGGAGCAAGAAAAGAAACATGAGGCTCCAGAGGAGAAGAATTTCAAAAAAAGAGGAGGAGGAGGAGGAGGATGAAGCTCCAGAGGAGGAGGAGGAAGAGGAGGAACCCCAGATCCCGCGGTGCCCCGAATGCCCAAGACGTCGCCGTTGCTCCTGGGAGGTCGGTCCAAGTGGAACACCGTCTTGGCCGCTGCGGCGGCCGGAGGCGTGAAGTCGTGGGGAACACGGGGCGCGCTGCTCGGGGGCCTCACGAATCGAACGAACGAAGACGTCGCGGGTCCAGGGTGGGCGAGGCGGGGGAATTCGGCAGGAGGCGACAGGAGGGAGGGTAGGGGGAGGGAGGGAGGGATAATGGCAGAGGAAAGGAAGGGGCGTCGCGCACGGCACAGGGATGCCATGAGGCAGCAATCATTTTGCTCCGCGGCGTTGTAGTCTCAGGGGTGGCTGTTTGGCAAGGGTGGGGATTATCATACGGTCGTCTTGCCATGAGACGCTCCCCGCACAAAAAAAATCGATTCTTCCAGAGGCCGTGAAGAAGGAGCGCGGACGGAGGTTTATTACAACATGGTTGATAGGTCTTGGGTTTGCACTGGTACTCATCCTCCTGTTCATCCTCGCCCTCCTCCTCGTTTTCCTGCTCCTCCTCCTCCTCCTCCTCCGCCTCCTCCTCCTCCTCCTCCTCCTCCTCCTCCTCCTCTTCCTCCTACTCCTGGTCCTCCTCCTCCTGCTCCCCCTCCTCCCCCCCTCCCTCCTTCCCTCCCTCCCTCCCCTCCCTCCCTCCCTCCCCCCCCTCCCCCCTTCCCCCCCCCCCCCCCCTCTGCTGGCCGACCGCGGCTGGCCATGGGGAGGCGCGAGGCTCGGCGGTGCGCCGCGGGGGGGGAAGGGGAAAAGGAGGGCAGGCCTTCTCAACTACGTAGGCGGCGGGTTTCTCGGAGGCCTTCCAGGCCTCCTCCCCTCCTCCTCCTGCCTCCTCTCCTCCTCCTCCTCCTCCTCCTCCTCCTCCTCCTCCTCCTCTCCCTCTTCCTCCTCCCACCCCTCCTCCTCCACCTCCTCCTCCTCCTCCTCCTCCTCCTCCTCCGCCTTTTCCTCCTCCTCCTCTTTTCCTCCTCCTCCTCCTCCTCTCTCTTCCCCCCCTGCTCCTCCCCTCCCCTCCTCCTCCCCCCTCCTCCTCCCCTCCTCCTCCTCCTCTCCTCCTCCTCCCTCCTCCTCCCCCTCCTCCTCCTCCTCCTCCTCGTTATCATCTCCCTCCTCCTGCGGCGGCCGCGTGTCTGCCGCGCGCCGGAAGCACATTGATCTGGAGCATGCGCAACCCCCCAACCCCAGGACAAGCACGCCGCTCAGCGGCAAGCAAGCCCCAGAGCCGAGGGGGTGCGCCGACCGGGGCCTCCACCTCGCATACTCAGGAGCACGGCGGCGACGTGCAGCATGGAGTAGCCGAGCGCGAGCGCCGGACGCCCGCCCCTGACGCCGCCCGCAGCTCTGCGCCCGCCGGCCGCCGTCGGGCCCCGGCGGCCCAGCGCCCTGGGCCCCGCGGGCGCGGCGCGCCCAGCTCCGTTCGCCCCAGCCGCGGCGGCGCGCCACCCAGCCTCCCCAGCGCCGCCCCCCGCTGGAGCAGCAGCGGTAGCAGCGCCGCGCCCGCCAGCGCCCCTCCGAGCCGCACCAGCGGCGCCGCGCTGCGCCGCGCCGGGCCGCCCAGCGGCGGCGCCGCTGGCGCCGCCGCCGCGCCGCCGTTGCCCAGCCGCCTCGGCGCGCGCCCAGCGCCCGCGGCGCGGCGCCCGAGCCCCAGCTGCAGCGGCGCACCCGCCAGCCGCTCAGCGCGCGCCCCCAGCGCCGCCCAGTTCAGCTGGGGCCACGCCCCCGCGCTCACCTCGCGCGCGCGCGGCGGGGCGCCGGCTCGGCGCCGCCTGCCCCGCGGCGCGTCGCCCTGCGCGCGGCCAGGCAGGCGGAGCGAAAGGCCTCCGCGCTCCCGCGCTGCAGCGTCGCCGCGAGGCTCTGGCGAGCCGCCGCCAGCGCGGCGGCGTCGCCGCGCGCCCAAGTGCGCAGGAACCCTGCGCCTCCGCCCCAGCGCGCCCCAGTGCCTCCAGCGCGAAGGCCGTGAGAGCCGGGCCCGGGTAGCGCCTGTGCTTGCGCTCCTCCGCTGCTGCCGCGGCCGCGCCGTCCCGGACGGCGCGGCTCCGGCCCGCCGGCGTGTCTGCTACACGCAAGGCAGTACGGCTCCACGGGATATAGCCAGGCCGCCATTGCCTCGCCATGGGCCACGGCGCACCAATGACACATGATCTGGCATAACTCCTCTTTTGTGGGAGCGCTCTAGAGCGCAAAAAGGCGAGGACAGCGACAAGGAACACACTGTTGGCAAACGCAGGTGCTTCAACATGCTCCGCTATCTTCTTGCACTGCAGCAGGTGTACCGCGCGCAGCACATGCTGCTTTACAACCGGGGGGGCAGGTCTCAGAAATGTTCAGTACACAACCCTCAGGAAATACCCATTCCTCCAGAGATTTGGCCCTGGCACCTACTCTCCACAAAGACGCTCAAAGAGTGGTGAAAGGTCCTGCGATAGAGCTCCACGGGTACATGAGGGGCCTGAGGTGGGCATCCACTTGCAGGAGGCTCATATGGAAGACATGTTTGGGTAACCACTTCTCGTGAACGCACATGAGGAACAAATTGACGGGAAACCTGGTGGCTCTGATGCTGGGGTCCAGGTCCTTGCTGGGGGGCAACCATCAGGGACAACGTGAGGCTTTTACCTGACTGCTTGTGGTCCTGCAACTTGCCTGCAAGGCTTGTCGAAGTCTGGCGCTCCCTCTCATTGACACCCGTGACCGCTGTGCCGTACGCGGTGGCTCCTTCAAGCGCAGCTCAACTCATCTGCCCAAGTAGTCTCCTACGTGCACGTTCTGACTTCAGAGCGGACATGCAACCTCGACGTTTTTTGACGGCAATGTACCTGACCTTGGTGGTGCGCCTGGGTCGGATTCTCCGAGAGGCAAAGCCGACTCCGAGATTGTGCTCCGTCGCCACAACAAGAACGCCGATCTCCCGAAGCCCACGAGCGATGCGAGTGCGAAGCGCATTGGAGTTGCTGAAGACTCCGCTCTTGTCCACAGTGAGCCGCATGTCCACTCTTGCCAGCTCACTAGCCAGAAGCGAGACAGCTTCACAGAGCTCGTCTCCAACAAGCTCCTCCTCCTCCTCCTTTTTCTCCTCCGCCTCCTGCTCCTCCTACGCCTCAGCCTCCTCCTCCTCCGCCTACTCATCCTCCTCATCCGTCCTCTTCTCAGTATCCTCCTCCTCCTCCTGCACCTCCTCCTCCTCCTCCTCCTCCTCCTCTTCCTCTTCCTCCTCCTCCTCCTCATCCCCCTCCTCCACCTACTCCTCCTCCACCTCCCCCTCATCCTCCTCCTCCTCCTCCTCCTCCTTCTCCTCCTCATCCTCCTACTCCGCCTCCCCCTCCTCCTTCTCTTCACCCTTTGCCATCCCTTCTTTCCTACTGCGTGCTGGTCCTCGTTCTCCTCCTCCTCCTCCTCCTCCTCCTCCTCCTCCTCCTCCTCCTCCTGCTCCTGATCAAAGAAGGATCGTACGCGAGATGACGTATTGAACGACATCACGCGGCGGTTTCCGCGGGCCGCGAGCGTGGCACGCCACACTGGAGACGAGGGCGCTTACGCGCGACCTTACGCGGGCAACTTGCGCGCCATTGTCGGCGCAGACGGCCGCGTGTTCCTGCGTCGCTGATCTGTATCTCGACAAGTTTCTCAGAAGGCCGGAGGCGTTCTGGGCCTTCTGAAAAGCCCCGCGCCACCACATTCCCCACTGGACGCGGCGCTGGGAGGCCAAAGGGGAACTCAAGTGAAGAAGAAGGATGGTAAGGAGGATAATGAGGAAGGAAGAGAGGGAGCGAGGGAAGAAGAGCAGGGAGGAAGAGGAGAAGTGAGGGAAGGAGAGAGGGAGGGAGGGAGGGAGCACTAAGAGCTTGTCGGTAGCACTGTGGGCAAACATGTTGCCGCACCTCCCTGGTTCGTCTCCCGGCGGACGTTGTTGGTGGCGGTGAGCTTGGCCTTGTGCTCGAGGAGGCACTCGTGGCCAGTGCTTTCTCTCAGCGGGCGACGCGGCGGCAGATTGTGCATGGGGTTCCCTGATCTAGGACGCTCATGTTAAACCTTGCCATGCCCTCCCTCCATCTTCTTGTTTTCCCCTCCCCCCTCCTCCTCCCACCCATGCTCTTCCTCCTCCTCCTCCTCCTCCTCCTCCTCCTTCGCCTGCGCCCCCTCCTCCACCTCCTCCTCCTCCTCATCCGTCCTCTTCTCATGATCCTCCCCCTCCACCTCCTCCACCTCCTCCTCCTCCTCCCCCTCCTCCTCCTCCTTCTCCTCCATCCCCCTCCGCCTCCTCCTCCTCCTCCTCCTCCTCCTCATCATCATCATCATCATCCGCCTCCTCCTCCTTCTCTTCACCCTTTGCTATCCCATTTTTCCTACTGCGTGCTGGTCCTAGTTATCCTCCTCCTCCTCCTCCTCTTCAGTCTCTTCCTCCCCTCCTCATCTTCCTTCTCCTCCTCGTTCTCATTATCATCACCATCAGCATCGCCATCGTCAGCATCATCATCATCATCATCATCATCATCATCATCATCATCATCATCATCATCAGCAGCATCATCATCATCATCATCATCATCATCATCATCATCATCATCATCATCATCATCATCATCATCATCATCATCATCATCACCATCATCATCATCAGCATCATCATCATCATCATCGTCATCATCATCAGCAGCAGCAGCATCATCACCCTCATCAGCATCATCATGACCATCATCAACATCGTCTTCATCATCAGCATCATCATCGTCATCATCATTAGAAACATCATCATCATTATCATCATCATCATCATCACCATCATCATCAGTATCAGTATCAGTATCAGTATCAGTATCAGTATCGTCGTCCTCACCACTATCATCACCAGCATCACCAGCATCAGCATACTTCATCAGCATCATCAGCACCCTTGCCATCATCATGAATTGCATCATCATCATAATCAGCAGCAACACCATCATCAGCATGATGCTGATCATCATCATCATCATCATCATCATCGTCATCATCATCATCATCATCATCATCATCATCATCATCATCATCATCATCATCATCATCATCATCATCATCATCCGCATCATCGTCATCATCACAAACAGCAGCATCATCATCAGCATCATCATCAGCATCATCATCAGCATCATCATCAGTTTCATCGTCAGTATCATCATCCGCAGCATCATCAACACCATCCTCATCATCAGCATCAACATCATACTCCTCTACCTTTTCGCGATTATGCGCTGCTTCCCCTCCTCCTCCTCCTCCTCCTCCTCCACCTCCACCTCCACCTCCACCTCCCCCTCGATCTTCTCCTCCCTCCTCAATCTCCTGCTCCCCCTCGTTCTCCTCGCCCACCTCCCGTCGTCCCCCCATCTCACCATACTCCTCATCATGATCATCCCACTCCTGCTCCTGCCATTCCTCCCGCTCCTCCTCGCCGTTAAGTTCCTGCTCCTGCTACTTATCCTCCACCCCGCCAACCCTCATCCAGCTCCTCCTGGTTACCGATTGGATCCGAACGGAACCACCCAATCAACACGCTATGATACCCCCTTGCACCAATATTGTCGACTGATCCCACGTCACCTCCGAGTCACCTCCCCATCCTCCTCGGCCTGCCCCCCCTCCCCTTGTTCCAAGTCAGCTATCAAAAAAAAAAAAAAAAAAAACTCTCTCGCGCGGGCTGGTCCTTCGCTCGCGTGTCGGACGGGCGGGCTCTGATGGGGTGGTGCTACGGCCCAGTCTGAACACACTTACCTCGATAGGGGAACGAATAAGGACATGCATTGAAAAACTCATAGGTCCGCGTGGATTTCTCGGATCGGCACTGGCCCCCCTCCATGGCGCGCGGAGCGCGCCAGGGGCGGCGCCGGAGGCGCCGCCAGGGGGTCCCAGCGCCGATCCGAGGAATCCGCGCGGATCTCCGAGTTTTTATGTTCATGTCACTGTTCGTTTCCCTGCACGCCTTACCTCAGCCCCCCCGGCGAGAGACTGTCACAAGCAGCTCCTGGGGTCGATCTGGGAGGCCCTTCCGTTACGTTTTCGGACTGCGCCGGTGTTGCTTCCCGCTCGTGCTCGAGGATCTCCCTGGCCAACCCTTCGAGCGAACGAGCCTATACGCTGGCAGCGGAGGAGTGGAGGAATAGAACACATCCTCCTCCTCCTCCTCCTCCTCCTCCTCCAAAGTCACAGCTCACAAGGAGCTGGACGAGCAGGGGATGGCGGAGCGAGAACATGTCCGGAGGTTAGGTAACGACTACGTGGACACTGCCACGAAGTTAGCACCCTCACCCTGATCCCCATAAAATACCATCCCCGTACGCCCGAACCAGCAAAGCTGTCACCCCTCTTGCCGGAAGATGCTGGCTCTGTGGCCAAACAAAAAAGAAAAAAAACTGAATAAACATAAACTTTTGACACTCCGCACGGATTTCTTGGATCCTCGCTGGGCCCCCTAGGCGGCGCCTCCAGCGCCGCCCCTGGTGCGCTCCGCGCGCCAGGGAGAAGGTCTAAAAAATTCGCGCGGAACGTCAGAAGTTTATGTTTAGGGCGTCTTTTTCTAGAATTGCGACCTCCCAGAAGCGGAGCAGTAAGCCGCAACGGGGAGGGACAGCGATGGAATGGAGAAAGGGGGAGAGTCAAAGTGACGACATAGATATGTACATCTAAATAGTTGTTCATCTAATGCTTACGTGCTCGTCTGTGTTAAATTGTAGAGAAAGAGGGAGAAGAGATAAACGGGCGACGTATGCATACATGTATGTAGATCCCTGTATGTGGTATATCTGTTCAAGTAAGAGTACATGCCAGAACAGGGCCCAGCCGTACTGCCAGAACAAGGCCGTCCTCATGCCAGAACAAGGGCCAGCTCAGGGGCAGTAACATACTTGAACACAATCGTTCCAGAGAAGGCCCTCAGAGGCAACACCAGCCTGAGCACCTTCACCGCCGGCCTAAAATCGCGGATAGGCCGCTACATCCAAACTTGGACGGGGCAGCTTTCCAGGACAAGGCCCTGCGCAGGGACCAGAACATAATGAACACAACCATCGGCCAGGCATCGCGGCACCAATCCAGAATAAGGCGCTGCTCAGGGGCTAGCACACTGAGCACCACCAATCCAGAACAAAGACTTGCTCAGGGTTATTGGGGTTGACGACCACAATTCCAGAAGAAGGCCCTGCTCAGGGGCAATAGCAGGATGACTACAATCTCAGCACATCCAAGCTTGAAAGGCGCAGCGTTCCAGAAGAAGGCCCTGGCCAGGAACAAAACACACTGACGATCACACTTGCAAAACAAGGCACAGCTCAGGGTCAATCCCATTCTGGTTACCATCATGCCAGAACAAGGCCCAGCTCAGACGCCACAACATACTGAGAACCTACATTCCAGAGAAAGGCACTGCTCAACGGCAATAGCACACTGATCATCAACATCGGCCTGAGACCGTGGATAGCCCAGCACATCCAAAATTAGACGGGAGAGAGTTCCAATTCATAGTGCTGGACGTCGTCGTGGCGTTTGACTCCGTCGCGAGTATCGGCCACGCGGCCAGGACCAGAGGTTAAGAAAATGCCCCCACCCCCCCGTCCCTGGTGGTTACCGCTGCGGGCTAATAACGATAGTGCTGGATCCCAACGCGGTGATCAAACCATCTGTGCTAGCCGCCGTGCACGTTGCGAGTGCACCCTACCACAGAACAATAATTCTAGGGATACGATGTTTGGGGCAAACGCTGGCTAACATGCCAATGCAGCGAAAGGGAAAGGGAAGAACGGGGAGGACGAAGCGAGGAGAAAAGACGAGGAGGAATAATGATGATGAGGAGGAGGGGGAGGACGACGACGACCGCGGCGGCGGAGGACGAGGACGCCGAAGTAAGGCGCGTGCCAAGGACGTCAGGGGCGCTCGGGGCGGCGGTTCTGCAAGAAGCGAGGCGGAGGCGGGCAGGGAGCTGCGCAGCCTTGAGCGCCGCGGCCTTGTTGAGCCAGGCGGCGTCGTGGAGGGGGAGGTAGTGTATGTGCCTCGGAGGCGGGGGCGGACAACGTCGCGAGGAGCGGGGGGGCGGATGGGAGGAGGAAGAGGAGGGGGAGGAGGAGGAGGAGGAAGAGGAGGAGGAAGAGGAGGAGGAGAAAGAATTTAGCCTTCCTCCTCCACCTGCCCTTCTTCCTCCTCCTCCTCCTCCTCCTCCTCCTCCTCCTCCTCCTCCTCCTCCTCATCCGTCCTCTCCTCATTCTCCTCCTCCTCCTCCTCCTCCTCCTCCTCTTCCTCCTGATCCTCCTCCTCCTCCTCTTCCTCCTCCTCCTCATCAGCATCATCATCATCACCACCACCAGTCGCTTCTGACCTACAACTCCTCCACCTGCTCATCCACGCATTCATCCTAGCCATCCTCGCTCTCGTCATTCACCTCCTCGTCATCCAAGGCCACGTAAGAACTCGTATCCTCCCCTCCCTCCCCCTCCTCCTCCTCTTCCTCCTCATCCGTCATGTGTTCGGCACTCACAGCCTGTTGTCCACCACCACCACCTCCCCATGCAGATCCACCTCCTCATCATCCTCCTCATCCCCCTCCTCCTCCTCCTCCTCCTCCTCCTCTCCTCACCATCACCATCACCATCACCATCACCATCACCATCATCATCATCATCATCATCATCATCATCATCATCATCATCATCATCATCATCATCATCATCATCATCATCATCATCATCATCATCATCATCGTCATCATCATCATCATCATCATCATAATCGTCATCATCAGCATCATCATCATTATCATTATCATCATCACCATCACCATCATCATCATCGACATCACCATCATCATCATCACCAATACCATCAAGTCATCATCCTCACCAGCATCGTCAGCATCGTCATCATCATCAGCGGCATCATCACCAGCTTCTTCTTCATCATCACCAACATCATCATCATCATCATCATCAGCATAATCAGCATCCACATCATCAGCATCATCAGCATTGTCATCATCCGCATCTGCAAGATCGTCATCATCGTCAATAGCATCATCAGCAGCATCATTGTCGCAATCATTATCATCAGCATAATCATCAGCATACTCAGCAGCATCATCATCAACCTACTCATCATCATCAGCATCAGCATCATCGTCGTCAGCAGCAGCAGCATCACCTTCATCAACGTCCTTACCATAATCATCACCATCGTCGCCGTCGCCATCGCAGTCTCACCTTCATCGTAGTAATCATCCACATCATCAGTACCATCAGCATCCGTCATCACCAACAGCATCATCAGTACCATCTTCATCATCCGCAGCATCATCAACCTCACCAGCATCATGCTCAGGTAAATCAGCAGCACTGTCACCATCATCAGCTCCATCGTCGACCTCATCATCAACACCATCATGGCCATCACCATCATCTAGAGGAAAAAGAACTATGCACATGCACCGATTCTGGCCAGGCCCATCCTGAGCCGAGGATCGGTGCATACGCCCTCCTACCTTGGCCAGGAAGGCATATGCACCGATCCTGGGTCAAGGATGGGCCTTGCCAGGAGCGGTGCATGTGCATAGTTCTCTTCGCCCGATCATCATGACCAGCAGAACAGCAACCATCACCACCATAATCACCATCGCGCGACTGCCCTTCTGCCGCTGGCCAGAACTGGGCCGACGGGCGCTCCACCCGAGGGGCCCCACCAATGTGGGCTCGAACGGGCCTCTGATAATATCCTGAGAGACAACCCGTTAGGATGCCAGGGTGGGCACGTGCGGATATATATATATATATATATATATATATATATATATATATATATTGGTGGCGCACGTGCGCATATGCGATAGAAGCATAAAGCTCTGGAGAGAAACGCGCCCTCCCTCGAAATGGCATTCTGCCCGAGATGTCTCACCAATCCGCCAATCTGGGCGCGAATGGGCCAGTGATGATGTCCTGGCCGATACCTCCTTGTGGAGGCCCGACGTTCTGACCGAGAGGTGCCGCCAATCCTGGCGCGAACGTCCGAGGTCACACCCAGGTCTGAAAGCCCGTGGGAAGCCCGAGAACAATGGTTGCTAGCACGGGACAGTCATGAGGTTCTGACGATAAAATCGCCCACATCCCAAAATCGGTATTCGACCCGAGAATCCCCACCAGTCCTAGAACGAGCGGAGGCACGATGACATCTCGATGGGCATGCTGAGAGGCCCGAGCGCGGGGAATGCCAGCACGCTGGGATTACGAGACTCGCGCTGAATGGCCCGGATGAGCGGTCCACCTGGGCGTCCCCACGCAGGGACTCCCGAGGCCCAGGAGCGGGGTGCTGCCGCCCCCGGGGGGCCCACGCTGGGAGACAGAGGCAGCGTCATGAGACGTTCCCCAGGGCGGCGGAAACAAAGAGTCAGGATGCCTGAGGTCCCCCTTTGGGGAATTCCTGAGAACGGGGGTCCTAAGGATCCCCTTGGGGATCCTGAGGGATTCCGAAGGATCCCCTGGGGGATACCTCCGCGTACTGAGATTTTTCCCAGGGCGGCGAAAGCAAAGAGTCAGGATGCCTGAGATCCCCCTTTGGGGGATTCCTCAGAATGGGGTTCCTACGGATGCCCCTTGGGGGATTCCTGAGGGGTTCCGAAGGATCCCCTGAGGGCGACCTGGGGGACCCCTGAGGATTCTCGAAGGATGCCCAAGGGTTCCATAAGGATTCTTAAGGGATTCCCTGAGGGTCCTCAGAGCTTCGGGGCCAGGCGGGGCGCCTCTCTGTCCAGGCCCCGCCGCGTGGCCTCTGAAGCAACGCCTCACACCCCCGACGGCATGATGCCTCGCCACGTGGACCCCTGGAGGTGTCGACCCACCCCACCTGGACCGACGTTTCCGTCCCGAGTCGAGGGATAGGACGGTCTCGGGGCCCGGCCAGAGCCCCCAGCATGAGGCCGAAAAAGCAGCGAGAAGCCTTCGCCTCGAGCTTTGCCCATGCCGAAACCCACGTGGCGCGGCCGTCATCTCGAAGCTCCTGGAGGCACGCTGCGCGGAGGCTCACTGCGCCCGCGCCGGCTGCGTCGGGGCCCCGAGCCGCAGGCATCCAACGCCACCTCATTGATCGGCTCTGACCGGCGTGCAGAAAGGGTTCATCCAAAAGCTTGTTCTTTCGCAGGGTCGCGCGGACCGCTGAGGACACACCGCTTCCCATTGCACGGGGAACACTTCGCCTGGAAAGCCGCGACGGAAATCCGCCGCGCATCGGCTACGTACGGCGCGTCGCCGACGACCCAGAAAACGAAGCCCGGCGCCCCCATCGTTCCTTCCGCCCCCGGGCTCGCCTGGAGGGCCTCGAGAGGGCCCCCGAGGTCAGGTGGTCCGCGGGGCGGGGCACGGGAGCGGAGGGAAAGGGCAGAGGCCTCTTAAAGGGGTCCGAGGCCAAGATGTTCCTCCTCCGATGCTCTCGAAGACGCCTCGTCCGCAGGGGCGGCGCCGAGCCTCGAGCTCGTCGCTGGCGCCGCCCACTCTGCGAGGCCGCAGTGTCTGAAGTCTAGGACTCCTGAAATCGCGCCGCATCGCCGACGCATCGGCAATGCACCGGCGATGCATCGGCGCCGTCGGCGCGGAGAAAATCGGGCTCCACATCGAGCCGCATCGCCGAGGCATCGGCGATGCGGCGCGATCCTCCGACTCCATCTGCTCTGACCACATCTGGGAGGCTATAGACACGACGGCTTCGACCGAAGCGGCGAAAAAGACCAAAGACAACACGAAAACAGAGACAAACAACTCGATGCAACACGTTCCAACTAACACCCCCGCCCCCTGGTCATGCCCTGAAATCCGACGTCGCGGTCGTTGCTCGCGACGTGGATGCCCAAAGGCCTGGGCCCCTTCCTGGGAACCGGCTTTTCATCCTGAGTCGTTTCATGACTGGTCGGGGGTCGGGTAAGGACCCCCGGCGGCCGAAACCAGCAAAAATGCTGCCGTCGCTACTTTTTCACGACGCGAGGATGCCAGGGCAAGAGCAAAGTGTGTCCGTTCTTTCTAGGTGGTCCAGGCCGGACTGCTCTCCGACACCTGCGGCGTGCCCTGACATTGGATGCCAGAAGATTCTGGTCGCGACCGCCGAGATCCGTCGTCCGATGTTTGTGACCGACCTGGGCATCGGTGGCGACCCGTCGCGACCGACTCGGAGTGCCGATCGGTCGCTATCGATGGCGACCGAAACAACATCCGGCATCCACTGATCTGGGTGGCCCTGGGCCGCCCCCCCCGGCCGCTCGCCTCACCGGGTCCGCGCCCTCCTCGCGGAAACCAAAAGGATACCGATACCGCTAATCCCCGAACCTCTTCCAGGGTGCGTTCTGACCAAAAGCACATTCGCCCTTTAGGGCGTGAGTGATTTAGAGCGTTCCCTCTTCCATCTTCCCTTTCGGATAGGGGTGCACCCCTCCCCCACCATTGGTCTGAGAGGGAAAGGGGGTCGCGAGCAAATGGATCGTCCAAAAAGACCTCGGCGAGGAAGGCGAGGAAGACAAAACCATGAATTGTAATAAGGTGTTGGCCACAGGTTGGCCTCCTCGGGGAGAGGGGGGGCCTGATGTACTACGGCCCGTCCTTCGATCGATCTTGATGGCCTCCTCGGGGGGGCCTGATGTACTATGGCCCGTCCTTTGATCGAGCTCATCCAAGATGGCTCCAAGATAGCCCTTGAAGCTCCCAAGGGTGCCCCAACACGGCCCCAAGGGGTACTCAGGGGGCCCCAAGACGCACCCAAGAGGCTCCTAAGATGCCCCCAAGAGGCTCCCAAGAGACCCCCAAGAAGACATAAGAGGTCCCCCAGAGGCACCCAAGACGCCCCAAGGGGTCCCTAGGACTGCCAAGAGACCCCGAAGACGCCCAAAGAGACATCAAAGAAACTCTGGAAGAGACTCCGAGAAGCATGGAAGATGCCTCTGGCCTTTCTGCTCTACTCCTCCTCCTCATCCTCCTCGTCCTCATCATCATCATCCTCACCATCACCATCACCAGCATCGCCATCATCAACGTCATCAACAGCATCATCATCATCATCATCATCATCATCATCATCATCATCATCATCATCATCATCATCATCATCATCATCATCATCATCATAAGCATCATCAGCATCATCATCATCACCATCATCATCATCACCATCATCATCATCATCATCATCATCATCATCATCGTCATCATCATCATCATCATCATCAGCATCATCATCAGCATCAGCATCAAACTCCGCATCATCATCATCATCATCAGCGTCATCATCATCGTCAGCATCATCGGCACAATGATCAGCATCATCCTCATCATCATCCTCATCCTCATTCTCCTCCTCCTCCTCATCATCATCATCCGCAGCATCATCATCATCCGCAGCAGCATCATCATCAGCATCAACATCAACATTAGCATCAGCGCCAGCATCAGCATCATTACCAGCATCAGCATCAGCATCATCAGCAGCAACAGCATCAGCATCATCATCAGCATCGTCGTCGTCAGCATCATCACCATCACCATCATCAGCAGCAGCATCATCACTTTCATCATCAGCGTCATCATCAGCAGCAGCGTCATCATCATCATCACCGTCGTCAGCATCATCGTCAGCACCATCATCATCAGCATCATCAGCATCATCATCAGCATCATCAGCATCATCAACATCGTCATCATCATCATCAGCATCATCATCGACATCATCACAATCATCAGCGTCATCATCATCGCCATCATCATCATCATCATCATCATCATCATCATCATCATCATCATCATCATCATCATCATCATCATCATCATCATCATCACAATCATCATCACCATCGTCAAAAGCATCATCAGCAGCAGCGTCACGCTCATCAGCAGCATCATCCGAAGTTCACCCTCCTCCCTCCTCCTCCCTTCCCCTCCTCATCCCCCTCTCCATACTCCTCCTCCTCATCCTCCTCCTTCTCCGATTCATCCTCCATCCGCAGCCTGAAAGTCCACTGCATGCTCATCCACATCCCTAATCCGGGCAACTCGTCGGGGCATCGTTTCTGAATGGGCTGGTGGGGTAACGCGAAGCGTCTAGAGTTCGAGCGACTCCAGACGAAGGCCTCCCAGGAGGCCTCAGCGCGAGAAAACGAGGCAAGCGTAGCCGTATCGGTACCTTTGCCTCATCTGACTCCTTGCGGATCTCCAGGGCCGCCGCGGCGTCGGGGTCGGCGCGGTGCTCCAGCAGCAACCGGATGACGCCCACGTTTCCTGCGGCCCGCACCCGGAAGGACCGGCCGCGGCAGCTCCGAGGACCAGACGTTCGACGGCGCGAATTTTCTTCCGCAGCGCGGCCGCCCAGAGGTCTGGGCCCACTCCCCGGGACCGGCCTCCCGGACCCCTCACGTGTTGAGGAGGAGGGGAATGGGGAGGGGGAGGAGTAGCAGGAGGAGGAGGAGGAGGAGGAGGAGGAGGAGGAGGAAGAGGAGGAGGAGGAGGAGGAGGAGGAGGAGGACAGAGAGGCGTAAAAGCTCGAAGGTCCGCGCGGATTGCTCGGATCGGCGCCAGACCCTCTCCCTGGCGCGAGGAGCGCGCCAGGGGCGGCGCTGGAGGCGCCTCCAGGGGGGTCCAGCGCGGATCCGAGGAATGCGCGCGGACGTCCGAGTTTTTATGTTTATATAATTCGTCGCTTCCCTACAGAGGGGGGGAAAGAGAGAGAGAGAGGGAGAGTGTGAGAGAGAGAGAGAGCGCGCCAGAGAGAGAGAGAGAAAGAGAAAGCAACTGCTGGCGGGCAGATCCCGGCCCACTGCGGGGCGTGTGGCTGGATGGCACCGCCGTGCCTCACGTGTGCAAAAGCGCAATTCGGAAATCGGGGGGGGCCTCCTGAGGCCCCGCGGAAGGCCGAAGGATTCGACGACAACGACGACGAAGACGACGATGACGATGACGATGACGATGACATCGTCATCGCCATCGTCATCGCCACTGTCGGGCAATAGCTTACAAAAGCGTTAACCAGGACGAGGGTGCCTCATGATGCTGTTGGCCCAAGATTCGTCCTGGGGGTTCTGGTGTTTCTGGCGGCCCTCGACCATTCGCACTCGGACATTCGTCTCCGGCCGCGCAGAAGACCTGGAGAGTGCTGGAAGGTACTGGTGTCATTACTTCCCGCACCTCTGATCGATCCTCCCTCCTTCCCTCCGCGCCTCACGTCTTGCCCTCCGAGACAAGAGTGCGCCTATCATTACCGCCTCAAGAAGATCGGGGTGCACGAGAGGGGGGGGGGGTCGGCACACGAGGGGTGCGCAGCTGGCTTTCCCCACGCCTGGAGCGACCGCGCGTCCCCCGCCCCAACACCCCCTGTGTCCTCCTGGAGACAGGGCGACGACAACAGTACACCGACACCGAGTTTCGCCTGGGCCCTGCGCACTCCTCATGGCAAGATAATCGGGGGGCGGCGACGAACCTTCCGACGGAGCGTTCCCATCACCCCCCCCCCACACCACCCCTCAACGTGCGTCCAGAGTTATCACCTTCCCCCCACCTGGCGCAGGAACTCGAGCTTCAAAACTGCCCACCCCCCCCACCCCCCCAATTACCCCCCGACGGCACGCGCCCATCCCCACCCCCCCTCGAACCCACGGGGGAGGGGCGGGCGATGAATGCGCCATCCAGAGTGTGCGCCTCCCGGGCCTGGGCAGGACAGCGCGTGCGCCAGCCTCCGGACCCCTGGGACGAGGGGCAACGCTAGGGCTAGGTCGGGCATGTCCTCCTAAAGGCGGATTTGGGACACAACCATTCAAAAAGAGTCAGAAAAATATCGAAGATGGTCAAGCGATCGTCCCCATACTATTTTCAATATATATGTGTGAATTTTCCTCCTGTGAAGGGACGCGCCCGACTCAACGCTAGGGGGGGCGGGCTAAGGGGGGGGGAAACCATCGCGCCGCCATTCGCGATACGTCGCTGGTAGATCTGCGATGGCCTCCCTCCCCGATGGCGACTCCGCACGTTCCGCGGCGGCGACGGCTGGCGGGCTGGCCGCTGGGGGGCCCACGGCGCCGCCCCACCGGTTCGTGCAAGTGCCCGCCAAGCTCCCGTGCAGCGGAAACTATAGGCCCTGGGCGGCAGACCCCTCCCCCCTGGGGGGTCCCGCTGTCTCAGGCAGCCGGCCCCCCCCGGGGGAGCCACCCAGCTTTCTGGCGGAGGAGTTTGCCGGCTCCCGACCAAAGATCGCTGGCGCGCGGCAGACCCGCGCCGCTGCCCGGAGGAGGAGGAGGAGGAGGAGGAGGAGGAGGAGGAGGAGGAGGAGGAGGAGGAGGAGGAGGAGGAGGAGGAGAAGGAGGTCATCGGGCCCCTATCGACCATCAGTGGGCGATTGGGTGTCGATGCACCTCCCCCCTGAGCCTCTCCCCCTCCCTAACGCTGCCCTGCCTCTGGGTAATAGGATGGGCCTGGGCAGGATCGGTGCCGGCGCATGCTTCGGTGGCAAATCATGGGAGCCTCCCATGCCATCGTGTCAGCTCTTGCGAATCGACGCTAGCCGACGCTAAAGCGACGCCAATCGACGCGAAGTCGACACCAATCGACGCTAGCCGACGCCACATCGGCGCTCTCCCATCGACTCCTCGAGGCCAATCGACGCTCGTCGACGCGAAAGTCAAAATTACGAGGGCACACAGGGCTCCCACAGTTCGCTACCGAAGCATGCCCAGACATCGGCGGCCTCGACGCGGGGGCGCCTGGACCTCTCGAGCAGGGCCCGGGGCCCGGGCTCGCGGGCCTGGCCGCCTCTCCACGGGCCCGAGGCCGAAGCCGCCAGCTCCACCAGAGGCTGAAGAAGAGCCCCTCTTCTCTGCCGTTTTGTCCCTCTGTTTCTTCCCCTCCTCCTCCTCCTTTTCCCTTCTCTGCCGAAGAAGAGCCTTTTCTTTCGTTCTTTCTCTCTCTCTCTCTCCCATCTTTCGTCTGTCTATCCCACCCCAGGTCCCTCGGGAGCGGCCAAGAGGGGGGGGGGTCCAAGAGGGGGGCGTGGCCGGCGGCATGTGCGCGGCCCAGCGGGGGGGGCCCAGGGACGGGATGAAATCAGAAGAGGCGCCATGACATCTGAGGAAACATCATGGCCCCCGCCATGATCTCCCCCCCCCCCCTAGTCATCACCCCCCTCTTTTCCACCCCCGGGGTCCTCATCCCGAGAGCGCTCGCTTCGGGCCCTCCTCCCGGGGCCGCGCGCCAGGCTGCCACGGACGCGTGGCCGCCCCGACCTCCTGCGTGCTCGGAGCGGCGCCGAGGAGGACGAGGAGGGGGAGGAGGAGGAGGAGGAGGAGGAGGAGGAGGAGGAGGAGGAGGAGGAGGAGGAGGAGGAGCTGCCACGGACGCGTGGCCGCCCCGACCTCCTGCGTGCTCGGAGCGGCGCCCGGGCGTCCGGGTGGCCGTCGCCGCCCGGCGGCGAGGCCCCTCGGCCCTGAGGTCCTGGCCTCCTCCTCCTCCTCCCTCTCCTCCTCCTCCTCCTCCTCCTCCTCCTCCTCTCCTCCTCCTCCTCCTCCTCCTCCTCCTCCTCCTCCTCCTCCTCCTCCTCCTCCTCCTCCTCCTGACCCCTCGCTGTGGAGAGTGGCGACGCCTGAGACGGCCCCTCCGGGCCCTGGTTCGGGCCCTGGTACGGGCCATTCTCCCTGAGGCGGCCCCTCTGGGCCCTGGTTCGGGCCCTAGAGGGGCCGTCTCAGGTCGATGTGGCGTGAAGAACGGCGCAAACAAATGGGGTCTATAGGGCTCTGGTACAGTAGGGGCCCGACCACAAGAAGCCTTCCACAAGAAACCCAACCCTGAGACCCCAGGACGTCCATTGATTGGTGATGTGGGAACGTCACGCTTTCCATCGCAAAACTATCGAAACCAAAAAAACAGGGCACCCTGGTGGCAAGCAGGGTGCTTCTTGGCATGGGTCTCCGATGTAGTGATGTTCTACCATGTTTCATCCCTCGTTTCGCAGCGTCGGATCCCAGGGGGCGAGGGACCTCGTCGCTGGGCGGCGACAGCCACCGTGCGTGCTGTCTGATGCGTTTGGTTCGGCCCAGCGCGAGCGCGTTGGCTTTCGCTTGCTTCACCTGTCAGTCTGGCGCGCCATTGCGAGCCAGCGGCGTGGCGGTGGAGCCACTCGCACGGCAGGCGCTCGACGCGCGTGCTGTGCGCACTGTAAGAGCAATTGCATAGTTATGCAGATCGCTGCATCTCAGGGTCGGAGGGGGACCCCGTGCTTCGACGGGGGGAGCCCTCCAAAAAGCCCGCGAACGGAGAAGGGGCGTCCACGAGGGGGGCGTCCGAGAGGGGGGGGTCGCAGATCGTGGCCCGAAGCACGCGAGCGGACAAGAAGAAGGGGTGTCGGGGCAAAATGACATCTGGGGAGACATCGCAGACCCGGCCATGTTATTCGACCCTTACCCCACTGGGTCACCGCCAGCCCTGGAACCCAGAGGCCGAAATCTAAGACAAGCGCCAGGACTGAGAAAATCTGATCGTCGGACATCTGGACCCTGGGAACCAGGGAGGTCTCGACCCATTCCCCAGAGCCGACGTTCCATCCTGAGCTGTTTTTGTCACTACTGGGCCCTGTGAGGCCCCCGCGGGGCCGAACACAGCCAAACACTCCGCGTCGTTCCCCGAGATCCGACGTTGCCATAAAAATACAACATCGCGGAACGTCGCGACGAGAGTCCTAGACCGACCGCATCTACCTGCGGCATTTCTCAAGCCAGGTCAATCTGAGATGGCTCCGAGGCCCGAGCCTGGACGCACACGGCGGGTGTTAAGACATCGCGGCGCCCCGATCCCAGGATTCCTTTTCGAGCTGCGAGGATGTCAGGGTGCAGTCGAGGCGTGTCATCAGACCAGGATGCACGTTAAGGATGCAAGGGCCTTGGAAGGCCATGCCGACACCTCTCGAGCTCGAGAGGGGCGCGGCCAGCGAACGTGGCCGAGGACGAACCGCAGGGTAAGGATGCAAGGGCAACCCTGGAAAACTGCTCATCATAACTGTGCGACTCGACTGCAGCCCCACCCCGCCCTCACCTCGCCATCGCTCGGACGTCTATTCCCCGTGCGTCCTTTCGATGCCGCGCGTGTATTGGTCGCAAGATGATCCAAGATGCTCCTCGATGGTCCTCGCCGAAGAGACAGTGCACACGTCCGAGCGATGCCGAGCTCTCCCCCCGCGGCCGCCCCCGAATGAACCATCAGGGAGACGCAAGACTCGGGCTCGAAGCACCCAGGCTGGCATGTGGAGGCCGCGGAGAGCATGACGAAACCAAATCTGAAATTCCACGCGGGCTCCCGTTGCAGACATCTCGGACTGGGAAACCCAAGACCTCCAGGGATTTGTCGAAAACAGTCGACAAATCCGAGGACTTACGTCCCGGCAATTTCGAGTCACACCTTTTCCGTACCCCTTTCGATCGTAACGCGTTGATGAGCACCCGCCCTGGGTGATACATCGGCGACGTCGGCGAGGCATCGCCGCTGTCGGCGTGGAAAACATGGGGCTACACACGCCGCTGCATCAGCGATGCGGCAAAGAAAGAATCGGCACGATCTAAACAAAAACTTTTGGCGCTCCGCGCGGATTTCCTGGATCTCCTGTCGCGCGGAGCGCGCCGGGGCGGCGCTGGAGGCGCCGCCAGCGGGGCCCAGCGCGGATCCAAGAAATCCGCGCGGAGCGCCAACAAGTGTATGTTTATGGCGTTCTTTCTTCTTCAATGATCGTGCCCATTCTTCCTTTGCCGCATCGCCGATGCAGCGGCGATGCGGCGCGATGTGGAGCCCGATGTTCTCCACGCCGACGGCGGCGATGCCTCGCGTATACGTCGCCTTTCCTCCCCCCAGGGCGGATCCTCGCTCCAACCAACGCCGTACGATCGAAAGGGGTACGGAAAAGGTGGGACTCGAGCCACAAGCTCCAGCGAGCTCGAGCCGTGCGCTTTCCCGCAGCAGAAGGGCGGGCGGGCCGCGCCCGCGGCGGCGCGGCGGCCGCCCGCGGGGAGGGGGGGTCGCGCCCGGCGCGCGGCGACGCAGGGGCCTGGCAGAGGGGCTGGTCGCCGCGCGGTGGGGCCCTCTCGTTGAGCAGGGACCGACTGTCCCAGCATTCCTATAAGCCTACCACGCAATGCCCTTAGAACCCCCAAAAATGCTTTACACGAGCAAAAATCCGTGCTCTGAGAACAGAACCGATGCTCTCAGAACCCCAAAAACGCTCCAATAACAAGATAGCGTCCTTGGAACGTGTACCCCATGTGTTAAAACAAGACCGCCCCAGCCAGAACTGTTCGAATAACATATCGTGGAAGCCGCAGAGGTTCTTGAAGCATTATTATTATCATTATTATTATTATTATTATTCTTATTATTATTATTATTATTCTTCTTATTAGTATTGGTATTATTATTATTATCATTATTATTTTGGGGGAAAAAAACAGCTAGACATGTAAACTGTTGGCGCTCAGCGCGAATTTCTTGGGTCTGCGCTGGACCCAGCCTCCTTGGCGCGCGGAGTGCGCCAGGGGCGCCGCCAGAGGCGCCGCCAAGGGGTCCCAACGCAGATCCAAGAAATCCGCTCGGAGCGCAAAAGTTTTGGTTTATGGCGTTTTTCTCATTCAAATTATTTGGTGGGCCCCTGGAAATCCCTACCCTTTCTCCAGAACCGGCATTTCATCCTCAATCGTTTGTTGACGGTCCCGAGGCCCGGCGAAGGCTCCCAGGGGCCGAAATCGACCAAAAACCTTCCGCCCTGATTCTTTACGACGCGATAGTGCCTGGGAAAGGTTTTTAGAACATTCTTTGGTGGGCCTGAAGGCGAGCCGGGACGCTTCGCCACTGCCTGATCCTCGCGCGCGAGGGGTGCGCTGCTGGCCGCCCCCCGCGAAAGGCGCTGCCGGCCCCTGGAGGGGGGCCGCTCCTCGGGCTGGCAGCGCTGCTGCTGTCGAGCCTCGCGCTTTTGAGGGAGGGTGGGAGAGTGACGGGGAGGAGGAGGAGGAGGAGGAGGAGGAGGAGGAGGAGGAGGAGGAGGAGGAGGAGGAGAAGGAGGAGGAGGAGGAGGAGGAGGAGGAGGACGAGGAGGACGAGGAGGAGGAGGAGGGAGAAGGAGTTTGAGGAGGAGAGGGAGGAAGAGGAGACCAGCGTACAAGAGGGTTCGTCCAAGACCACTCTAAGCCCGCCCCTTCGAGGAAGATGGGGGCGCAGGCAAGAGAGGTCGCGCCTCGACAGAGAGGGAGGAAGAGGAGGAGGAGGAGGAGGAGGAGGCCGCCGACGACGACGAGGAGAAGGAGGAGGAGGAGGAGGAGGGAGGAGGAAGAAGAGGAGGAGGAGGAGGAGGAGAAGGAGGAGGAGGAGGAGGAGATGGAGGAGGAGAAGGAGGAGGAGGGAGGGACCCCCAAAAAAATCGTTTCGGTGGCAACTCATGGGAGCCTCCCATACCGTCTTGTGGGCCCTTGCGAATCGACGCTGATCGACGCCAATCGACGCGACGCTGATCGACGCTAAAGCGACGCAAATCGACGCTAGCCGACGCTAAATCGGCACATCTCATCGACTCCCAAACGCGAATCGACGCTAATCGACATTGATCTCGGAATTAAGGAAGAACTCCCAGGAGGCTCCAGGAAACCTCCGAAGCCCCAGGACCAGGATGCCTCCCCCCCCCGTGAGGCCCCAGGAGGCCCCAGGAGCACTCAAGATGATATCTCGTCCTGGCCGATCGAAAATCACGACAGCGGGGGGTCGCATGTTTCTGCCTCCGGGGGCCCTCACAGGGCCTCGGGACCGTCAAAAAGCAACTCAGGACGAAAAGCCGGTCCCAGGGAATGAGTCTCGACATCTGGTAGCCGATGTTACGAACAAAGAACACGACGTCGGGGGTCTGGGGGCCCAGGTCATTGGATACCGTTTATTTTTGGCTGCGATCGGTAGCGACAGATCGGCACTGAAAATCGGCCGCGACCGATCCCCGAATATGAGGCGAAACCAGTAGCGACCGTTTTCGTCGTTCGCGACCACACAATTCGAAGATCCAATGATCAGGGGAGGGGGTGAGGCAGGCTCGAGAGAGGCTCGAACCTTGAGGCGTTTCGACGTGCTCGGGCGTCTTCGCGCGTTCCGGAAAGCCGCCTGCAACCTCGGGGTGCTTCTCAGCAGCTGCGCCTCGCCGAGAGCCTTCTGCTGGGGGTGCCTCGATCGCCCCTAAGTGGCCACCAGAGGCCCGAGCTATGGCACGAAAAGGTCGCGGACAATCTTCGTGCCCACGGGGGCCCTTGACCGGCCCCGGGACTGTCCACAAAACGGCCCGGGCTGAACAGCTGGTCCAGGGTCGAGGGGGAAGGAAGGGGGAGCGTTGGCACGAGGGCAGCAGGTCCCGGAAGAAATGGTCCCCGCACGAGTACCCGTCGGTCGGAAGACAGTGTAGGCCGGGCATGTCCTCCTCCAAGCGGATCTTGGAAGGAAGCCACACAAATTGCAGACAACATGTTCAAACATTGTCAAAATAGTGAAAAATCGTCCCCATACTATTGTTGGCGTATGTTTGAACATCCCGACTGTAGAGGAACATGCCCGACTTCAAAGAAGTTGGCAGAACCGTGAAGTAGGAGGGCGTTGGAAGTAGATCGGGTCTCCGCCCGCCCCCTGAAGACGGAGGGAGAAAGGAAACCACTCGATCCTGGAAGCAGGAGGGCGCTTGAGGCAGATCGGAATCTGAGACTCCAGAAATGCCTGCCTCCAACGACCGACGCGTGTTCCTCGCCGCTCTCGGGGGCCCCAGGGCCGCCCCCGAACGAGGCCCAGGAGGAAGACCTGAGCCGGGGGAGAGTCCCAGGGTGCAGGACCTGGACCCGTGTTGATGGGCCTGTTTTCCACCACCACCACCATAAGTTCGAGGGGGAAGAAGGAGGACGAGGAGGAGGAGGACGGAAAGGAGGAGGAGGAGGTGGAGGAGGACCCCCTCCCCCTACAACTTATGGTGGTGGTGGTGGAAAACAGGCCGATCACGTGTCCCACAGGACCCCTCTCTCCTTCACTCGGTGGCGAGCGCGGGGGGAGAGTGAGAAGGGGGAAGGCCTTCTCAGAGAGCAGTGGGACGTCGCAGAAGCCCTCCAGCCTTCTGAGAAGTTCTCCTCGGGGGAAGGCTTAGAAAGCGGCTCTGAAGGCTGGGGGGGGCTTCCAAGCCTTCTGAGAAGGCCGGCCCCTGCTCACTTACCCCCCAGGCTCGCCCCCGACTCAGGGCGACACGGGGAGGGGGAGGGCGGAGGACGCCATGCAGAGCCACCAGCCCCAGACCCCCGACGTCGTGCTCTTGTTCATGACGTCGGCCCCCAGGGGGCCTCGACCCATTCCCCAGGACCCGCTTCTCACCCCGAGCCGTCTTTTTACGGCCGCGGGGCCCGGCAAGGGCCCCAGAGGAGGCCGACAACATCAAAAGAACGCCCGCCCGGTTTTCTTCGCCCCTCGCTTGCGTCTGGGGCTGGTGCCCCTTGCGGTGCGCAGAAGGCAGCACCAGACATGATCGCATCGTAAAAGGATCAGGGCGAAAGATTTTTGGCCAATTTCGGCCTCGGGGGGCCCTCGCTGGGCCTCGGGACCGTCAAAAAAAACTCAGGATAAAAAAAAACAGTCCTGTGGAAAGGGTCAGGACTTCCAGGAGCCCCGTATTGAAACAATCAGGACGTCGCATGTCTGGGGCCCGATGGAGGCTGGCGGGTGGGAGACCCTGGAAGCGGTCCCCGCCCCGGCGCGACTGGAGGCGCCGGGCGGGAAACGAGAAGCGAGCGAGAGAGGAAAAAAAGAGAGGGAGGGTGGGGGGAGACGCCAGTCGTGTTCGCGCCCTATGATATATGACATCCTACCCCGCCCCCCCATCCCTTCCCACGGCGCTGATGGCTGATGTTGTCTATCCGCGGACGCGTCATAGCCGACCAAGAACTCCAAGAGGGACCCCCTAAAGGCCCTATCGTGTTATGCACCATCGCAGAAGAACAGGGAGCTGGGCAAGTTGAAAGGGTGGTGTCGGAGGACGGGTGGGAGAGGAGAAGGAGAGACCTGCCGGTCAGACCCGACCATGCGTGGGGTGCTGGGGCGGCACTCCCCCCACCCCGGAACCCCCAGCGCTGTGCTTCTCCGCTGCAAGGACCCCCCGAGGTCTCGTGGAGGTCTCGCCCCAGCCCCCGGGGGTCGGCTCCTTATCCCATGTGTGCCCTATCCAGATCTCATCACGTCTCCCCCCGGGCCTGGAAGCAGCGCCTGCACGCAGCGGGGAGGGGTTCTGGGTCTCCGCAGAAGCGGGGCTCGTGTGGCCCCGCCAGCGGACAACAGAAAGCTCGTGGTGGGCGGGCGCACTTGTGGCGCCCCCCGCCGCCCCCCTGCCGAAGACTTCCGAAGAGAGTCGGCGACTCTGAAGGGTGTGGTCTGCAGAGGGTGTGGCTTGCAACGCGCACCCGGGGGGGGGGCGGGCGAGTAGGCGAGGGCCTCCACGGAATCCTTCGCCGCGCCCCGAGGGCAGCCCGACGAGGGCCACGTGGCGCCCCCCAAGCCCCGACGACGCAGATCGCAAACCACACCTTTTGCATAAAAGAAGGAACAACGGCAGAAGCATAAACTTTTGGCGCTAAGCACGGATTTCCGGATCTGCGCTGGACCCCCCTCCCTGGCGCGCGGAGCGCGCCAGGGGCGGCGTCGGAGGCGCCGCCCGGGGGGCCCAGCGCGGCTCCAGGAAATGCGCGCGGAGCGCCGAAAGCATGTGCTCATGCTGCTTGTCTCCTTCGACCGTGGTCGCCGAGCGATCCCCCCGCGCCCGGCCCTGGCGGCTCAACGCGGCGGCGCCACGCGCCCGCCCCGCCGAAGGCGCCACTGGCCGCCCGGGCGCAGAGCGCCCCCGCCGCGCGCGCGGCGGCGGGCTCCACGGAGCGCGGCGGGCGCCTAGCCGAGGAGGCGGCCTGGCCTCGGCGGCGCCGCCACGGGCTCCGCGAGGCGGAGGGGCGGCGGCGGCGCCGCCGCGGGCTCCGCGAGGCGGCGCGGCGGCGGCGGGCCGCCCGCGGCTCGGGCGCCGAGCCCGCAGGCGGGCGGCGGCGCCCCGCTTGGCTCGGCGAGCTCCGCCGGGGCGGCGCGGCCCAGGCTGCGGTAGGGCGCGTCGGCGGTGCCCTGGTACGGCGGCCGCGCCCAGTCGGGCCACCTCGGGTGCCCAAGAAAAGGCATCGACGCATGCCCCGAGTGGCGACCATATCCGTACTTATTCGCGCCCCCGCTGTCTGGATTCCGAGGCGCGATCCCGCGGCTAAACGGTCGCACGGATGCGTTCCGCGCGGGGCATCCGCGAAGACTCGCACCGTGTCCGCGTGGTCGCGGCCCTAGGGGCCGGGGCCGCGCGGCCGCGGATGCGGATCGGTTCTTCGCCCACGCAGACGGCGATGGTGCCCTTTCTTGAGCATGGCCTGGGGGTGCCGAGAAGCCCAGCACGTGCTGCATCACACATGACCCGCGGAGACGTCACAGCTCAGTTCTCTCGGGCACTGCAGGAGGCGCCACCCGCCCCGGGGCCACCTTGGCCCACGCGATGGCGGTAGTGGTTTGTGGCGCGCTGAGACTGCTCTCAGTGCGAGGCGCTGCAAGGCCGCACTGGGGCGCCCAAGGAAGAGTATCACCTCCGAGGGATCGAGAATAAGACGTCTCGCTCCAAACAGAGGACCCCGGCATCTCGCGCCTCGAACAAATCAGGGCGATCAGTTTGTCGCCGTATTTGACCGCTGGAGACCGCTTGCAGGCCACCTGAAGGACCAGTCAGTACTCCAATCGGGAGATCGGGTCGGGTCGGGACGTGCGCTGGATCGGATGACAGATCGGATCGGCTCGGCACGGGGTCGGATCGGAATCGACTCGAAGATCGGCCGCGCCAGGATGCACAACGGCCCCCGTGCGGGCACCTGGATGCGCCGCCTCGTCGAGCAGACTTTTTGCTACCCGAACAGGTCGGGGACTCGACTCGGATCGAGCCGCCGGGCGCCGATGTCGCATCGGACCGATGAGATCCGGACGGACACACCGACCTCGATGGACCAGGAAGCAAACAGGCCCGACTTAACCGCAGGTGAGGTGGTGTCGCCTGTTTTGTTGGTCGACCGGGGGGGGGCGCCCCAGAGAGGGCCTCGTGTCTACTCGAGGGGTCGAGGAGGGAGGCAGGCGCCCCCAGGCAGGCGCCCTCGCGCCGAGGAGAGCTACAAAAACACAGCACGGGGGGCTTTCGGCCGTTGTCGTCCTCTTCCCAAATAGCTAGCTCTCTGGAAGCTATGTGAGGGTTTCACATTAAGAAGCCGGACCCGCAGGGTAGCCCCAGAGGTCGTTCTGGCTTCCGGCACGACACCTCGGCACGCCTCGATTGAGCCGGCAGCGTGTTCCAGCAGGCACTTTCTAAGCGTTTCCCAATACGCGTGCCCGGAAGCACTCCAGAAGGTCCATCGGAAGCTCTCTGCAGGTAGTTCCAGAGCTCTTCGAATGGCGTTTCCACGCCCTTCTGGCGCCCTGCTATCCAAGTTTTGGACCCCACAATGCCTTAATCACTGGCTTGTGGCAGGATTTTCTGGTCGTGACCCACCAGATCGGCCGCCAACCTAGGACGACGATTCAGGACAAAACGGAAGGGGGAACGATGAAACACTAATTGCCGACTCGCGATGGCAGATTGGGTGAACGATGCAAGTGCTCCACCTTCTGAAACCAACGAAATGGTTTTCGAAGTAAAACCAGATTCGATTATTGTTGTGATCCTATTGGAGCCCTCTTGGAATGGTAAAATCAGACTGGAGCCCTGGAGTACACTTGGAATCCGACTGGAATCGTAGTGTGGTTCCGATCACTTCCTGATCATGCATCTCCGAGTCAGCTCCAAATACAATTGTTACTTCCACATCTCCTACTCCGGCTCCTAGTGCAGATCTCGGCAACCTTCCATTACGACTCCTGGAACAGCTCCAACATATCTCTTATCACTACAGCACCCGCTAGAGCGCTCTCTGGACTATAAAACTTCAACTGCGCCTTCTACGACAGCACCAATGCTATCTTCAACTGCACCTGCTTATCGTCCATCTCCTGTTACAGCTCATGGTAACTATAGATCCGATCCGTCCGTCGAAATAATTGCATCCCGCTGATGCTGACTCGCCTCCATTTCCCTTTTCCCTGGCCCGTCGGCCGTCCAGGCGCGCCCGAGCAGGGCGGGGGGGAGACGATTTAAAGCATCGTGTTCCTGCCTCAGGCCGGTTGCTCTAATCATCATTCTGAGCGCCGCCGCGTGAACACGACCCCAAGTAAATTCTTAACCAGCATCCGGCATGACCAATGCTGCCTCAGATTCCGGGATCGGTCGCGATCGGTCGCGACCGAGTTTGGAATCGGTCGCGATCGGACGCGACCGACTCAGAAGGCCGACGGGCCGCTACCGAGCGCGACCAGCAAAAAGCACAAAAACAATTATCCGGGCGCAAGACCCAACCATATGCAGTTGTGGGTACCGCAATTGTGAACAACTTTTTCGGTGAACCTTCCTATGGAACCACGAAGCGCTGCACTGAGTGGGGGGGAGCGCATGCGGGCGGTAGCACTGGGGCCGTCGGTGGAGCTCCCTATGGGGCCACGAAGCGCTGTACTGCGTGTGCGAAAATGCCAAATTCGGTGTGCGGGGCGCATGCGGGCGGTAGCACTGGGGGCTTCGGTGGAGCTTCCTATGGGGCCACGGATCGCTGTATTGGGTGAATGAAGCTGCCAAAATAAGCTTCCGGGACGCACGCGGACGGTCCCACTGGGGGCTTCGGTGGAGCTCCTGATGAGGCCACGAAGCGCTATACTGGGCGGGTGAGAATGTCAAACTGCGTGTGCGGGACGCTGCGGGCGGTCCCACTGGGGGCTGGAGCTCCCTATGGGGCCACGAAGCGCTGTGCTGAGTGGTTGGAAATGCCAAATTACGCGTGCGGGACGCATGCCCAAAGGCCACGAAACGCTGTACTGGGTGGGACGGACGCATGTGGCCACCCCTACTGGGTCCTCCTATGGAGCTCCCGATGGGGCCACGAAACGCTGTACTGGGTGTGACGGACGCACGTGGCCACCCCCACTGGGGCCTTCGGGGGAGCTCCCTGTGGGGCCACGAACCGCCGCACTGTGTGGCGGACGCATGCGGGCGGTAGCACTGGGGGCTTCGGTGGAGCTCCCTATGGGGCCACGAACCGCCGTACTCTGTGTGGCGGACGCATGTGGTACCCTCCACTGGGGCCTTGGGTGGAGCTCCCTATGGGGCCACGAAACGCTGTACTGGGTGTGGCGGACGCATGTGGTACCCCCACTGGGGGGGGGGCTCGGGAAGAGGAGACGCGGGGACCGTTTCTCCAAAACGAAGACCCAACACCACAGGATGGCTGGGAAAAAATAATAATTATCCGGTCGAAGGACCCAACCATGTGCAGTTGTGGGTACCGCAATTGAAAATATCATGCGGGCGGTAGCACTGGGGCCTTGGGTGGAGCTCCCTATGGGGCCACGCAGCGCTGTACTGGGTGAGTGAACATGCCACATTGGGTGTGTGGGACCCACACGGACTGTCCCATTGGGGGCTTCGGTGGGGCTCCTAATGGGGCCACGAAGCGCTGTACTGGGCGGGTGAAAATACCAAATTGGGTTTCCGGGGCGCACGCGGACGGTCCCAGTGGGGCTTCGGTGGAGCTCCATATGGGGCCACGAGACGCTGCACCGGGTGCGTGAAAATGCAAAATTGTGTGTCCAAGGCGCATGTGGGCGGTCCCACTGGGGGCTTCGGTGGAGCTCCTAATGGGGCCACCAAACGCTATACTGGGTGTGTGAAAATGCCACATTGGGCGTGCGGGGCGCGCGCGGACGGTCCCATTGAAGATTTCGGTGGGGCTTCCTATGGGGCCACGGAACGCTGTACTGGGTCGGTGAACCTGCCAAATCGGGCGTGTGGGACGCATTTCGGCGGTCCCACTGGGGGCTTCGGTGGAGCTGCCCATTGGGGCCACGAAGCGCTGTACTCGGTGGGCGAAAACGTAAAATTGCACGTGCGGGACGCATGCGGGCGGTCTCACTGGGGGCTTCGGTGGAGCTCCCTGTGGGGCCACGAAGCGCTGTACTGGGTGGGTGAAAATGCCAAATTTGGTGTGCGGGACGCATGCGGACGGCCCCACTGGCCACGAAACGCTGTATTGGGTGTGGCGGACGCATTTGGTACCCCCCCGCTTGGGGCCTTAGGTGGAGCTCCCCACGGGGCCACGAAGCGCTGTAGTGCCCCCCCCTGGGGCATTAGGTGGAGCCTCCTATGGGGCCACGAAGCGCCGTTGGCGGACGCATGTGGTACCCCCCCCCTGGGGCCTCAGGTGAATCCCCCTTATGGGGCCACGAAACGCCGTACTGGGTGTGGCGGACGCAGGTGGCACCCCGCCCCCTGGGGCCTTAGGTGGACCTCCCAAATGGAGCCACGAAACGCCGTACTGGGTGTGGCGGACGCATGTGGTACCCCCCCCTGGGGCCTTAGGTGGACCTCCCCATGGGGCCACGAAACGTCGTACTGGGTGTGGCGGACGCATGTGGTCCCCCCCCCTGGGGCCTTTGGTGGAGCTCTCTATGGGGCCATGAAGCGCCGTACTGAAGCATGTGTTACCCCCCCCTGGGGCGTATAGGGCCACGAAACGCCGTACTGGGTGTGGCGGGCGCATGTGGTCCCCCCCCCCTTGGGCCTTACGTGGGGCTCTCTATGGGGCCACGGAGCGCTGTACTGGGTGGGTGAAACGCATGGAGGAGGGAGGAGGGGGAGGAGGGAGGAGGGAGAGGAGGAGGTGGAGTGAGTGAGTGAGTGAGTGAGTGAGCGAGCGAGTGAGTGAGTAAGTGAGTGGGGCGCGGGGCGCTGTCTCTTCAATGCGAGGACCCAACACCACAGGATGGCTGGGAACAAACACGCCCGGCCTCAGGGCTGTCAGAAGACTGCCTCTTTCTGACAGTCCCGGGGCGAAGCGCACTGCCAGGGCCCCTCTCCTACTGGACCCCTCTCCTCAAGGACCCGCCTCCTTCCTTCTCCCCAGTCATCCGACGACGTGATCGCCTTGTGCAACGTGGCTCCCCAAGGTCCAGACCTCTGGGGAGCCACGTTGCGAACAAAATCACGACGTCGGGTGTCTAGAGGCCTCCTAAGCCGGAGTCGGAGTAGATGGGGTCTGGGGCTCACGCCCCGATGCTTTGGCGATGCACCAGCGACATCGGCGATGCATCGGCGCCGTCGGCGGGAAGAAAATCGGGCTCCACATCGAGCCGACTCGCCGATGCATCGGCTATGCCGCGCAATCCTCCGACCCGATCCTCCTCCGACCCCGGCTGTGAGGACCAGAATGCCTGACGACGTCTCGCCCTCGACGGAGGCCGGCGGAAGCAAAGGGTACCCACCCCCCACCCCCAACGGACGGCAACCTCTCGGACTCAGGGTTTCTGGAGCGGGCCACCTGGCAGGTGCTCTTCGCCGACTGGCTGGTGCTTCCTGGTAGGGCAGGGAGGGCTGCGGTTGCATCAGACCGCCTGCTGGGTCTCCTCCCCGGGGGCTTCGAGGATCTGGGCGCGTGGGGGGGGGGGGGCACACGGGCGGCGAGTGCGCGGGGGGAACCGATGTGCTGTGGAGGCAAGAGGAGGATGGAGAGCGACCGCTGCGCTTCGCCCGACTCGGCCTGGACCTGTGTGCGACTCAGACAGGTCGCCGGGCGAACCGGGAACCCCACGCGAGCCTGCCCGCGACAGGCAAACTCCGGCACTGAGCCGTGGCTGGAGAGACTTACGAAAGAGAAGCATGCGTGAAAATGAACGCAGGCAGCCTACAGTCGGCCCATATCATAAGGATGCGCGATAAGGATGCAAGAGCCTTGGACGCCCATTCCGAAGCTTTTCGAGCGGGGCGCGGCCAACGAAAGTGGCCAAGGATGGACCAGGGAGGCAAGGATGCAAGGGCACCCTTGGGAAGGCTGCTCATCCTTATTAAGCGGGTTGACTGTACTGCGCAACGCTGTCTGGCAGGAGTTCTGTAGGTCATCTGCGGGCCTGCCCCCCTTGTCACGCCGACGTGCGTGCTCCCGAGGGCTCCCGGCCGCCCCGACGCCTCGCCGGCGCTCTCCAGGGCTTCCGGGAAGGCACAAACAGGCCACCAAGGCCGCCAAGATGGCCCACCATTGCCTCGAGGGGCCCCAGGAGATCCCTCGATCACCGAAGGGCAGATCCAGAGGCCATCCAGGATGCCCGAAACACCCAAAAACCTAAGCGGCCCAGGTCCTCGTAGATCTGGGGGTCACAAGCCTCTTGGCTCCTGGTGGTGATGCAGGAGGCAAAGAGAAGCCACATAGCCCAACGAGAAAACCAAGGGACCCCTGGACGGCCCAGGATAGCCTACGAAGTCCCCAATGCGGCCCAAGAGAGCCCCAAGACAGCCCTAGACGGGTCCAAGATTGCCCCAAGGGCTCCTAGCCCCCAGGAGGCTCGCCATACAGGCAAAAGGGGCCCAATGCGGCCCAAGGAGGCCCCATGAGGGCCCCGAGACGGTCTCACTGGAGCCCACGGTGGTGCTCCGAACAACTCCACACAGAGCGTTGCGCTGGCAAGGTGGTGGAACTAAGAACAGGCAGCTGGAGTATGTAGTTAGCTAGCGTAGTTCAGCCGCAGACATCCGCACCCCTCACCCTGGCCCTGTCACATTCCAACAGCTCTCAACCGCCACGAGAAGGAGCCCGTGATTGGGTGCCCCCACGAGCCTGAGCGGGGTCTCGTTCCCGAGCCCGGCCTCAGCGCGGGCGTCCGGCGACTCCTCCTCCTGCTCGAGGGTGACAGACCTCGTGGACGCCTTGCCCTTGGAGCGCACGAGGAGCACCCCGGCGACGAGGGCGCAGAGGAGCCCCAGGCAGGCCAGGTGCCACCACGCGGGAGCCCAGGCGGAGTGGGCGACCACGGCCGGGACGTCGGCCAGGGACCTGTTGTCCGCGGCCGTCGCGTTGCCCAGCTGGGGGAGGGCGCCACAACTGCACACAGCAGCGCCAGGCCTGGCCACGCCCCCTCGGAGCCCAAGGCCGAGGCCGGCCCGTGCGCCGCCCTGGCCAGGCCAGGACGGGGCAGGACAGGCGTCGGCTCCGGGCCCAGTCAATGTGGGCCTGGCCAGGCCCTGGTGCGGATGCCCAGTTGGCTCCCCCCTGGCCAGCGCCACCGTGGTCGTGATGGTCTCCGTGGTGCGGCCCACGAGGCCCCCGACCAGCCCCCCGATCAGCCCCGCGGCGGCCAGGCCGCTCCCCACGCCGATGGCCGCGGCCTCCCCGGGAGTCAGGCCACCCTCGGTGGCGTTGGCCGCCTCCGCCTCGGCCGCGGCCTCGGCCGCCTCCTGCTCCCGCTGCCTCGCCGCCGCGGCCGCGGCCTCGGCCGCCTCCTGCTCCCGCCGCCTCGCCGCCTCGGCCTCCGCGGCCTCCGCCGCCTCCTGCTCCCGCTGCCTCGCCGCCGCGGCCTCCGCGGCCTCTGCCTCCACCTTCGCCTGCGCCTCGGGGCCCGCGCCGGCGCCGCGGGGGCGCCGGGCGCAGCTGTGGCCGTCGGCAGGCTCGAGGGCGCCGATGGGGTGCCACCACGCGCGGCAGAGCAGCCGCTCGGCCACGAACTCGGCGCCCGTGCAGTAGTCCTCCCTGGCGCAGATGGCTCTGCAGGCGCCCGGGGACGCGGCCGAGAAGGTGAAGAAGTAGTCGTTGAACTCGAGAGACGCCTCGGCGTACTCCGCGCTGCACCGGAACCCGTCGCCGCCGCCCTCGAACTCGGCCGCGGCGTCGCCATCCTCCTCGGCCGCGTCGCCGCCGGCGGGCGGTGCCGCCGCGCCCGCCGCGCTGCAGTTCGCCACGGCGGCGCCGGGGACGCCCTTCGCCCAGTCGCGCGGGGCGCACAGGGCCTCGCCCCCCTCCACGCACGGCACGCCGCCGCACCAGGCGCACGGCTCCCCCGAGATCCTGTAGCCCTCCCACTGCTTCCAGGGCCGCCCGTCGCGGCTCCCGAGGCAGCTGTCCCTGTCCGCGATGGCGTCGCACCCGCCGGCCCCCTGCCACCGGAGGCACCCGAGGCCCGCCTCCTCCAGCGCCGCGGCGCAGGAGGCGGTGACAAGCACCGCGATCGCGCAGGTCCGAGGGCGCGTCATCATCGGTCTTCAGCTCCAGTGAGCGGTGCAGGTCTGCTGGCAGGATGGACTGGCGGGACCCAATCTGAAGCAGAAGCGGCAGCGGACTGCGACTGGGGCATGCCTCCACGTTCCTCTTACCTTCATGACAGTTTCATGTGTGCCTTACGTAACAATGATTTTAGCTTGCAGTCGGCGTGCCATTAGCGTCACTTTAGAAATCTCGCCATCCTCTTGGCGTAGTTGGTCTAGCACCTGTTATTCCAACCCGCTTCCTCTGCTTTGAGGAGGGGTCGGCCACTCCTCCTTGTGAATAATCCTCCTTTCCCCACTCGATCAGCGACCGACCAGGAACAATGCCGACCCACCCACCATCATCCCTGTCCGAAAGAGAACGAAATTATCCTGGCGAAGGACCCAACCATATTCAGTTGTGAGAAACGCATTGTGGGTGCCGTTATCGGTGGGACACGACACGCGTGACGGGCGCGCTGTAATGGGTGTGGCGGGCGCGTGCGGGCACCCCCACTGGGGCCTTCGGTGGAGCCCCTATGGGGTGACGAAACGCTGTGCTGGGTGTGGCGGACGCATGCGGGCACCCCCACTGGGACCTTCGGTGGAGCTCCCTATGGGGCCACGAAGCGCCGTGCTGGGTGTGGCGGACGCATGCGGGCACCCCCACTGGGGCCTTCGGTGGAACTCCCCATGGGGCCACGACGCGCTGTGCTGGGTGTGGCGGACGCATGCGGGCACCCCCACTGGGGCCTTCGGTGGAGCTCCCTATGGGGCCACGAAGCGCCGTGCTGGGTGTGGCGGACGCATGCGGGCACCCCCACCGGGGCCTTCGGTGGAACTCCCTATGGGGCCACGACGCGCTATGCTGGGTGTGGCGGACGCATGCGGGCACCCCCACTGGGGCCTTCGGTGGAGCTCCCAATGGGGCACGAAACGCCGTGCTGGGTGTGGCGGACGCGTGCGGGCAACCCCACTGGGAGCGGGGCCACGGCTGGACGCATGCCACCCCCACTGGGGCCTTCGGTGGAGCTCCCTATGGGGCCACGAACGCTGTGCTGGGTGTGGCGGACGCATGCGGGCACCCCCACTGGGGCCTTCGGTGGAGCTCCCTATGGGGCCACGAAACGCTGTGCTGGGTGGGGGACGCATGCGGGCACCCCCACTGGGGCCTTCGGTGGAGCTCCCTATGGGGCCACGAAACGCTGTGCTGGGTGGGGGACGCATGCGGGCACCCCCACTGGGGCCTTCGGTGGAGCTCCCTATGGGGCCACGAAACGCTGTGCTGGGTGTGGCGGACGCATGCGGGCACCCCCACTGGGGCCTTCGGTGGAGCTCCCTATGGGTGTTTGGGTGTGGCGGGCGCGTGCGGGCACCCCCACTGGGGCCTTCGGTGGAGCTCCCTATGGGGCCACGAAACGCTGCGCTGGGTGTGGCGGACGCATGCGGGCACCCCTACTGGGGCTTTCGGTGGAGCTCCCTATGGGGCCACGAAACGCTGTGCTGGGTGTGGCGGACGCATGTGGGCACCCCTACTGGGGCTTTCGGTGGAGCTCCCTGTGGGGCCACGAAACGCTGTGTTGGGTGTGGCGGACGCATGCGGGCACCCCCACTGGAGCCGTCGGTTGAGCTCCCTATGGGGCCACGAAACGCTGTGCTGGGTGTGGCGGACGCATGCGGGCACCCCCACTGGAGCCGTCGGTTGAGCTCCCTATGGGACCACGAGACGTGTGAGGGGTGTACCGAAAGGGGTGATGGTGACGATCATGACGGTCATGACGGTGATGGCGATGATGATGATGATGATGATGATGATGATGATGATGATGATGATGATGATGATGATGATGATGATGATGATGATGATGATGTCGATGGTGATGATGATGGTGATGATGATGATGAGGATGATGATGATGAGGAGGATGATGTTGATGATGCTGCTGCTGATGATGATGATGATGATGCTGATGCTGATGTTGATGATGATGTTGATGTTGATGTTGATGTTGATGTTGATGTTGATGATGATGATGATGATGATGATGACGATGATGATGATGATGATGATGATGATGATAATAATAATGATGATGGGGAGGAGGGGCGGGGAGGAGGAGTGAACGCGGGGCGCTGTCTCTTCAAAACAAGGACCCAACACCACAGGATGGTTGGGAAAAACCTTACCACGAAAATCATGAAAATTAGCCTGGCGAAGGACCCAACCATATGCAATTGTGAGTACCGTCTTTGTGAGCAACGCATTCGGTTGGGTTCCCTATAGGGCCACGAAACGCTGCCCTGGGTGCGGGAACCGCATGCGAAAACTGCGCCACTGGGGCCATCGGCGGAGCCCCCTATGGGGCCACGAAACGCTGCCCTGGGTGGGTGACACGCATGGAGGAGGGAGGAGGGGACGTCTCTTGGGACGTCTCTTGAGGTGGGGGGGGCGCCCGTGGCGCCCCCCCACCAGGAGGGAGGAGGGGGAGGAGGGAGGAGGGGGAGGAGGAGGTGGAGTGAGTGAGTGAGTGAGTGAGCGAGCGAGTGAGTGAGTGAGTGAGTGAGTGAGTGGGGCGCGGGGCGCTGTCTCTTCAATACGACGACCCAACACCACAGGATGGCTGGGAACAAACACGCCCGGCCTCAGGGCTGTCAGAAGACTGCCTCTTTCTGACAGTCCCGGGGCGAAGCGCACTGCCAGGGCCCCTCTCCTACTGGACCCCTCTCCTCAAGGACCCGCCTCCTTCCTTCTCCCCAGTCATCCGACGACGTGATCGCCTTGTGCAAAATCACGACGTCGGGTGTCTAGAGGCCTCCTAAGCTGGAGTCGGAGTAGATGGGGTCTGGGGCTCACGCCCCGATGCTTTGTCGATGCACCAGCGACATCGGCGATGCATCGGCGCCGTCGGCGGGGAGAAAATCGGGCTCCACATCGAGCCGACTCGCCGATGCATCGGCGATGCCGCGCAATCCTCCGACCCGATGCTCCTCCGACCCCGGCTGTGAGGACCAGAATGGAATGCCTGACGACGTCTCGCCCTCGAGCCTTCTGCCAAAGACGCTTCTCAGAAGCCCTCCCGCCTTCTGAGAAGTTCTCCTCGGGGGAGGGCTTAGAAAGCGGCTCTGAAGGCTGGGGGGGGCTTCCAAGCCTTCTGAGAAGGCCGGCCCCTGCTCACTTACCCCCCAGGCTAGCCCCCGACTCCGGGCGACACGGGGAGGGGGAGGGCGGAGGACGCCATGCAGAGCCACCAGCCCCAGACCCCCGACGTCGTGCTCTTGTTCATGACGTCGGCCCCCAGGGGGCCTCGACCCATTCCCCAGGACCCGCTTCTCACCCCGAGCCGTCTTTTTACGGCCGCGGGGCCCGGCAAGGGCCCCAGAGGAGGCCGACAGCAGCAAAAGAACGCCCGCCCGGTTTTCTTCGCCCCTCGCTTGCGTCTGGGGCTGGTGCCCCTTGCGGTGCGCAGGAGGCAGCCCCAGACATGATCGCATCGTACAAGGATCAGGGCGAAAGATTTTTGGCCAATTTCGGCCTCGGGGGGCCCTCGCTGGGCCTCGGGACCGTCAAAAAAAACTCAGGATGAAAAACCAGTCCTGGGGAAAGGGTCAGGACTTCCAGGAGCCCCGTATTGAAACAATCAGGACGTCGCATGTCTGGGGCCCGATGGAGGCTGGCGGGTGGGAGACCCTGGAAGCGGTCCCCGCCCCGGCGCGACTGGAGGCGCTGGGCGGGAAACGAGAAGCGAGCGAGAGAGGAAAAAAAGAGAGGGAGGGTGGGGGGAGACGCCAGTCGTGTTCGCGCCCTATGATATATGACATCCTACCCCGCCCCCCCATCCCTTCCCACGGCGCTGATGGCTGATGTTGTCTATCCGCGGACGCGTCATAGCCGACCAAGAACTCCAAGAGGGACCTCCTAAAGGCCCTATCGTGTTATGCACCATCGCAGAAGAACAGGGAGCTGGGCAAGTTGAAAGGGTGGTGTCGGAGGACGGGTGGGAGAGGAGAAGGAGAGACCTGCCGGTCAGACCCGACCATGCGTGGGGTGCTGGGGCGGCACTCCCCCCACCCCGGAACCCCCACCGCTGTGCTTCTCCGCTGCAGGGACCCCCCGAGGTCTCGTGGAGGTCTCGCCCCAGCCCCCGGGGGTCGGCTCCTTATCCCATGTGCCCTATCCAGATCTCATCACGTCTCCCCCCGGGCCTGGAAGCAGCGCCTGCACGCAGCGGGGGGGGGTTCTGGGTCTCCGCAGAAGCGGGGCTCGTGTGGCCCCGCCAGCAGACAACAGAAAGCTCTTGGTGGGCGGGCGCACTTGTGGCGCCCCCCGCCGCCCCCCTGCCGAAGACTTCCGGCGAGAGTCGGCGACTCTGAAGGGTGTGGTCTGCAGAGGGTGTGGCTTGCAACGCGCACCCGGGGGGGGGCGGGCGAGTAGGCGAGGACCTCCACGGAATCCTTCGCCGCGACGCGAGGAAGCCCGACGAGGGCCACGTGGCGCCCCCCCAAGCCCCGACGACGCAGATCGCAAACCACACCTTTTGCACAAAAGAAGGAACAACGGCAGAAGCATAAACTTTTGGCGCTAAGCACGGATGTCTGGATCTGCGCTGGACCCCCCTCCCTGGCGCGCGGAGCGCGCCAGGGGCGGCGCCGCCCGGGGGGGCCCAGCGCGGCTCCAAGAAATGCGCGCGGAGCGCCGAAAGCATGTGCTCATGCTGCTTTTCCCCTTCGACCGTGGTCGCCGAGCGATCCCCCCGCGCCCGGCCCTGGCGGCTCAACGCGGCGGCGCCACGCGCCCGCCCCGCCGAAGGCGCCACTGGCCGCCCGGGCGCAGAGCGCCCCCGCCGCGCGCGCGCGGCGGGCTCCACGGAGCGCGGCGGGCGCCTAGCCGAGGAGGCGGCCTGGCCTCGGCGGCGCCGCCACGGGCTCCGCGAGGCGGAGGGGCGGCGGCGGCGCCGCCGCGGGCTCCGCGAGGCGGCGCGGCGGCGGCGGGCCGCCCGCGGCTCGGGCGCCGAGCCCGCAGGCGGGCGGCGGCGCCCCGCTTGGCTCGGCGAGCTCCGCCGGGGCGGCGCGGCCCAGGCTGCGGTAGGGCGCGTCGGCGGTGCCCTGGTACGGCGGCCGCGCCCAGTCGGGCCACCTCGGGTGCCCAAGAAAAGGCATCGACGCATGCCCCGAGTGGCGACCATATCCGTACTTATTCGCGCCCCCGCTGTCTGGATTCCGAGGCGCGATCCCGCGGCTAAACGGTCGCACGGATGCGTTCCGCGCGGGGCATCCGCGAAGACTCGCACCGTGTCCGCGTGGTCGCGGCCCTAGGGGCCGGGGCCGCGCGGCCGCGGATGCGGATCGGTTCTTCGCCCACGAAGACGGCGATGGTGCCCTTTCTTGAGCATGGCCTGGGGGTGCCGAGAAGCCCAGCACGTGCTGCATCACACATGACCCGCGGAGACGTCACAGCTCGGTTCTCTCGGGCACTGCAGGAGGCGCCACCCGCCTCGGGGCCACCTTGGCCCACGCGATGGCGGTAGTGGTTTGTGGCGCGCTGAGACTGCTCTCAGTGCGAGGCGCTGCAAGGCCGCACTGGGGCGCCCAAGGAAGAGTATCACCTCCGAGGGGTCGAGAATAAGACGTCTCGCTCCAAACAGAGGACCCCGGCATCTCGCGCCTCGAACAAATCAGGGCGATCAGTTTGTCGCCGTATTTGATCGCTGGAGACCGCTTGCAGGCCACCTGAAGGACCAGTCAGTACTCCAATCGGGAGATCGGGTCGGGTCGGGACGTGCGCTGGATCGGATGACAGATCGGATCGGCTCGGCACGGGGTCGGATCGGAATCGACTCGAAGATCGGCCGCGCCAGGATGCACAACGGCCCCCGTGCGGGCACCTGGATGCGCCGCCTCGTCGAGCAGACTTTTTGCTACCCGAGAAGGTCGGGGACTCGACTCGGATCGAGCCGCCGGGCGCCGATGTCGCATCGGACCGATGAGATCGAGACGGACACACCGACCTCGATGGACCAGGAAGGAAACAGGCCCGACTTGACCGCAGGTGAGGTGGTGTCGCCTGTTTTGTTGGTCGACCGGGGGGGGCGCCCCAGAGAGGGCCTCGTGTCTACTCGAGGGGTCGAGGAGGGAGGCAGGCGCCCCCAGGCAGGCGCCCTCGCGCCGAGGAGAGCTACAAAAAAACAGCACGGGGGGCTTTCGGCCGTTGTCGTCCCCTTCCCAAAACAGCTCTCTGGAAGCTATGAGAGGGTTTCACATTAAGAAGCCGGACCCGCAGGGTAGCCCCAGAGGTCGTTCTGGCTTCCGGCACGACACCTCGGCACGCCTCGATTGAGCCGGCAGCGTGTTCCAGCAGGCCCTTTCTAAGCGTTTCCCAATACGCGTGCCCGGAAGCTCTCCAGAAGGTCCATCGGAAGCTCTCTGCAGGTCCTTCCAGAGCTCTTCGAATGGCGTTTCCACGCCCTTCTGGCGCCCTGCTATCCAAGTTTGGGACCCCACAATGCCTTGATCACTGGCTTGTGGCAGGATTTTCTGGTCGCGACCCACCAAATCGGCCGCCAACCTAGGACGACGATTCAGAACAAAACGGAAGGGGGAACGATGAAACACTAATTGCCGACTCGCGATGGCAGATTGGGTGAACGATGCAAGTGCTCCACCTTCTGAAACCAACGAAATGGTTTTCGAATTAAAACCAGATTCGATTATTGTTGGGATCCTATTGGAGCCCTCTTGGAATGGTAAAATCAGACTGGAGCCCTGGAGTACACTTGGAATCCGACTGGAATCGTAGTGTGGTTCCGATCACTTCCTGATCATGCATCTCCGAGTCAGCTCCAAATACAATTGTTACTTCCACATCTCCTACTCCGGCTCCTAGTGCAGATCTCGGCAACCTTCCATTACGACTCCTGGAACAGCTCCAACATATCTCTTATCACTACAGCACCCGCCAGAGCGCTCTGTGGACTATAAAACTTCAACTGCGCCTTCTACGACAGCACCAATGCTATCTTCAACTGCACCTGCTTATCGTCCACCTCCTGTTACAACTCATGGTAACTATAGATCCGATCCGTCCGTCGAAATAATTGCATCCCGCTGATGTTGACTCGCCTCCATTTCCCTTTTCCCTGGCGCGTCGGCCGTCCAGGCGCGCCCGAGCAGGGTAGGGATGTCAAACTGCGTGTGCGGGACGCTGCGGGCGGTCCCACTGGGGGCTGGAGCTCCCTATGGGGCCACGAAGCGCTGTGCTGAGTGGTTGGAAATGCCAAATTACGCGTGCGGGACGCATGCCCAAAGGCCACGAAACGCTGTACTGGGTGGGACGGACGCATGTGGCCACCCCTACTGGGTCCTCCTATGGAGCTCTTGATGGGGCCACGAAACGCTGTACTGAGTGTGACGGACGCACGTGGCCACCCCCACTGGGGCCTTCGGTGGAGCTCCCTGTGGGGCCACGAACCGCCGCACTCTGTGTGGCGGACGCATGCGGGCGGTAGCACTGGGGGCTTCGGTGGAGCTCCCTATGGGGCCACGAACCGCCGTACTCTGTGTGGCGGACGCATGTGGTACCCTCCACTGGGGCCTTGGGTGGAGCTCCCTATGGGGCCACGAAACGCTGTACTGGGTGTGGCGGACGCATGTGGTACCCCCACTGGGGGGGGGGGGGCTCGGGAAGAGGAGACGCGGGGTCCGTTTCTCCAAAACGAAGACCCAACACCACAGATGGCTGGGAAAAAAACAATAATTATCCTGTCGAAGGACCCAACCATATGCAGTTGTGGGTACCGCAATTGTAAATATCATGCGGGCGGTAGCACTGGGGCCTTGGGTGGAGCTCCCTATGGGGCCACGAAGCGCTGTACTGGGTGAGTGAACATGCCACATTGAATGTGTGGGACCCACGCGGACTGTCCCATTGGGGGCTTCGGTGGGGCTCCTAATGGGGCCACGAAGCGCTGTACTGGGTGGGTGAAAATGCCACATTGGGCGTGCGGGGCGCGCGCGGACGGTCCCATTGAAGATTTCGGTGGGGCTTCCTATGGGGCCACGGAACGCTGTACTGGGTCGGTGAACCTGCCAAATCGGGCGTGTGGGACGCATGTCGGCGGTCCCACTGGGGGCTTCGGTGGAGCTGCCCATTGGGGCCACGAAGCGCTGTACTCGGTGGGTGAAAACGTCAAATTGCGTGTGCGGGACGCATGCGGGCGGTCTCACTGGGGGCTTCGGTGGAGCTCCCTGTGGGGCCACGAAGCGCTGTACTGGGTGGGTGAAAATGCCAAATTGGGTGTGCGGGACGCATGCGGACGGCCCCACTGGCCACGAAACGCTGTATTGGGTGTGGCGGACGCATTTGGTACCCCCCCCGCTTGGGGCCTTAGGTGGAGCTCCCCACGGGGCCACGAAGCGCTGTAGTGCCCCCCCCTGGGGCATTAGGTGGAGCCTCCTATGGAGCCACGAAGCGCCGTTGGCGGACGCATGTGGTACCCCCCCCTGGGGCCTCAGGTGAATCCCCCTTATGGGGCCACGAAACGCCGTACTGGGTGTGGCGGACGCGGGTGGCACCCCGCCCCCTGGGGCCTTAGGTGGACCTCCCATATGGAGCCACAAAACGCCGTACTGGGTGTGGCGGACGCATGTGGTACCCCCCCCTGGGGCCTTAGGTGGACCTCCCCATGGGGCCACGAAACGTCGTACTGGGTGTGGCGGACGCATGTGGTACCCCCCCCTGGGGCCTTTGGTGGAGCTCTCTATGGGGCCACGAAGCGCCGTACTGAAGCATGTGTTACCCCCCCCTGGGGCGTATAGGGCCACGAAACGCCGTACTGGGTGTGGCGGGCGCATGTGGTCCCCCCCCCTTGGGCCTTACGTGGGGCTCTCTATGGGGCCACGGAGCGCTGTACTGGGTGGGTGAAACGCATGGAGGAGGGAGGAGGGGGAGGAGGGAGGAGGGGGAGGAGGAGGTGGAGTGAGTGAGTGAGTGAGTGAGTGAGCGAGCGAGTGAGTGAGTGAGTAAGTGAGTGGGGCGCGGGGCGCTGTCTCTTCAATACGAGGACCCAACACCACAGGATGGCTGGGAACAAACACGCCCGGCCTCAGGGCTGTCAGAAGACTGCCTCTTTCTGACAGTCCCGGGGCGAAGCGCACTGCCAGGGCCCCTCTCCTACTGGACCCCTCTCCTCAAGGACCCGCCTCCTTCCTTCTCCCCAGTCATCCGACGACGTGATCGCCTTGTGCAACGTGGCTCCCCAAGGTCCAGACCTCTGGGGAGCCACGTTGCGAACAAAATCACGACGTCGGGTGTCTAGAGGCCTCCTAAGCCGGAGTCGGAGTAGATGGGGTCTGGGGCTCACGCCCCGATGCTTTGGCGATGCACCAGCGACATCGGCGATGCATCGGCGCCGTCGGCGGGAAGAAAATCGGGCTCCACATCGAGCCGACTCGCCGATGCATCGGCTATGCCGCGCAATCCTCCGACCCGATCCTCCTCCGACCCCGGCTGTGAGGACCAGAATGCCTGACGACGTCTCGCCCTCGACGGAGGCCGGCGGAAGCAAAGGGTACCCACCCCCCACCCCCAACGGACGGCAACCTCTCGGACTCAGGGTTTCTGGAGCGGGCCACCTGGCAGGTGCTCTTCGCCGACTGGCTGGTGCTTCCTGGTAAGGCAGGGAGGGCTGCGGTTGCATCAGACCGCCTGCTGGGTCTCCTCCCCGGGGGCTTCGAGGATCTGGGCGCGTGGGGGGGGGGGGGCACACGGGCGGCGAGTGCGCGGGGGGAACCGATGTGCTGTGGAGGCAAGAGGAGGATGGAGAGCGACCGCTGCGCTTCGCCCGACTCGGCCTGGACCTGTGTGCGACTCAGACAGGTCGCCGGGCGAACCGGGAACCCCACACGAGCCTGCCCGCGACAGGCAAACTCCGGCACTGAGCCGTGGCTGGAGCGACTTACGAAAGTGAAGCATGCGTGAAAATGAACACAGGCAGCCTACAGTCGGCCCATATCATAAGGATGCGCGATAAGGATGCAAGGGCCTTGGACGCCCATTCCGAAGCTTTTCGAGCGGGGCGCGGCCAACGAAAGTGGCCAAGGATGGACCAAGGAGGCAAGGATGCAAGGGCACCCTTGGGAAGGCTGCTCATCCTTATTAAGCGGGTTGACTGTACTGCGCAACGCTGTCTGGCAGGAGTTCTGTAGGTCATCTGCGGGCCTGCCCCCCTTGTCGCGCCGACGTGCGTGCTCCCGAGGGCTCCCGGCCGCCCCGACGCCTCGCCGGCGCTCTCCAGGGCTTCCGGGAAGGCACAGACAGGCCACCAAGGCCGCCAAGACGGCCCACCATTGCCTCGAGGGGCCCCAGGAGATCCCTCGATCACCGAAGGGCAGATCCAGAGGCCATCCAGGATGCCCGAAACACCCAAAAACCTAAGCGGCCCAGGTCCTCGTGGATCTGAGGGTCACAAGCCTCTCGGCTCCTGGTGGTGATGCAGGAGGCAAAGAGAGACACATAGCCCAACGAGAAAACCAAGGGACCCCTGGACGGCCCAGGATAGCTTACGAAGTCCCCAATGCGGCCCAAGAGAGCCCCAAGACAGCCCTAGACGGGTCCAAGATTGCCCAAAGGGCTCCTAGCCCCCAGGAGGCTCGCCATACAGGCAAAAGGGGCCCAATGCGGCCCAAGGAGGCCCCATGAGGGCCCCAAGACGGTCTCACTGGAGCCCACGGTGGTGCTCCAACCAACTCCACACAGAGCGCTGCGCTGGCAAGGTGGTGGAACTAAGAACAGGCAGCTGGAGTATGTAGTTAGCTAGCGTAGTTCAGCCGCAGACATCCACACCCCTCACCCTGGCCCTGTCACATTCCAACAGCTCTCAACCGCCACGATAAGTAGCCCGTGATTGGGTGCCCCCACGAGCCTGAGCGGGGTCTCGTTCCCGAGCCCGGCCTCAGCGCGGGCGTCCGGCGACTCCTCCTCCTGCTCGAGGGTGACAGACCTCGTGGACGCCTTACCCTTGGAGCGCACGAGGAGCACCCCGGCGACGAGGGCGCAGAGGAGCCCCAAGCAGGCCAGGTGCCACCACGCGGGAGCCCAGGCGGAGTGGGCGACCACGGCCGGGACGTCGGCCAGGGACCTGTTGTCCGCGGCCGTCGCGTTGCCCAGCTGGGGGAGGGCGCCACAACTGCACACAGCAGCGCCAGGCCTGGCCACGCCCCCTCGGAGCCCAAGGCCGAGGCCGGTCCGTGCGCCGCCCTGGCCAGGCCAGGACGGGGCAGGACAGGCGTCGGCCCCGGGCCCAGTTAATGTGGGCCTGGCCAGGCCCTGGTGCAGATGCCCAGTTGGCTCCCCCCTGGCCAGCGCCACCGTGGTCGTGATGGTCTCCGTGGTGCGGCCCACGAGGCCCCCGACCAGCCCCCCGATCAGCCCCGCGGCGGCCAGGCCGCTCCCCACGCCGATGGCCGCGGCCTGCCCGGGAGTCAGGCCACCCTCGGTGGCGTTGGCCGCCTCCGCCTCGGCCGCGGCCTCGGCCGCCTCCTGCTCCCGCTGCCTCGCAGCCGCGGCCGCGGCATCGGCCGCCTCCTGCTCCCGCCGCCTCGCCGCCTCGGCCTCCGCGGCCTCCGCCGCCTCCTGCTCCCGCTGCCTCGCCGCCTCGGCCTCCGCGGCCTCTGCCTCCACCTTCGCCTGCGCCTCGGGGCCCGCGCCGGCGCCGCGGGGGCGCCGGGCGCAGCTGTGGCCGTCGGCAGGCTCGAGGGCGCCGATGGGGTGCCACCACGCGCGGCAGAGCAGCCGCTCGGCCACGAACTCGGCGCCCGTGCAGTAGTCCTCCCTGGCGCAGATGGCTCTGCAGGCGCCCGGGGACGCGGCCGAGAAGGTGAAGAAGTAGTCGTTGAACTCGAGAGACGCCTCGGCGTACTCCGCGCTGCACCGGAACCCGTCGCCGCCGCCCTCGAACTCGGCCGCGGCGTCGCCATCCTCCTCGGCCGCGTCGCCGCCGGCGGGCGGTGCCGCCGCGCCCGCCGCGCTGCAGTTCGCCACGGCGGCGCCGGGGACGCCCTTCGCCCAGTCGCGCGGGGCGCACAGGGCCTCGCCCCCCTCCACGCACGGCACGCCGCCGCACCAGGCGCACGGCTCCCCCGAGATCCTGTAGCCCTCCCACTGCTTCCAGGGCCGCCCGTCGCGGCTCCCGAGGCAGCTGTCCCTGTCCGCGATGGCGTCGCACCCGCCGGCCCCGTGCCACCGGAGGCACCCGAGGCCCGCCTCCTCCAGCGCCGCGGCGCAGGAGGCGGTGACAAGCACCGCGATCGCGCAGGTCCGAGGGCGCGTCATCATCGGTCTTCAGCTCCAGTGAGCGGTGCAGGTCTGCTGGCAGGATGGACTGGCAGGACCCAATCTGAAGCAGAAGCGGCAGCGGACTGCGGCTGGGGCATGCCTCCACGTTCCTCTTACCTTCATGACAGTTTCATGTGTGCCTTACGTAACAATGATTTTAGCTTGCAGTCGGCGTGCCATTAGCGTCACTTTAGAAATCTCGCCATCCTCTTGGCGTAGTTGGTCTAGCACCTGTTATTCCAACCCGCTTCCTCTGCTTTGAGGAGGGGTCGGCCACTCCTCCTTGTGAATAATCCTCCTTTCCCCACTCGATCAGCGACCGACCAGGAACAATGCCGACCCACCCACCATCATCCCTGTCCGAAAGACAACGAAATTATCCTGGCGAAGGACCCAACCATATTCAGTTGTGAGAAACGCATTGTGGGTGCCGTTATCGGTGGGACACGACACGCGTGACGGGCGCGCTGTAATGGGTGTGGCGGGCGCGTGCGGGCACCCCCACCGGGGCCTTCGGTGGAGCCCCTATGGGGTGACGAAACGCTGTGCTGGGTGTGGCGGACGCATGCGGGCACCCCCACTGGGACCTTCGGTGGAGCTCCCTATGGGGCCACGAAGCGCCGTGCTGGGTGTGGCGGGCGCATGCGGGCACCCCCACTGGGGCCTTCGGTGGAACTCCCTATGGGGCCACGACGCGCTGTGCTGGGTGTGGCGGACGCATGCGGGCACCCCCACTGGGGCCTTCGGTGGAGCTCCCTATGGGGCCACGAAGCGCCGTGCTGGGTGTGGCGGACGCATGCGGGCACCCCCACTGGGGCCTTCGGTGGAACTCCCTATGGGGCCACGACGCGCTATGCTGGGTGTGGCGGACGCATGCGGGCACCCCCACTGGGGCCTTCGGTGGAGCTCCCAATGGGGCCACGAAACGCCGTGCTGGGTGTGGCGGACGCGTGCGGGCAACCCCACTGGGACCTCCGGTGGAGCTCCCCATGGGGCCACGAAACGCTGTGCTAGGTGTGGCGGACGCATGCGGGCACCCCCACTGGGGCCTTCGGTGGAGCTCCCTATGGGGCCACGACGCGCTGTGCTGGGTGTGGCGGACGCATGCGGGCACCCCCACTGGGGCCTTCGGTGGAGCTCCCTATGGGGCCACGAAACGCTGTGCTGGGTGTGGGGACGCATGCGGGCACCCCCACTGGGGCCTTCGGTGAAGCTCCCTATGGGACCAAGAAACGGTGTGTTGGGTGTGGCGGCGCATGCGGGCACCCCCACTGGGGCCTTCGGTGGAGCTCCCCATGGGGCCACGAAACGCTGTGCTGGGTGTGGCGGACGCATGCGGCACCCCCACTGGGGCCTTCGGTGGAGCTCCCTATGGGGCCACGAAACGCTGTATTGGGTGTGGCGGGCGCGTGCGGGCACCCCCACTGGGGCCTTCGGTGGAGCTCCCTATGGGGCCACGAAACGCTGCGCTGGGTGTGGCGGACGCATGCGGGCACCCCCACCGGGGCCTTCGGTGGAGCTCCCTGTGGGGCCACGAAACGCTGTGCTGGGTGTGGCGGACGCATGTGGGCACCCCTACTGGGGCTTTCGGTGGAGCTCCCTGTGGGGCCACGAAACGCTGTGTTGGGTGTGGCGGACGCATGCGGGCACCCCCACTGGGGCCTTCGGTGGAGCTCCCTATGGGGCCACGAAGCGCTGTGCTGGGCGTGGCGGACGCATGCGGGCACCCCCACTGGAGCCGTCGGTTGAGCTCCCTATGGGACCACGAAACGTGTGAGGGGTGTACCGAAAGGGGTGATGGTGACGATCATGACGGTGAAGGCGATGATGATGATGATGATGATGATGATGATGAGGAGGAGGATGGTGATGATGACGTCGATGGTGATGATGATGGTGATGATGATGATGAGGATGATGATGATGATGAGGAGGATGATGTTGATGATGCTGCTGCTGCTGATGATGATGATGATGCTGATGTCGATGTCGATGTCGATGTTGATGTTGATGTTGAAGTTGATGTTGATGATGATGATGATGATGATGATGATGATGATGATGATGCTGATGATGATGATGATGATGATGAAGATGATGATGATAATGATGATGGGGAGGAGGGGCGGGGAGGAGGAGTGAACGCGGGGCGCTGTCTCTTCAAAACAAGGACCCAACACCACAGGATGGTTGGGAAAAACCTTAACACGAAAATCATGAAAATTAGCCTGGCGAAGGACCCAACCATATGCAATTGTGAATACCGTCTTTGTGAGCAACGCATTCGGTTGGGTTCCCTATAGGGCCACGAAACGCTGCCCTGGGTGCGGGAACCGCATGCGAACACCCCCACTGGGGCCCTCGGTAAAGCTCCCCATGGGGCCACGAAGCGCTGCCCTGGGTAAGGAAGAGCATGCGGGCACCCCCACTGTGGCTTTCGGTGGAGCTCCATGTGGGGCCACGAAACGCTGCCCCGGGTGGGGGAACCGCATGCGAACTGCGCCACTGGGGCCATCGGCGGAGCCCCCTATGGGGCCACGAAGCGCTGCCCTGGGTGGGTGACACGCATGGAGGAGGGAGGAGGGGACGTCTCTTGGGACGTCTCTTGAGGTGGGGGGGGCGCCCGTGGCGCCCCCCCACAAGGAGGGAGGAGGGGGAGGAGGGAGGAGGGGGAGGAGGAGGTGGAGTGAGTGAGTGAGTGAGTGAGCGAGCGAGTGAGTGAGTGAGTGAGTGAGTGAGTGGGGCGCGGGGCGCTCTCTTCAATACGAAGACCCAACACCACAGGATGGCTGGGAACAAACACGCCCGGCCTCAGGGCTGTCAGAAGACTGCCTCTTTCTGACAGTCCCGGGGCGAAGCGCACTGCCATGGCCCCTCTCCTACTGGACCCCTCTCCTCAAGGACCCGCCTCCTTCCTTCTCCCCAGTCATCCGACGACGTGATCGCCTTGTGCAAAATCACGACGTCGGGTGTCTAGAGGCCTCCTAAGCTGGAGTCGGAGTAGATGGGGTCTGGGGCTCACGCCCCGATGCTTTGTCGATGCACCAGCGACATCGGCGATGCATCGGCGCCGTCGGCGGGAAGAAAATCGGGCGCCACATCGAGCCGACTCGCCGATGCATCGGCTATGCCGCGCAATCCTCCGACCCGATGCTCCTCCGACCCCGGCTGTGAGGACCGGAATGCCTGACGACGTCTCGCCCTCGAGCCTTCTGCCAAAGACGCTTCTCAGAAGCCCTCCAGCCTTCTGAGAAGTTGTCCTCGGGGGAAGGCTTAGGAAGCGGCTCTGAAGGCTGGGGGGGCTTCCAAGCCTTCTGAGAAGGCCGGCCCCTGCTCACTTACCCCCCAGGCTCGCCCCCGACTCAGGGCGACACGGGGAGGGGGAGGGCGGAGGACGCCATGCAGAGCCACCAGCCCCAGACCCCCGACGTCGTGCTCTTGTTCATGACGTCGGCCCCCAAAGGGGCCTCGACCCATTCCCCAGGACCCGCTTCTCACCCCGAGCCGTCTTTTTACGGCCGCGGGGCCCGGCAAGGGCCCCAGAGGAGGCCGACAGCAGCAAAAGAACGCCCGCCCGGTTTTCTTCGCCCCTCGCTTGCGTCTGGGGCTTGTGCCCCTTGCGGTGCGCAGGAGGCAGCCCCAGACATGATCGCATCGTAAAAGGATCAGGGCGAAAGATTTTTGGCCAATTTCGGCCTCGGGGGGCCCTCGCTGGGCCTCGGGACCGTCAAAAAAAACTCAGGATAAAAAACCAGTCCTGGGGAAAGGGTCAGGACTTCCAGGAGCCCCGTATTAAAACAATCAGGACGTCGCATGTCTGGGGCCCGATGGGGGCTGGCAGGTGGGAGACCCTGGAAGCGGTCCTCGCCCCGGCGCGACTGGAGGCGCCGGGCGGGAAACGAGAAGCGAGCGAGAGAGGAAAAAAAGAGAGGGAGGGTGGGGGGAGACGCCAGTCGTGTTCGCGCCCTATGATATATGACATCCTACCCCGCCCCCCCATCCCTTCCCACGGCGCTGATGGCTGATGTTGTCTCTATCCGCGGACGCGTCATAGCCGACCAAGAACTCCAAGAGGGACCCCCTAAAGGCCCTATCGTGTTATGCACCATCGCAGAAGAACAGGGAGCTGGGCAAGTTGAAAGGGTGGTGTCGGAGGACGGGTGGGAGAGGAGAAGGAGAGACCTGCCGGTCAGACCCGACCATGCGTGGGGTGCTGGGGCGGCACTCCCCCCACCCCGGAACCCCCAGCGCTGTGCTTCTCCGCTGCAGGGACCCCCCGAGGTCTCGTGGAGGTCTCGCCCCAGCCCCCGGGGGTCGGCTCCTTATCCCATGTGCCCGATCCAGATCTCATCACGTCTCCCCCCGGGCCTGGAAGCAGCGCCTGCACGCAGCGGGGAGGGGTTCTGGGTCTCCGCAGAAGCGGGGCTCGTGTGGCCCCGCCAGCAGACAACAGAAAGCTCTTGGTGGGCGGGCGCACTTGTGGCGCCCCCCGCCGCCCCCCTGCCGAAGACTTCCGAAGAGAGTCGGCGACTCTGAAGGGTGTGGTCTGCAGAGGGTGTGGCTTGCAACGCGCACCCGGGGGGGGGGCGGGCGAGTAGGCGAGGACCTCCACGGAATCCTTCGCCGCGACCCGAGGAAGCCCGACGAGGGCCACGTGGCGCCCCCCAAGCCCCGACGACGCAGATCGCAAACCACACCTTTTGCATAAAAGAAGGAACAACGGCAGAAGCATAAAACTTTTGGCGCTAAGCACGGATTTCTGGATCTGCGCTGGACCCCCCTCCCTGGCGCGCGGAGCGCGCCAGGGGCGGCGCCGCCCGGGGGGCCCAGCGCGGCTCCAAGGAATGCGCGCGGAGCGCCGAAGGCATGTGCTCATGCTGCTTTTCTCCTTCGACCGTGGTCGCCGAGCGATCCCCCCGCGCCCGGCCCTGGCGGCTCAACGCGGCGGCGCCACGCGCCCGCCCCGCCGAAGGCGCCACTGGCCGCCCGGGCGCAGAGCGCCCCCGCCGCGCGCGCGCGGCGGGCTCCACGGAGCGCGGCGGGCGCCTAGCCGAGGAGGCGGCCTGGCCTCGGCGGCGCCGCCACGGGCTCCGCGAGGCGGAGGGGCGGCGGCGGCGCCGCCGCGGGCTCCGCGAGGCGGCGCGGCGGCGGCGGGCCGCCCGCGGCTCGGGCGCCGAGCCCGCAGGCGGGCGGCGGCGCCCCGCTTGGCTCGGCGAGCTCCGCCGGGGCGGCGCGGCCCAGGCTGCGGTAGGGCGCGTCGGCGGTGCCCTGGTACGGCGGCCGCGCCCAGTCGGGCCACCTCGGGTGCCCAAGAAAAGGCATCGACGCATGCCCCGAGTGGCGACCATATCCGTACTTATTCGCGCCCCCGCTGTCTGGATTCCGAGGCGCGATCCCGCGGCTAAACGGTCGCACGGATGCGTTCCGCGCGGGGCATCCGCGAAGACTCGCACCGTGTCCGCGTGGTCGCGGCCCTAGGGGCCGGGGCCGCGCGGCCGCGGATGCAGATCGGTTCTTCGCCCACGAAGACGGCGATGGTGCCCTTTCTTGAGCATGGCCTGGGGGTGCCGAGAAGCCCAGCACGTGCTGCATCACACATGACCCGCGGAGACGTCACAGCTCGGTTCTCTCGGGCACTGCAGGAGGCGCCACCCGCCCCGGGGCCACCTTGGCCCACGCGATGGCGGTAGTGGTTTGTGGCGCGCTGAGACTGCTCTCAGTGCGAGGCGCTGCAAGGCCGCACTGGGGCGCCCAAGGAAGAGTATCACCTCCGAGGGGTCGAGAATAAGACGTCTCGCTCCAAACAGAGGACCCCAGCATCTCGCGCCTCGAACAAATCAGGGCGATCAGTTTGTCGCCGTATTTGACCGCTGGAGACCGCTTGCAGGCCACCTGAAGGACCAGTCAGTACTCCAATCGGGAGATCGGGTCGGGTCGGGACGTGCGCTGGATCGGATGACAGATCGGATCGGCTCGGCACGGGGTCGGATCGGAATCGACTCGAAGGTCGGCCGCGCCAGGATGCACAACGGCCCCCGTGCGGGCACCTGGATGCGCCGCCTCGTCGAGCAGACTTTTTGCTACCCGAGAAGGTCGGGGACTCGACTCGGATCGAGCCGCCGGGCGCCGATGTCGCATCGGACCGATGAGATCGAGACGGACACACCGACCTCGATGGACCAGGAAGCAAACAGGCCCGACTGAACCGCAGGTGAGGTGGTGTCGCCTGTTTTGTTGGTCGACCGGGGGGGGGCGCCCCAGAGAGGGCCTCGTGTCTACTCGAGGGGTCGAGGAGGGAGGCAGGCGCCCCCAGGCAGGCGCCCTCGCGCCGAGGAGAGCTACAAAGAAACAGCACGGGGGGCTTTAAGCCGTTGCCGTCCTCTCCCCAGATAGCTCTCTGGAAGCTATGAGAGGGTTTCACATTAAGACGCCGGACCCGCAGGGTAGCCCCAGAGGTCGTTCTGGCTTCCGGCACGACACCTCGGCACGCCTCGATTGAGCCGGCAGCGTGTTCCAGCAGGCCTTTCCTAAGCGTTTCCCAATACGCGTGCCCGGAAGCTCTCCAGAAGGTCCATCGGAAGCTCTCTGCAGGTCCTTCCAGAGCTCTTCGAATGGCGTTTCCACGCCCTTCTGGCGCCCTGCTATCCAAGTTTTGGACCCCACAATGCCTTGATCACTGGCTTGTGGCAGGATTTTCTGGTCGTGACCCACCAGATCGGCCGCCAACCTAGGACGACGATTCAGGACAAAACGGAAGGGGGAACGATGAAACACTAATTGCCGACTCGCGATGGCAGATTTGGTGAACGATGCAAGTGCTCCACCTTCTGAAACCAACGAAATGGTTTTCGAATTAAAACCAGATTCGATTATTGTTGGGATCCTATTGGAGCCCTCTCGGAATGGTAAAATCAGACTGGAGCCCTGGAGTACACTTGGAATCCGACTGGAATCGTAGTGTGGTTCCGAACACTTCCTGATCATGCATCTCCGAGTCAGCTCCAAATACAATTGTTACTTCCACATCTCCTACTCCGGCTCCTAGTGCAGATCTCGGCAACCTTCCATTACGACTCCTGGAACAGCTCCAACATATCTCTTATCACTACAGCACCCGCTAGAGCGCTCTGTGGACTATAAAACTTCAACTGCGCCTTCTACGACAGCACCAATGCTATCTTCAACTGCACCTGCTTATCGTCCATCTCCTGTTACAACTCATGGTAACTATAGATCCGATCCGTCCGTCGTAATAACTGCATCCCGCTGATGTTGACTCGCCTCCATTTCCCCTTTCCCTGGCCCGTCGGCCGTCCAGGCGCGCCCGAGCAGGGCGCGGGGGAGACGATTGAAAGCATCGTGTTCCTGCCTCAGGCCGGTTACTCTGATCATCATTCTGAGCGCCGCCGCGTGAACACGACCCCAAGTAAATTCTTAACCAGCATCCGGCATGACCAATGCTGCCTCAGATTCCGGGATCGGTCGCGATCGGTCGCGACCGAGTTTGGAATCGGTCGCGATCGGACGCGATCGACTCAGAAGGCCGACGGGCCGCTACCGAGCGCGACCAGCAAAAAACAGAAAAACAATTATCCGGGCGAAAGACCCAACCATATGCAGTTGTGGGTGCCGCAATTGTGAAAAACTTTTTCGGTGAACCTCCCTATGGAACCACGAAGCGCTGCACTGAGTGGGGGGGAGCGCATGCGGGCGGTAGCACTGGGGCCGTCGGTTGAGCTCCCTATGGGGCCACGAAGCGCTGTACTGTGTGTGCGAAAATGCCAGATTCGGTGTGCGGGGCGCATGCGGGCGGTAGCACTGGGGGCTTCGGTGGAGCTTCCTATGGGGCCACGGATCGCTGTATTGGGTGAATGAAGCTGCCAAGTTAAGCTTCCGGGACGCACGCGGACGGTCCCACTGGGGGCTTCGGTGGAGCTCCTGATGAGGCCACGAAGCGCTATACTGGGCGGGTGAGAATGTCAAACTGCGTGTGCGGGACGCTGCGGGCGGTCCCACTGGGGGCTGGAGCTCCCTATGGGGCCACGAAGCGCTGTGCTGAGTGGTTGGAAATGACAAATTACGCGTGCGGGACGCATGCCCAAAGGCCACGAAACGCTGCACTGGGTGGGACGGACGCATGTGGCCACCCCTACTGGGTCCTCCTATGGAGCTCTTGATGGGGCCACGAAACGCTGTACTGGGTGTGACGGACGCATGTGGTACCCCCACTGGGGGGGGGGCTCGGGAAGAGGAGACGCGGGGACCGTTTCTCCAAAACGAAGACCCAACACCACAGGATGGCTGGGAAAAAACAATAATTATCCGGTCGAAGGGCCCAGCCAAATGCAGTTGTGGGTACCGCAATTGTGAATATCATGCGGGCGGTAGCACTGGGGCCTTGGGTGGAGCTCCCTATGGGGCCACGAAGCGCTGTACTGGGTGAGTGAACATGCCACATTGGGTGTGTGGGACCCACGCGGACTGTCCCATTGGGGGCCTTCGGTGGAGCTCCCAATGGGGCCACGAAACGCCGTGCTGGGTGTGGCGGACGCGTGCGGGCAACCCCACTGGGACCTCCGGTGGAGCTCCCCATGGGGCCACGAAACGCTGTACTGGGTGTGACGGACGCACGTGGCCACCCCCACTGGGGCCTTCGGTAAAGCTCCCTGTGGGGCCACGAACCGCCGCACTCTGTGTGGCGGACGCATGCGGGCGGTAGCACTGGGGGCTTCGGTGGAGCTCCCTATGGGGCCACGAACCGCCGTACTCTGTGTGGCGGACGCATGTGGTACCCTCCACTGGGGCCTTGGGTGGAGCTCCCTATGGGGCCACGAAACGCTGTACTGGGTGTGGCGGACGCATGTGGTACCCCCACTGGGGGGGGGGCTCGGGAAGAGGAGACGCGGGGACCGTTTCTCCAAAACGAAGACCCAACACCACAGGATGGCTGGGAAAAAACAATAATTATCCGGTCGAAGGGCCCAGCCAAATGCAGTTGTGGGTACCGCAATTGTGAATATCATGCGGGCGGTAGCACTGGGGCCTTGGGTGGAGCTCCCTATGGGGCCACGAAGCGCTGTACTGGGTGAGTGAACATGCCACATTGGGTGTGTGGGACCCACGCGGACTGTCCCATTGGGGGCTTCGGTGGGGCTCCTAATGGGGCCACGAAGCGCTGTACTGGGCGGGTGAAAATACCAAATTGGGCTTCCGGGGCGCACGCGGACGGTCCCAGTGGGGCTTCGGTGGAGCTCCATATGGGGCCACGAAACGCTGTACCGGGTGCGTGAAAATGCAAAATTGTGTTTCCAAGGCGCATGTGGGCGGTCCCACTGGGGGCTTCGGTGAAGCTCCTAATGGGGCCACCAAACGCTATACTGGGTGGGTGAAAATGCCACATTGGGCGTGCGGGGCGCGCGCGGACGGTCCCATTGAAGATTTCGGTGGGGCTTCCTATGGGGCCACGGAACGCTGTACTGGGTCGGTGAACCTGCCAAATCGGGCGTGTGGGACGCATGTCGGCGGTCCCACTGGGGGCTTCGGTGGAGCTGCCCATTGGGGCCACGAAGCGCTGTACTCGGTGGGTGAAAACGTCAAATTGCGTGTGCGGGACGCATGCGGGCGGTCTCACTGGGGGCTTCGGTGGAGCTCCCTGTGGGGCCACGAAGCGCTGTACTGGGTGGGTGAAAATGCCAAATTGGGTGTGCGGGACGCATGCGGACGGCCCCACTGGCCACGAAACGCTGTATTGGGTGTGGCGGACGCATTTGGTACCCCCCCACTTGGGGCCTTAGGTGGAGCTCCCCACGGGGCCACGAAGCGCTGTAGTGCCCCCCCTTGGGGCATTAGGTGGAGCCTCCTATGGGGCCACGAAGCGCCGTTGGCGGACGCATGTGGTACCCCCCCCTGGGGCCTCAGGTGAATCCCTCTTATGGGGCCACGAAACGCCGTACTGGGTGTGGCGGACGCAGGTGGCACCCCGCCCCCTGGGGCCTTAGGTGGACCTCCCATATGGAGCAACAAAACGCCGTACTGGGTGTGGCGGACGCATGTGGTACCCCCCCCTGGGGCCTTAGGTGGACCTCCCCATGGGGCCACGAAACGTCGTACTGGGTGTGGCGGACGCATGTGGTACCCCCCCCTTGGGCCTTTGGTGGAGCTCTCTATGGGGCCACGAAGCGCCGTACTGAAGCATGTGTTACCCCCCCCTGGGGCGTATAGGGCCACGAAACGCCGTACTGGGTGTGGCGGGCGCATGTGGTCCCCCCCCTTGGGCCTCACGCGGGGCTCTCTATGGGACCACGGAGCGCTGTACTGGGTGGGTGAAACGCATGGAGGAGGGAGGAGGGGGAGGAGGGAGGAGGGGGAGGAGGAGGTGGAGTGAGTGAGTGAGTGAGTGAGCGAGCGAGTGAGTGAGTGAGTAAGTGAGTGGGGCGCGGGGCGCTGTCTCTTCAATACGAGGACCCAACACCACAGGATGGCTGGGAACAAACACGCCCGGCCTCAGGGCTGTCAGAAGACTGCCTCTTTCTGACAGTCCTGGGGCGAAGCGCACTGCCAGGGCCCCTCTCCTACTGGACCCCTCTCCTCAAGGACCCGCCTCCTTCCTTCTCCTCAGTCATCCGACGACGTGATCGCCTTGTGCAACGTGGCTCCCCAAGGTCCAGACCTCTGGGGAGCCACGTTGCGAACAAAATCACGACGTCGGGTGTCTAGAGGCCTCCTAAGCCGGAGTCGGAGTAGATGGGGTCTGGGGCTCACGCCCCGATGCTTTGGCGATGCACCAGCGACATCGGCGATGCATCGGCGCCGTCGGCGGGAAGAAAATCGGGCTCCACATCGAGCCGACTCGCCGATGCATCGGCTATGCCGCGCAATCCTCCGACCCGATCCTCCTCCGACCCCGGCTGTGAGGACCAGAATGCCTGACGACGTCTCGCCCTCGACGGAGGCCGGCGGAAGCAAAGGGTACCCACCCCCCACCCCCAACGGACGGCAACCTCTCGGACTCAGGGTTTCTGGAGCGGGCCACCTGGCAGGTGCTCTTCGCCGACTGGCTGGTGCTTCCTGGTAGGGCAGGGAGGGCTGCGGTTGCATCAGACCGCCTGCTGGGTCTCCTCCCCGGGGGCTTCGAGGATCTGGGCGCGTGGGGGGGGGGGGGCACACGGGCGGCGAGTGCGCGGGGGGAACCGATGTGCTGTGGAGGCAAGAGGAGGATGGAGAGCGACCGCTGCGCTTCGCCCGACTCGGCCTGGACCTGTGTGCGACTCAGACAGGTCGCCGGGCGAACCGGGAACCCCACACGAGCCTGCCCGCGACAGGCAAACTCCGGCACTGAGCCGTGGCTGGAGAGACTTACGAAAGTGAAGCATGCGTGAAAATGAACACAGGCAGCCTACAGTCGGCCCATATCATAAGGATGCGCGATAAGGATGCAAGGGCCTTGGACGCCCATTCCGAAGCTTTTCGAGCGGGGCGCGGCCAACGAAAGTAGCCAAGGATGGACCAAGGAGGCAAGGATGCAAGGGCACCCTTGGGAAGGCTGCTCATCCTTATTAAGCGGGTTGACTGTACTGCGCAACGCTGTCTGGCAGGAGTTCTGTAGGTCATCTGCGGGCCTGCCCCCCTTGTCGCGCCGACGTGCGTGCTCCCGAGGGGCTCCCGGCCGCCCCGACGCCTCGCCGGCGCTCTCCAGGGCTTCCGGGAAGGCACAGACAGGCCACCAAGGCCGCCAAGACGGCCCACCATTGCCTCGAGGGGCCCCAGGAGATCCCTCGATCACCGAAGGGCAGATCCAGAGGCCATCCAGGATGCCCGAAACACCCAAAGACCTAAGCGGCCCAGGTCCTCGTAGATCTGGGGGTCACAAGCCTCTCGGCTCCTGGTGGTGATGCAGGAGGCAAAGAGAAGACACATAGCCCAACGAGAAAACCAAGGGACCCCTGGACGGCCCAGGATAGCCTACGAAGTCCCCAATGCGGCCCAAGAGAGCCCCAAGACAGCCCTAGACGGGTCCAAGATTGCCCAAAGGGCTCCTAGCCCCCAGGAGGCTCGCCATACAGGCAAAAGGGGCCCAATGCGGCCCAAGGAGGCCCCATGAGGGCCCCAAGACGGTCTCACTGGAGCCCACGGTGGTGCTCCAACCAACTCCACACAGAGCGCTGCGCTGGCAAGGTGGTGGAACTAAGAACAGGCAGCTGGAGTATGTAGTTAGCTAGCGTAGTTCAGCCGCAGACATCCACACCCCTCACCCTGGCCCTGTCACATTCCAACAGCTCTCAACCGCCACGATAAGAAGCCCGTGATTGGGTGTCCCCACGAGCCTGAGCGGGGTCTCGTTCCCGAGCCCGGCCTCAGCGCGGGCGTCCGGCGACTCCTCCTCCTGCTCGAGGGTGACAGACCTCGTGGACGCCTTGCCCTTGGAGCGCACGAGGAGCACCCCGGCGACGAGGGCGCAGAGGAGCCCCAGGCAGGCCAGGTGCCACCACGCGGGAGCCCAGGCGGAGTGGGCGACCACGGCCGGGACGTCGGCCAGGGACCTGTTGTCCGCGGCCGTCGCGTTGCCCAGCTGGGGGAGGGCGCCACAACTGCACACAGCAGCGCCAGGCCTGGCCACGCCCCCTCGGAGCCCAAGGCCGAGGCCGGTCCGTGCGCCGCCCTGCCCAGGCCAGGACGGGGCAGGACAGGCGTCGGCCCCGGGCCCAGTCAATGTGGGCCTGGCCAGGCCCTGGTGCGGATGCCCAGTTGGCTCCCCCCTGGCCAGCGCCACCGTGGTCGTGATGGTCTCCGTGGTGCGGCCCACGAGGCCCCCGACCAGCCCCCCGATCAGCCCCGCGGCGGCCAGGCCGCTCCCCACGCCGATGGCCGCGGCCTCCCCGGGAGTCAGGCCACCCTCGGTGGCGTTGGCCGCCTCCGCCTCGGCCGCGGCCTCGGCCGCCTCCTGCTCCCGCTGCCTCGCCGCCGCGGCCGCGGCCTCGGCTGCCTCCTGCTCCCGCCGCCTCGCCGCCTCGGCCTCCGCGGCCTCCGCCGCCTCCTGCTCCCGCTGCCTCGCCGCCGCGGCCTCCGCGGCCTCTGCCTCCACCTTCGCCTGCGCCTCGGGGCCCGCGCCGGCGCCGCGGGGGCGCCGGGCGCAGCTGTGGCCGTCGGCAGGCTCGAGGGCGCCGATGGGGTGCCACCACGCGCGGCAGAGCAGCCGCTCGGCCACGAACTCGGCGCCCGTGCAGTAGTCCTCCCTGGCGCAGATGGCTCTGCAGGCGCCCGGGGACGCGGCCGAGAAGGTGAAGAAGTAGTCGTTGAACTCGAGAGACGCCTCGGCGTACTCCGCGCTGCACCGGAACCCGTCGCCGCCGCCCTCGACGAGGTCGAACTCGGCCGCGGCGTCGCCATCCTCCTCGGCCGCGTCGCCGCCGGCGGGCGGTGCCGCCGCGCCCGCCGCGCTGCAGTTCGCCACGGCGGCGCCGGGGACGCCCTTGGCCCAGTCGCGCGGGGCGCACAGGGCCTCGCCCCCCTCCACGCACGGCACGCCGCCGCACCAGGCGCACGGCTCCCCCGAGATCCTGTAGCCCTCCCACTGCTTCCAGGGCCGCCCGTCGCGGCTCCCGAGGCAGCTGTCCCTGTCCGCGATGGCGTCGCACCCGCCGGCCCCCTGCCACCGGAGGCACCCGAGGCCCGCCTCCTCCAGCGCCGCGGCGCAGGAGGCGGTGACAAGCACCGCGATCGCGCAGGTCCGAGGGCGCGTCATCATCGGTCTTCAGCTCCAGTGAGCGGTGCAGGTCAGCTGGCAGGATGGACTGGCAGGACCCAATCTGAAGCAGAAGCGGCAGCGGACTGCGACTGGGGCATGCCTCCACGTTCCTCTTACCTTCATGACAGTTTCATGTGTGCCTTACGTAACAATGATTTTAGCTTGCAGTCGGCGTGCCATTAGCGTCACTTTAGAAATCTCGCCATCCTCTTGGCGTAGTTGGTCTAGCACCTGTTATTCCAACTCGCTTCCTCTGCTTTGAGGAGGGGTCGGCCACTCCTCCTTGTTAATAATCCTCCTTTCCCCACTCGATCAGCGACCGACCAGGAACAATGCCGACACACCCACCATCATCCCTGTCCGAAAGACAACGAAATTATCCTGGCGAAGGACCCAACCATATTCAGTTTTGAGAAACGCATTGTGGGTGCCGTTATCGGTGGGACACGACACGCGAGACGGGCGCGCTGTAATGGGTGTGGCGGGCGCGTGCGGGCACCCCCACTGGGGCCTTCGGTGGAGCCCCTATGGGGTGACGAAACGCTGTGCTGGGTGTGGCGGACGCATGCGGACACCCCCACTGGGACCTTCGGTGGAGCTCCCTATGGGGCCACGAAGCGCCGTGCTGGGTGTGGCGGACGCATGCGGGCACCCCCACTGGGGCCTTCGGTGGAACTCCCTATGGGGCCACGACGCGCTGTGCTGGGTGTGGCGGACGCATGTGGGCACCCCCACTGGGGCCTTCGGTGGAGCTCCCTATGGAGCCACGAAGCGCCGTGCTGGGTGTGGCGGACGCATGCGGGCACCCCCACTGGGGCCTTCGGTGGAACTCCCTATGGGGCCACGACGCGCTATGCTGGGTGTGGCGGACGCATGCGGGCACCCCCACTGGGGCCTTCGGTGGAGCTCCCAATGGGGCCACGAAACGCCGTGCTGGGTGTGGCGGACGCGTGCGGGCAACCCCACTGGGACCTCCGGTGGAGCTCCCCATGGGGCCACGAAACGCTGTGCTAGGTGTGGCGGACGCATGCGGGCACCCCCACTGGGGCCTTCGGTGGAGCTCCCTATGGGGCCACGAAGCGCTGTGCTGGGTGTGGCGGACGCATGCGGGCACCCCCACTGGGGCCTTCGGTGGAGCTCCCTATGGGGCCACGAAACGCTGTGCTGGGTGTGGCGGACGCATGCGGGCACCCCCACTGGGGCCTTCGGTGGAGCTCCCTATGGGGCCACGAAACGCTGTGCTGGGTGTGGCGGACGCATGCGGGCACCCCCACTGGGGCCTTCGGTGGAGCTCCCTATGGGGCCACGAAACGCTGTGCTGGGTGTGGCGGACGCATGCGGGCACCCCCACTGGGGCCTTCGGTGGAGCTCCCTATGGGGCCACGAAACGCTGTATTGGGTGTGGCGGGCGCGTGCGGGCACCCCCACTGGGGCCTTCGGTGGAGCTCCCTATGGGGCCACGAAACGCTGCGCTGGGTGTGGCGGACGCATGCGGGCACCCCTACTGGGGCTTTCGGTGGAGCTCCCTGTGGGGCCACGAAACGCTGTGCTGGGTGTGGCGGACGCATGTGGGCACCCCTACTGGGGCTTTCGGTGGAGCTCCCTATGGGGCCACGAAGCGCCGTGTTGGATGTGGCGGACGCATGCGGGCACCCCCACTGGGGCCTTCGGTGGAGCTCCCTATGGGGCCACGAAACGCTGTGCTGGGTGTGGCGGACGCATGCGGGCACCCCCACTGGAGCCGTCGGTTGAGCTCTCTATGGGACCACGAAACGTGTGAGGGGTGTACCGAAAGTGGTGATGGTGACGATCATGACGGTGAAGGCGATGATGATGATGATGATGATGATGATGATGATGATGATGATGATGATGATGATGATGATGATGATGATGATGATGATGATGATGATGAGGATGAGGATGAGGATGAGGATGAGGATGGTGATGATGACGTCGATGGTGATGATGATGGTGATGATGATGATGAGGATGATGATGATGAGGAGGATGATGTTGATGATGCTGCTGCTGATGATGATGATGTTGATGATGTTGATGATGATGATGATGATGATGATGATGATGATGATGATGATGATGATGATGATGATGATGATGATGATGATGATGATGATGATGATGATGATGATGATGATGATGATGATGATGATGATGATGATGATGATGATGGGGAGGAGTGGCGAGGAGGAGGAGTGAACGCGGGGCGCTGTCTCTTCAAAACAAGGACTTAACACCACAGGATGGTTGGGAAAAACCTTAACACGAAAATCATGAAAATTAGCCTGGCGAAGGACCCAACCATATGCAATTGTGAGTACCGTCTTTGTGAGCAACGCATTCGGTTGGGTTCCCTATAGGGCCACGAAACGCTGCCCTGGGTGCGGGAACCGCATGCGAACACCCCCACTGGGGCCCTCGGTGGAGCTCCCCATGGGGCCACGAAGCGCTGCCCTGGGTGGGGAAGAGCATGCGGGCACCCCCACTGGGGCTTTCGGTGGAGCTCCCTGTGGGGCCACGAAACGCTGCCCCGGGTGGGGGAACCGCATGCGAACTGCGCCACTGGGGCCATCGGCGGAGCCCCCTATGGGGCCACGAAACGCTGCCCTGGGTGGGTGACACGCATGGAGGAGGGAGGAGGGGACGCCTCTTGGGACGTCTCTTGAGGTGGGGGGGGCGCCCGTGGCGCCCCCCCACCAGGAGGGAGGAGGGGGAGGAGGGAGGAGGGGGAGGAGGAGGTGGAGTGAGTGAGTGAGTGAGTGAGCGAGCGAGTGAGTGAGTGAGTGAGTGGGGCGCGGGGCGCTGTCTCTTCAATACGAGGACCCAACACCACAGGATGGCTGGGAACAAACACGCCCGGCCTCAGGGCTGTCAGAAGACTGCCTCTTTCTGACAGTCCCGGGGCGAAGCGCACTGCCAGGGCCCCTATCCTACTGGACCCCTCTCCTCAAGGACCCGCCTCCTTCCTTCTCCCCAGTCATCCGACGACGTGATCGCCTTGTGCAAAATCACGACGTCGGGTGTCTAGAGGCCTCCTAAGCTGGAGTCGGAGTAGATGGGGTCTGGGGCTCACGCCCCGATGCTTTGGCGATGCACCAGCGACATCGGCGATGCATCGGCGCCGTCGGCGGGAAGAAAATCGGGCGCCACGTCGAGCCGACTCGCCGATGCATCGGCTATGCCGCGCAATCCTCCGACCCGATGCTCCTCCGACCCCGGCTGTGAGGACCAGAATGCCTGACGACGTCTCGCCCTCGAGCCTTCTGCCAAAGACGCTTCTCAGAAGCCCTCCGGCCTTCTGAGGAGTTGTCCTCGGGGGAAGGCTTAGAAAGCGGCTCTGAAGGCTGGGGGGGCTTCCAAACCTTCTGAGAAGGCCCGCCCCTGCTCACTTACCCCCCGGGCTCGCCCCCGACTCAGGGCGACACGGGGAGGGGGAGGGCGGAGGACGCCATGCGGAGCCACCAGCCCCGGACCCCCGACGTCGTGCTCTTGTTCATGACGTCGGCCCCCCAGGACCCGCTTCTCACCCCGAGCCGTCTTTTTACGGCCGCGGGGCCCGGCAAGGGCCCCAGAGGAGGCCGACAACAGCAAAAGAACGCCCGCCCGGTTTTCTTCGCCCCTCGCTTGCGTCTGGGGCTGGTGCCCCTTGCGGTGCGCAGGAGGCAGCCCCAGACATGATCGCATCGTAAAAGGATCAGGGCGAAAGATTTTTGGCCAATTTCGGCCTCGGGGGGGCCCTCGCTGGGCCTCGGGACCGTCAAAAAACGACTCAGGATGAAAAACCGGTCCTGGGGAAAGGGTCAGGACTTCCAGGAGCCCCGTATTAAAACAATCAGGACGTCGCATGTCTGGGGCCCGATGGGGGCTGGCAGGTGGGAGACCCTGGAAGCGGTCCCCGCCCCGGCGCGACTGGAGGCGCCGGGCGGGAAACGAGAAGCGAGCGAGAGAGGAAAAAAAGAGAGGGAGGGTGGGGGGAGACGCCAGTCGTGTTCGCGCCCTATGATATATGACATCCTACCCCGCCCCCCCATCCCTTCCCACGGCGCTGATGGCTGATGTTGTCTATCCGCGGACGCGTCATAGCCGACCAAGAACTCCGAGAGGGACCCCCTAAAGGCCCTATCGTGTTATGCAACATCGCAGAAGAACAGGGAGCTGGGCAAGTTGAAAGGGTGGTGTCGGAGGACGGGTGGGAGAGGAGAAGGAGAGACCTGCCGGTCAGACCCGACCATGCGTGGGGTGCTGGGGCGGCACTCCCCCCACCCCGGACCCCCCAGCGCTGTGCTTCTCCGCTGCAAGGACCCCCCGAGGTCTCGTGGAGGTCTCGCCCCAGCCCCCGGGGGTCGGCTCCTTATCCCATGTGTGCCCTATCCAGATCTCATCACGTCTCCCCCCGGGCCTGGAAGCAGCGCCTGCACGCAGCGGGGAGGGGTTCTGGGTCTCCGCAGAAGCGGGGCTCGTGTGGCCCCGCCAGCAGACAACAGAAAGCTCTTGGTGGGCGGGCGCACTTGTGGCGCCCCCCGCCGCCCCCCTGCCGAAGACTTCCGAAGAGAGTCGGCGACTCTGAAGGGCGTGGTCTGCAGAGGGTGTGGCTTGCAACGCGCACCCGGGGGGGGGCGGGCGAGTAGGCGAGGACCTCCACGGAATCCTTCGCCGCGACCCGAGGGCAGCCCGACGAGGGCCACGTGGCGCCCCCCAAGCCCCGACGACGCAGATCGCAAACCACACCTTTTGCATAAAAGAAGGAGCAGCGGCAGAAGCATAAACTTTTGGCGCTAAGCACGGATTTCTGGATCTGCGCTGGATCCCCCTCCCTGGCGCGCGGAGCGCGCCAGGGGCGGCGCCGCCCGGGGGGCCCAGCGCGGCTCCAAGAAATGCGCGCGGAGCGCCGAAGGCATGTGCTCATGCTGCTTTTCTCCTTCGACCGTGGTCGCCGAGCGATCCCCCCGCGCCCGGCCCTGGCGGCTCAACGCGGCGGCGCCACGCGCCCGCCCCGCCGAAGGCGCCACTGGCCGCCCGGGCGCAGAGCGCCCCCGCCGCGCGCGCGCGGCGGGCTCCACGGAGCGCGGCGGGCGCCTAGCCGAGGAGGCGGCCTGGCCTCGGCGGCGCCGCCACGGGCTCCGCGAGGCGGAGGGGCGGCGGCGGCGCCGCCGCGGGCTCCGCGAGGCGGCGCGGCGGCGGCGGGCCGCCCGCGGCTCGGGCGCCGAGCCCGCAGGCGGGCGGCGGCGCCCCGCTTGGCTCGGCGAGCTCCGCCGGGGCGGCGCGGCCCAGGCTGCGGTAGGGCGCGTCGGCGGTGCCCTGGTACGGCGGCCGCGCCCAGTCGGGCCACCTCGGGTGCCCAAGAAAAGGCATCGACGCATGCCCCGAGTGGCGACCATATCCGTACTTATTCGCGCCCCCGCTGTCTGGATTCCGAGGCGCGATCCCGCGGCTAAACGGTCGCACGGATGCGTTCCGCGCGGGGCATCCGCGAAGACTCGCACCGTGTCCGCGTGGTCGCGGCCCTAGGGGCCGGGGCCGCGCGGCCGCGGATGCGGATCGGTTCTTCGCCCACGAAGACGGCGATGGTGCCCTTTCTTGAGCATGGCCTGGGGGTGCCGAGAAGCCCAGCACGTGCTGCATCACACATGACCCGCGGAGACGTCACAGCTCAGTTCTCTCGGGCACTGCAGGAGGCGCCACCCGCCCCGGGGCCACCTTGGCCCACGCGATGGCGGTAGTGGTTTGTGGCGCGCTGAGACTGCTCTCAGTGCGAGGCGCTGCAAGGCCGCACTGGGGCGCCCAAGGAAGAGTATCACCTCCGAGGGGTCGAGAATAAGACGTCTCGCTCATAACAGAGGACCCCGGCATCTCGCGCCTCGAACAAATCAGGGCGATCAGTTTGTCGCCGTATTTGACCGCTGGAGACCGCTTGCAGGCCACCTGAAGGACCAGTCAGTACTCCAATCGGGAGATCGGGTCGGGTCGGGACGTGCGCTGGATCGGATGACAGATCGGATCGGCTCGGCACGGGGTCGGATCGGAATCGACTCGAAGATCGGCCGCGCCAGGATGCACAACGGCCCCGGTGCGGGCACCTGGATGCGCCGCCTCGTCGAGCAGACTTTTTGCTACCCGAAAAGGTCGGGGACTCGACTCGGATCGAGCCGCCGGGCGCCGATGTCGCATCGGACCGATGAGATCGAGACGGACACACCGACCTCGATGGACCAGGAAGCAAACGGGCCCGACTTAACCGCAGGTGAGGTGGTGTCGCCTGTTTTGTTTGTCGACCGGGGGGGGCGCCCCAGAGAGGGCCTCGTGTCTACTCGAGGGGTCGAGGAGGGAGGCAGGCGCCCCCAGGCAGGCGCCCTCGCGCCGAGGAGAGCTACAAAAACACAGCACGGGGGGCTTTCGGCCGTTGTCGTCCTCTCCCCAGATAGCTCTCTGGAAGCTATGAGAGGGTTTCACATTAAGAAGCCAGACCCGCAGGGTAGCCCCAGAGGTCGTTCTGGCTTCCGGCACGACACCTCGGCACGCCTCGATTGAGCCGGCAGCGTGTTCCAGCAGGCCCTTTCTAAGCGTTTCCCAATACGCGTGCCCGGAAGCTCTCCAGAAGGTCCATCGGAAGCTCTCTGCAGGTCCTTCCAGAGCTCTTCGAATGGCGTTTCCACGCCCTTCTGGCGCCCTGCTATCCAAGATTTGGACCCCACAATGCCTGGATCAATGGCAGGATTTTCTGGTCGCGACCCACCAAATCGGCCGCCAACCTAGGACGACGATTCAGGACAAAACGGAAGGGGGAACGATGAAACACTAATTGCCGACTCGCGATGGCAGATTGGGTGAACGATGCAAGTGCTCCACCTTCTGAAACCAACGAAATGGTTTTCGAATTAAAACCAGATTCGATTATTGTTGGGATCCTATTGGAGCCCTCTTGGAATGGTAAAATCAGACTGGAGCCCTGGAGTACACTTGGAATCCGACTGATCATACATCTCCGAGTCAGCTCCAAATGCAATTGTTACTTCCACATCTCCTACTCCGGCTCCTGGTGCAGATCTCGGCAACCATCCATTACGACTCCTGGAACAGCTCCAACGTATCTCTTGTCACTACAGCACCCGCTAGAGCGCTCTCTGGACTATATATATATATATAACTTCAACTGCGCCTTCTACGACAGCACCAATGCTATCTTCAACTGCACCTGCCTATCGCCCATCTCCTGTTACAGCTCATGGTAACTATAGATCCGATCCGTCCGTCGTAATAATAGCATCCCGCTGATGTTGACTCGCCTCCATTTCCCTTTTCCCTGGCCCGTCGGCCGTCCAGGCGCGCCCGAGCAGGGCGGGGGGGAGACGATTTAAAGCATCGTGTTCCTGCCTCAGGCCGGTTGTTCTAATCATCATCCTGAGCGCCGCCGCGTGAACACGACCCCAGGTAAATTCTTAACCAGCATCCGACATGACCAATGCTGCCTCAGATTCCGGGATCGGTCGCGATCGGTCGCGACCGAGTTTGGAATCGGTCGCGATCGGACGCGACCGACTCAGAAGGCCGACGGGCCTCTACCGAGCGCGACCAGCAAAACACAAAAACAATTATCCGGGCGAAAGACCCAACCATATGCAGTTGTGTGTACCGCGATTGTGAATAACTTTTTCGGTGAACCTCCCTATGGGGCCACGAAGCGCTGCACTGAGTGGGGGGGAACGCATGCGGGCGGTAGCACTGGGGCCGTCGGTGGAGCTCCCTATGGGGCCACGAAGCGCTGTACTGTGTGTGCGAAAATGCCAAATTCGGCGTGCGGGGCGCATACGGGCGGCAGCACTGGGGGCTTCGGTGGAGCTTCCTATGGGGCCACGAATCGCTGTATTGGGTGACTGAAGCTGCCAAGTTGGGTTTCCGGGACGCACGCGGACGGTCCCACTGGGGGCTTCGGTGGAATCCCTGATGAGGCCACGAAGCGCTGTACTGGGTGGGTGAGAATGTCAAACTGCGTGTGCGGGACGCCGCGGGCGGTCCTACTGGGGGCTGGAGCTCCCTATGGGGCCACGAAACGCTGTGCTGAGTGGTTGGAAATGCCAAATTACATGTGCGGGACGCATGCCCACTGGCCACGAAACGCTGTACTGGGTGGGACGGACGCATGTGGCCACCCCTACTGGGTCCTCCGATGGAGCTCCCTATGGGGCTACGAAACGCTGTACTGGGTGTGACGGACGCACGTGGCCACCCCCACTGGGGCCTTCGGTGGAGCTCCCTGTGGGGCCACGAACCGCCGTGCTCTGTGTGGCGGACGCATGCGGGCGGTCCCACTGGGGGCTTCGGTGGAGCTCCCTGTGGGGCCACGAACCGCCGTACTCTGTGTGGCGGACGCATGTGGTACCCTCCACTGGGGCCTTGGGAGGAGCTCCCTATGGGGCCACGAAGCGCTGTACTGGGTGTGGCGGACGCATGTGGGCACCCCCACTGGGGGGGGCACGGGAAGAGGAGACGCGGGGACCGTCTCTCCAAAACGAAGACCCAACACCACAGGGTGGTTGGGAAAAACAATATTTATCCTGTCGAAGGACCCAACCATATGCAGTTGTGGGTACCGCAATTGTGAATATCATGCGGGCGGTAGCACTGGGGCCTTGGGTGGAGCTCCCCGTGGGGCCACGAAACGCTGTACTGGGTGAGTGAACATGCCACATTGGGTGTGTGGGACCCACGCGGACTGTCCCACTGGGGGCTTCGGTGGGGCTTCTAATGGGGCCACGAAGCGCTGTACCGGGTGGATGAAAATACCAAATTGGGTTTCCGGGGCGCACGCGGACGGTCCCAGTGGGGGCTTTGGTGGAGCTCCCTATGGGGCCACGAAACGCTGTACTGGGTCCGTGAAAATGCAAAATTGTGTTTCCCGGGCGCATGTGGGCGGTACCACTGGGGGCTTCGGTGGAGCTCCTAATTGAGCCACCAAACGCTATACTGGGTGGGTGAAAATGCCGAATTGGGCGTGCGCGGCGCACGCGGACGGTCCCATTGAAGATTTCGGTGGGGCTTCCTATGGGGCCACGGAACGCTGTACTGGGTCGGTGAACCTGCCAAATCGGGTGTGTGGGACGCACGTCGGCGGTCCCAGTGGGGGCTTCGGTGGAGCTGCCCATCGGGGCCACGAAGCGCTGTACTCGGTGGGTGAAAACGTCAAATTGCGTGTGCGGGACGCATGCGGGCGGTCCCACTGGGGGTTTCGGTGGAGCTCCCTATGGGGCCACGAAGCGCTGTACTGGGTGGGTGAAAATGCCAAATTGGGTGTGCGGGACGCATGCGGACGGCCCCACTGGCCACGAAACGCTGTATTGGGCGTGGCGGACGCATTTGGTACCCCCCCGTTTGGGGCCTTAGGTGGAGCTCCCTATGGGGCCACGAAGCGCTGTAGTCCCCCCCCTCTGAGGCCTTAGGTGGAGCCTCCTATGGGGCCACGAAGCGCCGTTGGCGGACGCATGTGGTACCCCCCCTTGGGCCTCAGGTGAATCCCCCTTATGGGGCCACGAAACGCCGTACTGGGTGTGGCGGACGCAGGTGGTACCCCGCCCCTTGGGGCCTTAGGTGGAGCTCCCATATGGAGCCACGAAACGCCGTACTGGGTGTGGCGGACGCATGTGGTACCCCCCACCTGGGGCCTTATGTGGAGCTCCCTATGGGGCCACGAAGCGCCGTACTGGGTGTGGCGGACGCATGTGATACCCCCCCCTGGGGCCTTTGGTGGAGCTCTCTATGGGGCCACGAAGCGCCGTACTGACGCATGTGTTACCCCCCCCTGGGGCGTATAGGGCCACGAAGCGCCGTACTGGGTGTGGCGGGCGCATGTGGTACCCCCCCCTTGGGCCTTACGTGGGGCTCTCTATGGGGCCACGGAGCGCTGTACTGGGTGGGTGAAACGCATGGAGGAGGGGGAGGAGGGAGGAGGGGGGGGAGGAGGAGGTGGAGTGAGTGAGTGAGTGAGTGAGCGAGCGAGTGAGTGAGTGATTGAGTGAGTGGGGCGCTGGGCGCTGTCTCTTCAATACGAGGACCCAACACCACAGGATGGCTGGGAACAAACACGCCCGGCCTCAGGGCTGTCAGAAGACTGCCTCTTTCTGACAGTCCCGGGGCGAAGCGCACTGCCAGGGCCCCTCTCCTACTGGACCCCTCTCCTCAAGGACCCGCCTCCTTCCTTCTCCCCAGTCATCCGACGACGTGATCGCCTTGTGCAACGTGGCTCCCCAAGGTCCAGACCTCTGGGGAGCCACGTTGCGAACAAAATCACGACGTCGGGTGTCTAGAGGCCTCCTAAGCCGGAGTCGGAGTAGATGGGGTCTGGGGCTCACGCCCCGATGCTTTGGCGATGCACCAGCGACATCGGCGATGCATCGGCGCCGTCGGCGGGAAGAAAATCGGGCTCCACATCGAGCCGACTCGCCGATGCATCGGCTATGCCGCGCAATCCTCCGACCCGATCCTCCTCCGACCCCGGCTGTGAGGACCAGAATGCCTGACGACGTCTCGCCCTCGACGGAGGCCGGCGGAAGCAAAGGGTACCCACCCCCCACCCCCAACGGACGGCAACCTCTCGGACTCAGGGTTTCTGGAGCGGGCCACCTGGCAGGTGCTCTTCGCCGACTGGCTGGTGCTTCCTGGTAGGGCAGGGAGGGCTGCGGTTGCATCAGACCGCATGCTGGGTCTCCTCCCCGGGGGCTTCGAGGATCTGGGCGCGTGGGGGGGGGGGGGGCACACGGGCGGCGAGTGCGCGGGGGGAACCGATGTGCTGTGGAGGCAAGAGGAGGATGGAGAGCGACCGCTGCGCTTCGCCCGACTCGGCCTGGACCTGTGTGCGACTCAGACAGGTCGCCGGGCGAACCTGGAACCCCACACGAGCCTGCCCGCGACAGGCAAACTCCGGCACTGAGCCGTGGCTGGAGAGACTTACGAAAGTGAAGCATGCGTGAAAATGAACGCAGGCAGCCTACAGTCGGCCCATATCATAAGGATGCGCGATAAGGATGCAAGGGCCTTGGACGCCCATTCCGAAGCTTTTCGAGCGGGGCGCGGCCAACGAAAGTGGCCAAGGATGGACCAAGGAGGCAAGGATGCAAGGGCACCCTTGGGAAGGCTGCTCATCCTTATTCAGCGGGTTGACTGTACTGCGCAACGCTGTCTGGCAGGAGTTCTGTAGGTCATCTGCGGGCCTGCCCCCCTTGTCGCGCCGACGTGCGTGCTCCCGAGGGCTCCCGGCCGCCCCGACGCCTCGCCGGCGCTCTCCAGGGCTTCCGGGAAGGCACAGACAGGCCACCAAGGCCGCCAAGACGGCCCACCATTGCCTCGAGGGGCCCCAGGAGATCCCTCGATCACCGAAGGGCAGATCCAGAGGCCATCCAGGATGCCCGAAACACCCAAAAACCTAAGCGGCCCAGGTCCTCGTGGATCTGGGGGTCACGAGCCTCTCGGCTCCTGGTGGTGATGCAGGAGGCAAAGAGAAGACACATAGCCCAACGAGAAAACCAAGGGACCCCTGGACGGCCCAGGATAGCCTACGAAGTCCCCAATGCGGCCCAAGAGAGCCCCAAGACAGCCCTAGACGGGTCCAAGATTGCCCCAAGGGCTCCTAGCCCCCAGGAGGCTCGCCATACAGGCAAAAGGGGCCCAATGCGGCCCAAGGAGGCCCCATGAGGGCCCCAAGACGGTCTCACTGGAGCCCACGGTGGTGCTCCAACCAACTCCACACAGAGCGCTGCGCTGGCAAGGTGGTGGAACTAAGAACAGGCAGCTGGAGTATGTAGTTAGCTAGCGTAGTTCAGCCGCAGACATCCACACCACTCACCCTGGCCCTGTCACATTCCAACAGCTCTCAACCGCCACGATAAGAAGCCCGTGATTGGGTGCCCCCACGAGCCTGAGCGGGGTCTCGTTCCCGAGCCCGGCCTCAGCGCGGGCGTCCGGCGACTCCTCCTCCTGCTCGAGGGTGACAGACCTCGTGGACGCCTTGCCCTTGGAGCGCACGAGGAGCACCCCGGCGACGAGGGCGCAGAGGAGCCCCAGGCAGGCCAGGTGCCACCACGCGGGAGCCCAGGCGGAGTGGGCGACCACGGCCGGGACGTCGGCCAGGGACCTGTTGTCCGCGGCCGTCGCGTTGCCCAGCTGAGGGGGAGGGCGCCACAACTGCACACAGCAGCGCCAGGCCTGGCCACGCCCCCTCGGAGCCCAAGGCCGAGGCCGGCCCGTGCGCCGCCCTGGCCAGGCCAGGACGGGGCAGGACAGGCGTCGGCCCCGGGCCCAGTTCATGTGGGCCTGGCCAGGCCCTGGTGCGGATGCCCAGTTGGCTCCCCCCTGGCCAGCGCCACCGTGGTCGTGATGGTCTCCGTGGTGCGGCCCACGAGGCCCCCGACCAGCCCCCCGATCAGCCCCGCGGCGGACAGGCCGCTCCCCACGCCGATGGCCGCGGCCTGCCCGGGAGTCAGGCCACCCTCGGTGGCGTTGGCGGCCTCGGCCGCCTCCTGCTCCCGCTGCCTCGCCGCCGCGGCCGCGGCCTCGGCTGCCTCCTGCTCCCGCCGCCTCGCCGCCTCGGCCTCCGCGGCCTCCGCCGCCTCCTGCTCCCGCTGCCTCGCCGCCGCGGCCTCCGCGGCCTCTGCCTCCACCTTCGCCTGCGCCTCGGGGCCCGCGCCGGCGCCGCGGGGGCGCCGGGCGCAGCTGTGGCCGTCGGCAGGCTCGAGGGCGCCGATGGGGTGCCACCACGCGCGGCAGAGCAGCCGCTCGGCCACGAACTCGGCGCCCGTGCAGTAGTCCTCCCTGGCGCAGATGGCTCTGCAGGCGCCCGGGGACGCGGCCGAGAAGGTGAAGAAGTAGTCGTTGAACTCGAGAGACGCCTCGGCGTACTCCGCGCTGCACCGGAACCCGTCGCCGCCGCCCTCGAACTCGGCCGCGGCGTCGCCATCCTCCTCGGCCGCGTCGCCGCCGGCGGGCGGTGCCGCCGCGCCCGCCGCGCTGCAGTTCGCCACGGCGGCGCCGGGGACGCCCTTCGCCCAGTCGCGCGGGGCGCACAGGGCCTCGCCCCCCTCCACGCACGGCACGCCGCCGCACCAGGCGCACGGCTCCCCCGAGATCCTGTAGCCCTCCCACTGCTTCCAGGGCCGCCCGTCGCGGCTCCCGAGGCAGCTGTCCCTGTCCGCGATGGCGTCGCACCCGCCGGCCCCCTGCCACCGGAGGCACCCGAGGCCCGCCTCCTCCAGCGCCGCGGCGCAGGAGGTGGTGACAAGCACCGCGATCGCGCAGGTCCGAGGGCGCGTCATCATCGGTCTTCAGCTCCAGTGAGCGGTGCAGGTCTGCTGGCAGGATGGACTGGCAGGACCCAATCTGAAGCAGAAGCGGCAGCGGACTGCGACTGGGGCATGCCTCCACGTTCCTCTTACCTTCATGACAGTTTCATGTGTGCCTTACGTAACAATGATTTTAGCTTGCAGTCGGCGTGCCATTAGCGTCACTTTAGAAATCTCGCCATCCTCTTGGCGTAGTTGGTCTAGCACCTGTTATTCCAACTCGCTTCCTCTGCTTTGAGGAGGGGTCGGCCACTCCTCCTTGTTAATAATCCTCATTTCCCCACTCGATCAGCGACCGACCAGGAACAATGCCGACACACCCACCATCATCCCTGTCCGAAAGACAACGAAATTATCCTGGCGAAGGACCCAACCATATTCAGTTGTGAACAACGCATTGTGGGTGCCGTTATCGGTGGGACACGACACGCGTGAGGGGCGCGCCGTAATGGGTGTGGCGGGCGCATGCGGGCACCCCCACTGGGGCCTTCGGTGGAACTCCCTATGGGGCCACGACGCGCTATGCTGGGTGTGGCGGACGCATGCGGGCACCCCCACTGGGGCCTTCGGTGGAGCTCCCAATGGGCCACGAAACGCCGTGCTGGGTGTGGCGGACGCGTGCGGACAACCCCACTGGGACCTCTGGTGGAGCTCCCTGTGGGGCCACGAAGCGCTGCCCTGGGTGGGGCGGACGCATGCGGGCACTCCCACTGGGGCCTTCGGTGGAGCTCCCTGTGGGGCCACGAAACGCTGTGCAGGGTGTGGCGGACGCATGCGGGCACCCCCACTGGGGCTTTCGGTAGAGCTCCCTATGGGGCCACGAAACGCTGTGCTGGGTGTGGCGGGCGCGTGCGGGCACCCCCACTGGGGCCTTCGGACGAGCTCCCTATGGGGCCATGAAGCGCTGTGCTTGGTGTGGCAGGCGCATGCAGGCACCTCCACTGGGGCCTTCGGTGGAGCTCCCCATTGGGCCACGAAACGCTGTGCTGGGTGGCGGACGCATGCGGGCACCCCCACTGGAGCCGTCGGTTGAGCTCCCTATGGGGCCACGAAACGTGTGAGGGGTGTACCGACAGGGGTGATGATGACGATCATGACGGTGATGGCGACGATGATGATGAGGATGGTGATGATGACGTCGATGGTGATGATGATGAGGATGATGATGAGGAGGATGATGATGATGATGAGGAGGATGATGTTGATGTTCTTGTTGATGATGATGATGATGATGATGATGATGATGATGATGATGATGATGATGATGATGATGATGAAGATGATCATGATGATGATGATGATGGTGATGGTGATGGTGATGGTGATGATGATGATGATGATGATGATGATGATGATGATGATGATGATGATGATGATGATGATGATGATGATGAAGATGGGGAGGAGGAGTGAACGCGGGGCGCTGTCTCTTCAAAACGAGGACCCAACACCACAGGATGCTTGGGAAAAACCTTAACACGAAAATCATGAAAACTAGCCTGGCGAAGGACCCAACCAAATGCAGTTGTGAGTACCGTCTTTGTGCGCAACGCATTCGGTTGGGTTCCCGATAGGGCCACGAAACGCTGCCCTGGGTGCGGGAACCGCATGCGAACACCCCCACTGGGGCCCTCGGTGGAGCTCCCCATGGGGCCACGAAGCGCTGCCCTGGGTGGGGAAGAGCATGCGGGCCCCCCCACTGGGGCCTTCGGTGGAGCTCCTTATGGGGCCACGAAACGCTGCCCCGGGCGGGGGAGACGCATGGGAACTGCGCCACTGGGGTCATCGGCGGAACTCCCTATGGGGCCACGAAACGCTGCCCTGGGTGGGGGAACCGCATGCGGGCACCCCCACTGGGGCCAACGGCCTACGGTGGAGCTCCCTATGGGGACACGAAACGCTGCCCTGAATGGGGGAACCGCATGCGACCCCCCCCCTGGGGCCATCGGCGGAGCTCTCCATGGGGCCACGAACGCTGCCCTGGGTGGGGGAACCGCATGCGACCCCCCCCACTGGGGCCATCGGCGGAGCTCCCTATGGAGACACGAAGCGCTGCCCTAGGATGGGGGAACCGCATGCGAGAGCAGACACTGGGGCCATCGGCGGAGCTCCCTCTGGGGCCACGAAACGCGGCCCTGGGTGGGGGAACCGGGGAAGCGCATGCGACCTCCCCCACTGGGGCCATCGGCGGAGTTCCCGATGGAGACACAAAACGCTGCCCTGGGTGGGGGAACCGCATGCGACCTTCCCCCACTGGGGCCATCGGCGGGGCTCCCCATGGGGCTACGAAGCGTTGCCCTGGGCGGGGGAACCGCATGCACCCCCCCCCAACTGGGGCCATCGGCGGTGCTCCCTATATGGGGGCACGAAGCGCTGCCCTGAATGAGGAATCGCATGCGACAACCCCCACTGGGACCATCGGCGGAGCTCACGAAACGCTGTCCTGGGTGGGGGAACCGCATGCGACCCCCCCCCCCACTGGGGCCATCGGCGGAACTCCCTATGGGGCCACGAAACGCTGCCCTGGGTGAAGAAAACGCATGCGACCCCCCCCACTGGGGCCATCGGCGGAGCTCCTTATGGGGCCACGAAGCGCTGCCCTGGGTGAGGGGAACCGCATGCACCCCCGCCCACTGGGGCCATCGGCGGAGCTCCCTATGGGGCCACGGAACGCTGCCCTGGGTAGGGGAACCGCATGCGACTGCCCCCACGGGGGCCATCGGCGGAGCTCCCTATGGGGCCACGAAGCGCTGCCCTGGGTGGGGGAACCGCATGCGACCCCCCCCCCACTGGGGCCATCGGCGGAGTTCCCTATGGGGCCACGAAGCGCTGCCCTGGGTGGGGCGACCGCATGCGCCCCCCCACTGTGGTCTTCGGTGGAGCTCCCTATGGGGCTACGAAGCGCTGTGCTGGGTGTTGCGGACGCATGCGGGCACCCCCAATGGGGCGTTCGGTCCCTGAGGGGCTACGAAACGCTGTGCTGGGTGTGGCAGGACGCATGAGGGCACCCCCACTGGAGCCTTTGGTGGAGCTCCCCATGGGGCCACGAAGCGCTGTACTGGGTGTGGCGGACGCATGCGGGCATCCCCAGTGGGGCCTTCGGTGGAGTTCCCTGTGGGGCCACGAAACGTGTGAATGGTGCGCCGAAATGGGCGATGATGATGATGATGATGATGATGATGATGATGATGATGATGATGATGATGATGATGATGATGATGATGATGATGACGAGGACGGTAACGGTGACGATGTCGATGATGATGACGATGATGATGGTGATGATGATGGGGATACGGCTAGCTCCTTGCATAATGATGATGATTGTGATGATGATGATGCTGCTGATGATGCTGATGATGATGACGATGATGATGCTGATGAGAGGAGGAGGGAGGGGGCAGCGGGAGGAGGAGGAGTGAACGCGGGGCGCTGTCTCTTCAAAACGAGGACCCAACACGACAGGACGGCTGGAAAAAAACAACAGAAACACGCGGCAATATCTAAGTCAGCCCAGAGCGCCCCGCGGTCACTCTGCATTGTTCCCTACATACGTTTTAGCAGAAGGCAATCCCACCTGGCTGTGGGGATCCCTTGTTTTCCGAGACCTCTGCCGGCTTTGCTGACGTGGTCGCTTCTATACAGTGGGGGCCCGACCACAAGAAAACTTTCACACGAAACCCAACCCTGAGACCCCAGGATGTCCATCGATGTTTGGTGTGGGAACGTCACGCTTTCCATAGCAAAGCCATCGAAACTCAAGAAAACCAGGGCACCCTGGAGGCAAGCAGGGTGTTTCTTGGCATGGGCCTCCACTGTATTTGAGGTCAATGTCGGGTCATTTTTTGTTGGCAAGGGAGGCCGGGTACCATGGTGTTGGCCGCTGTGCGCAGACCCACCCCACCGCCCCTGTCAGACATCGACACCGCTGCCACGCTGTGCATCCGTTCCCGGCAGGGCTGGTGGGGACCGACCCATACTGCCCGAGGCGTGCTGTGACGTGCGCGTGGCGCCCCTGGCACACTCTGCGTGCGACGCGCACGTGAGGCACCTGGCGCGATTGGAGCACTCCTCCTTCTCCTCTTCCTCCTCCTCCTCCTCCTCCCCTTCCTCCTCCTCCTCCTCCTCCTCCTCCTCCTCCTCCTCCTCCTCCTCCTCCTCCTCCTCCTCCTCCGTGGCACATTGTGCGTATGCGGAACACGTGGCGCATCCGGCGCACCACGCGCGCGCCCGGCACGCTTGGGCCCATGGGGCACCTGGCGTACCTGGCGGCGCACCTGGCGCGCGCGGCGCACTTCGCGGGCGTCGCGCACCTGGCTGGCGTCTGCATTGGTCCCAGACTGTCGATGGCGGCCCCTGCCTATACTGAGACTGGGATGCTGCTTATGTAGTGGGCGACGGGCTCCTCCTACCCCCTCCCCTGGGTCTGGACGAGAAGGGGCCCGACGCGTTCCCAAGACGACGCCAAGTGGCCACGACCCCCCCACCCCATGATACCCTAAAACTGCTGGTGGTCAACTATGTTTGCCTACTGGTCATGTTGTTTCTAATGTACTTCTGAGGCCATACGATGGCTCTACGCACGTCAAAGATGAGCCCCAAAAAGAGTCCTATAAGAAGGGCTCCAAGACGGCCCGAAAAACGCCCGAGAGCGTCCAAAGAGCATCCAGGAGGGCTCTAAGAGGGGACGCGGCGGGCTCCAGAAGGGCGTCGCTGATGAAGGGGCCCATCTTGTCCAATAGCCTCCAGGATGGTTCCAAGAAGGCCCCCAAGAGCCCCAAGAGCCTCAGAGGGCCCCAAGGGACTCCAAACAGGGCTGTGGAAGCTCCCAAAATGGACCCAAGACTGCCCCAACATTGCGCAAAAAAACGCCTCTTAGAGGCTCCCAGAGCGAAACGTCCGCGAAAATCGTTTTGATTGGTTCTGGTCGTCGTCGTCGTCGCCGCCTTCTACCTCGACCATCCACCTCCTCTCCCTCCTCCCACCACGTGATCCTCCTCCTACTCCTCCCGCCCACTGTTCACTTGAAATTGAATAGGGGCGTGTTCCGTCATACTGTTATTCTGTCTGCTCGCCTCCTCCTTCTCTCTCCTTCATCCTCCTCCTCCTCCGCCGTCTAATTATCCCTCCTCCTCCTCACCCCTCATGATTCTACCCGTTCTTCGGAAAAGCCGCGGAGGCATTTGTGATTCCCTCCTGGTTTTGCTCAGGCTGATCCCGAGCTTCGGTTTGACGAGTGCCTCTCACATCTCGAGATCAAGGCAACTCGCCTGGGCATCGTCTCTGGATGGGCTGGCGGGAATTAGCGAAGCGTCAACATGTCCCTGTTTTGTCGATACCCTTCTCTTGAGAAGAGGGAACACAGCTGAAGTGAGTCGCGAGTGGATCATCAGAACCATGTGACCATAACTGCGTGCACAACTCAAGCTTCACATTAAACAGTATGCACGCTCGCTCTCACAACTGGCGCTACCGCGTTGCAAGCGAACCAGCCCCATTGTTTCTACATGTCAATGTGTCTGCTGATTTCTGCCTCCGCACGTGTGGCGACGCAGGCAGTCCCATTCTTTGACGGGGCATCGTCTCGAGGACAGAAGGCATGTATTAAAAGTTATCAACCCACCCGGAACCAGCACCCCAGGGGACAGTAGACTCGGTGGATCTGGATATTCTTAGGCCCCACAGGCCCGAGAATATCCGCATCCAACGGTTCCCCAGATGGTACTGGGATGGGCGCCGGGGTTGCTCATTGGACAGGGGGTTTGTCAGTGGACGCCAAAGGTTTATACATGGCGTAACCTAGCTCATTCGTGGGTTGGTGATGCCCCAAGTGACTTTGGGGGGATAGCGATCCAGGCTAAGTGGGCTCCGCCCACTTCACGGAGTTGCCTGATCCCCCCCAAGCCACTTGGGGCATGTGTAACCCAGTTCTAAGCTAGGTTAGACCAGGTATAACCCGACTTGGCATCCACTGATAGCCCCCCTATGCCCTTAGTTAGCAAACCCCGCGCCCATCCAAGTAGAGATGGACCAGGAAGCTGGAGCGCACACATGGCTGGGTTTGCCAGTGTGCACTGCATGCGGAGGTCACGCGCCGGATGCACATGCAGCAGCCGCGCCTACCTTGCCACAGCAGGGTCGAGCGCGGGAAAGGCGTCTGGCCGTGGTTGTGCCTCCGAATCTCGCCCAGGCTGACCGCGCCACGTGTACGGCAGGTTCGCGTCGCATCGACTGGTTCCTGACACCGCGGGGATCGTTCAACCTTGAACAATCGGCCGTTTCCCAAACGTCCGATCGTTCAACGTTGACCGATTCTGGGCCGCCGCCAGCGCTCAACGCTTTGAATGCCGCTGGCGGGGCCGCCGACGGTCGACACGACGCGAACCTATACCGTGCCCAGGCATCCAACGACATGATGTTTGGTATTATATGGCCCCAGAGCTCCGGACCAATCCCCTGGAGACAACTTCCGCCCTGGACCCAAACCTGATGGCCCTGGTGCCCGATCACGGATCCCGGAGAAAAACGCCTGGCTTGAAGAAAAAATCGTGTCGACAGAGATCTGGATATATCCAGCTTCCTTCCCGGTAGAAGTCCCGACCTCGGGATCGCAAAAGCAGGGCGGCCATCCCTCACGGAGGCCGCCGACAGAAAGACCTCCACGCCAAGCGCTCGGCCGCGGCCCCCCGGGCGGGCGCACTGTTGGCCCCCGCTGGGCGGTTGGGCGCGGCGCTGCGGGCCCCGCCCTCTTCCAGCCCAGGGCCTCGCCAGATGGTGCAACGATCCACGCCTGGGAGCTACCAAGACCTCTGGCGGCACGATTTGCCCAATCGCGGCGGCTTTCTTTCATGTCGGCCTCTGGGGGCCTCTTCCTGGCGCAGGGACCATCTAAAACTGAACCGGGACAGAAGACTACCCACGGGGCAGGGGGAGCCCTGGGGCACAAAAAATGACTGCAATCATAACGGACGATGTCTGGGTGACCAGACCCAGCACAGCGTCTTGGAAACGACAAGGCCGCTAATATTTTGTTCCGTCGTCAGTTAGCATGCTGTTTCCGGTTCTGGCGCCGTTGTTGTGTCCGGTGCCGACGCCGTTTCGTTTGTTTCGGATCCCGGCACCGGTTTCAATATTGAAGCACGTTTGTGTTCGTTTCGGCGAGCCTTTGTTTCTCTGTCTTCATTATCAAGATCATTGTTGGGTGAAGCGGTACTAAACGGCCCTGCCGTTTTCAATAACTGGTACGGTCCAGCCCGGTCCAGACCCACCGATCTGGCCCCAGATGACAGGACCTCGCGGCGCCACGGGCATGCTGTGTGGGCGGCTCCCGCCAACCATGGTGGCAAGAGGGACGCCCACGCCCCACGCTGCACGAGGCCCTCTAGGGGCGCGCCCCCGGATCGGTGGACGATGATGACGCATTCGGGGAAATCAAACAGGCGACCAATTTCCAGACTTCTCCCAGGGCGCATTCTGACCAGGAATTCGAGGCGCCTCTAGCCATAGCAACGCGGGCCTTCCAGGAGGCCCAACAAGTCGGCAACGAGGAAAGAGCGGCGACATCGGCAACTCTTCCTCCTCCCGGGAAACCCGACGTGATGGGACGATTGCAGCATCGCGGGTAATCACGACCGGATCCCTGGACCCCCCCCGAGCCAGATCGAGCTGGGATGGCCCCAGGGCCCCAGCGCAGAAAAACGGCAGCGCCAGGATCTCAGGGTCTGAAGCACCATAGCCTGGGCTGGCGCAGCTGGAGGAGGAGGGGGAGGAGGACGAGAAGGAGGAGGAGGAGGAGGAGGAGGAGGAGGAGGGGGAGGAAGATGAGGAGGGAGAAGAGGAGGGC